TATTGAGTTGATACCGTTATTCACAATTGAGTCTAAAATATAACACACTTTCAGAGTCACTACCTCCCTTTGAACTCATTGCCAACTTTGTTGAGACAAGTAGTAAATGAAGGGAAACAAAGTAACTTGTGGTTATGTGTTTCATTTAGTTAAAGGAACACTATAGTCACCTAAATTACATTCGCTAAATAAAGCCATTTAGTGTATAGATCATTCCTCTGCAATTTCACTTCTCAATTCACTGTCATTTAGGAGTTAAATCACTTTGTTTCTGTTTATGCAGCCCTAGCCACACCTCCACTGGCTATGATTGACAGGGCCTGCATGAAAAAAAAAATGGTTTTACTTTCAATCAGATGTAATTTACCTTAAACAATTGTATCTCAATCTCTAAATTGAACTTTAACCACATACAGGAGGGTCTAGCATGCTATTAACATAGCAGGGGATAAGAAAATCTTAATAGAACATAACTTGCAATAAAGAAAGCCTAAATAGGGCTCTCTTTACAGGAAGTGTTTATGGAAGGCTGTGCAAGTCACATGCAGGGAGGTGTGACTAGGGTTCATAAACAAAGGGATTTAACTCCTAAATGGCAGAGGATTGAACAGTGAGGCTGCAGGGGCATGTTCTAGACACCAAAACGGTTTCATTAAGCTAAAGTTGTTCAGGTGACTATAGTGTCCCTTTAAGTAACATCTGTTACTATATCGCTTGAATTATGTCTGATATATTTTTCCCACAGCAGTTTTAATGTAGAACCCCTGGGAGACAGTCGATTTATTCAGAGTAGGTAAAAATCACTCGATGTTCTAGTGGATAAAAAAACACTCAAATGCACATATAGGCTACTATTGCTGTTTATCTATTATGGCACAATATATATTTTTGCACCATTAGGCTATCTTATATTCAACTAACACCCATGTGTTGTGCATTCACTTTAGTTATATACAATTTGTTTTGTTTTTTAACTCACAGAGGTTTTCATTTTTCTTTATTTAAAGTTTAACCAACTCCATGCAGTGTTTGGATGTACACACTTACTTTTCAAGAAAGAATATTTGAGTACCAATAAAGCTTTGAGCAGCCAATTTTATATAATCTCCCAGAAACTAGTGACTTTGATAGAATATTATATTTTGGACCTAAAGAAATACAATAGCTATACAAAGCTTGTCACTAGTTAGTTTTTGGGCCCCACTTGTGTGCAGTATATTTAAGATAGAGATATACTCAACTTCTCTGCAACGCCGCGTCTCCTTCGGCACTGCTTTCTGCTCATCACTGTATGATGTCATCATGAGGTCATGCTTCCAGGATCATGGTCCAATTCAATGCTTCTTATAGAGGTGCATGTGGTGAATGTCTGGCACCTATGATTCGGCATGCAATGATTCTCTATGACAGGCCATGGCAGCACTGTGCATGCATACATGATGTCACAATATGCCTGGATATGAAAGCTAGGTAGTAACAGTCCCATCTCTCCTACCTAGATGGCCTGAAGGTGTTTCTTTAAACCAATCTTCCAAGTCTTCGAACTATTAAAAAATTACATTTTGGGAGGGGGTGTTGGACACAGGGGGTTAGGATTAAAGGAACACTTGCAAATTTAATAAAATAAAGTTGTTATAGTGCCTCCAGTATTCCTTTCAGTGTGAGTAACAAGCTCTGGTATTAACACAACTTTCTTTTCATTAGTGTTGATAGCCCTGGTGGCGTTAAGAGGTCTAAATAAAACATTATTCACATTTATGTCACCTGCTGATTTTACTTAGGTCACAGAGTTCATGGAGCACTATATTTTATTCATTTCACGGTTAAAAGAACCTTGTAAGTACTAAATGACTGTGTATGTCCAATTAAGATAATATGCACCTGAACCCTAACAAAATATCCCTTTGAAAAGAGGAATGTGGCCAAATTCATAAACATGCAACCAGGGCCGGCCTTAGGGGTGTGCGAGCTGTGCGACCGCACAGGGCGCCATGGAACAGGGGGCGCCCTGTGGCCGACACAGCTCACTCATGGCCAGAGTGCAGGGGAGCTAAAAGAGGTACCTGGCTGGAGGATTAATTATTCTCCACCCGGGTCTATTTAAAAAAAAAAAAAAAATCGCGGCAGAGGGGGCGGGGTTTACCGAGCGGCGGAGGCGGGGCTTATCGAGAGGCGGAGACGGGGCTAATACCTCCCGAAGCCCCTGCTGTACAGGAAGAGGGAAAGATGCTTCCCCATCAGCCAACTGCATCCACTGGAAAGAGGTAAGTGTGTGTGTGTGACTGTTTGCCTGTTTGTGTGACTGTCTGTCTGTGTGTGTGTGTGACTGTCTGTATGTGTGACTGCCTGCCTGTGTGCGTGTGACTGTCTGTGTGTGTGTGTGTGTGTGACTGTCTGTGTGACTGCCTGTCCTTGTGTGTGTGTGTGTGTGTGACTGTCTGTCTCTGTGTGTGTGTGTGACTGTCTCTGTGTGTGACTGCCTGCCTGTGTGTGACTGTCTGTGTGTGTGACTGTCTGTCTGTGTGACTGCCCTATGTATGTGACTGCCTGTGTGTGTGTGTGACTGTCTGTCTGTGTGACTGTCTGTCTGTGTGACTGCCCGTGTGTGTGACTGCCCGTGTGTGTGACTGCCCGTGTGTGTGACTGCCTGTGTGTGTGAGACTGTCTGTCTGTGTGACTGTCTGTGTGTGTGACTGCCTGTGTGTGTGACTGCCTGTATGTGACTGCCTGCCTGCCTGTGTGTGTCTGTCTGTAACTATCTGTCTGTGTGTGACTGCCTGCCTGTGTGTGTGACTTTCTATCTGTGTGACTGCCTGCCTGTGTGTGTATAACTGTCTATGTGTGTGTTACTGTGTGTCTGTCTGTGTGTGTGACTGCCTATGTGACTGTCTGTCTGTGTGTGTGACTGCCTATGTGACTGTCTGTCTGTGTGTGTCGCTGTAGCTGTGCCATTGTTTGTGCCTGTGCCTGTATGTGTGACTGCCTTTAACTGAGTGTGTGTGTACATGCCTGTAACCGAGTTTAAATTTCCCCCACCCCTTCCTGTCAAGGCCGCACTTTGACTGACAGACGCTCACTCACTGACAGACGCACACTCATTGACGACACATACACACTCACTGACGACACATACACACTCACTGACTGACACATACACACTCACTGACTGACACATATACACTCACTGACCAACACACACATTCACTCACAGACACACACACATTCACTTACAGACACACACAATTACACACTTACAGACACACACACACACACACACACATTCACTTCAAAATAAACACTCACAGACACACACACAGACATTTCCACTAACACTCACAAACTAATATTTTTTACATTTATTTTAAATCCACCCAGCCTCCCTGGGAAAGCTGGAGTGGATTTCTTACCAGCAGTCCAGTGTGGCTGCTGGGCAGGCAGGCAGGGGGCGCACAGGCTGAGTAAGCAGCGCTTAGTGATGCCGGGAGCCGGACTGACGTCATATTCTGGCTCCCGGCTTCATTAAGCGGCGCAGAGGAAGCTGAGCAGGAAGAGCTCAGGTGAGTATGCTCCTTCGCTGCCCGCTGCCAGCCTTGGGGGGGCTCAAAAGTGGCCAGCCGGTCAGCTCTTGAGCCCCCCAGGATGCGAGGCAAGCAAGGGATCTGCCTGGGGGTTTGGAGGGATGCTTTTTTTTGCCGCCCCCTGCAAAGTGGCGCCCAAGGCAGATGCCTTGTTTGCCTCGTGATACACACGTCCCCGGTGCCTGTGTGTGTTACTGTATTCAGGCAACTTGGTGGGAGGTGGGGGGGGGGCGCCGTGAAGACTTTTTGCACAGGGCGCCTAATTGCCTAAGGCCGGCCCTGCATGCAACACAAATATCAATAACACACACATGGCATACAAGTGTTAGAGAAGAATATTTTAAACCTGGGGGGGCGGGGGGGAGACATATCATTTATAATAAAGTTTTCATTTTTATCTAGAAATTTGTTCCTATGATTTAATCACATTGCTTTTAGCATTCATACAAATATGCACTCTAGTATTTACATAGCAGCCAAATAAATTGTTAGGCATGACAAAAATGTCGCACTTTAACTTTGATATCTGTCAAGATTACTTTTATGATCTCGTCTGGAGGTACAATGCCTACTTATATGGATACCTGATTTTCTTAAATAGAATATATCAAATTTCACAGCTTTTAATCAAAACTGGCTTTTCTCCAGGGTCCTTTTGACATTTCTTCTTTTGGGCTTGTCTGCCACATTAATTCAAATCACTTCTGTAGTGAAACCTGTTAATGTAATCTACTCTAGTCTCATATTACAAAACTATTCCTTTCATTTTCTGTACTAACTCTAATTACAACTTCTTATGTGAAAGCTATCATATGTCCTGTAATGTATCTATATATTGTGTACAGTTAGAAGCAAACACAACACCCTGAATATATTATCATGTTAACTTTGAGTAATTTTACCCAATGCCCTTTAGATTGAAAACCTATCGGGTAGGTTCCTTATAATCTGCGATTCCTGTGTGAGTACCAGGATTATTCAATAGAGTGAGAATTCAAAGTGGATAGAATGTGAACTCCAAATTTAAGGTCAATATAGCATGCACAGATCAAAGATCATTTCAGGGTTGTGCAGCATTATAAGTGCACAGAGGTTCTCAACCTTTACCTCTGTGGCTGGCCCAAGTCCCAGTTTTCAAAACCACGGCATTGCCCGATTCCGAGATCCGGAGGCTAACAAGAAGAGCCTTCACCTGGCAGAGCCGCAGAGAGCATCTACCGAGTCACAGGACAACCAGGAAATGTGCTGTCCACCCCCATGGCCACAGCTAAGAAAATGTAATTACTTTAAAAAAGAATACAATTAAATAATATTAAAACAATATATATATATATATATATATATAATAAAAATAAAAAGTTGCTCCCCTCTCAGTCCCTACAAAACTACACTACACACACAGAAACACAATGCATCCTTACACACACTGTTTCCCTTACACAGAAACACAGAATCACACAAAAATACACAATGCAACTCTTACACACTAACACACTGCATCCACTATAAACACACTGCAACCACCATATGCAAACACTTACACAGACACACACTACAACCCCTATACAGACATGCTACATCCCCTACACAAACTGCAATCCCTATATACTACATTCCATAAGCACACACATTGTAATAACACACAACACATCCCCTACAAACATACACTCCACTCCCTGTGAACGGGCTCTGGGGTGGGACCTGTAGGTGGACTCATTGGCAAGCCTTGCGGGCACACTCTGGGGGGGTTCCTGGTGGCATTGAGATTTGTAATAAGTCCCCAAATGTCTGATGGCAGCCCTGACTGGGATGTCTGTGATTGGACAGCCACAGAAAGTCTGGGCTGGACTAGAAAGGGCAGGCTTGCAAACGCTGCAGACAAGGGACTTGTGAAGCTGTTTTAAATATACCCCCAATTTTAAAAAAAATGCACAATTAATTTCAGGCATGTTTTCAATTGGTGTACCGTGTATATAAACTAAACAGTTATTATTCTATTTTTTTTTTCCATTGAGTATTCAAGTGTCCCTTGAAGCAAACGTTTGTCTCCATTGATTCAAGTGAGGATGCTATTTCCTCTCCCCACACTGAGGTGCCCCAGGTAAGACAGCCCTGTGCAGGTGAGGAGGAAGTCTTGACTGACTGTGCACCTGTGACAAGGTCCTGGGAGAGAATGCTGCTTTTGTTACATCGTTGCATGTCTGCTGGCTGAAGATTCTGAGCGCAGAATGGTCAGAGCTCAGAGAAGAACTGGAACTTCTGCTTTTTTTTTGTTTCACTTTCCTCTGTTTGAGTGTGTGGGTTGGCTTTAGACACTGTTCTCTATTGTTCCCGGAAGAGGACTGATTTTCTATGTACAGTAGCCGTGTTGGAGATCAGGAATCTCCCACCCGTTTTTTTGCCCTTTTCTCCTCTTGCCCCTCTCAGTGAGCTGGTTTACAGGATGTCCAGCAGTGGTGAGAGCATGGGGTCAGCCTCCCCCTATTCTTCTGACAGTCAGACGTCTGTGGGACAGAGGGAACAGGACACTATCCAGCCTACAACCATCAGCAGCGCTCTGGAGTGTATCCCTTGCAATAAACTGGTATCTCTCGAATTTATCAACAAAGGGGCTTACGGCACCGTCTACAGAGCTTCCCATGAAGACTGGAGGGTCCTAGTGGCCGTGAAGTATTTCCCGACAGAGCGCCACCTAGTGGAAGTGTGAGTGTACAGTCCATGCGTGATGACAGATTTTCCTTCTGAAGCAAATGTCACAGGAGGATATTTAGTTTTTCTTTCAGATTAATGTATTTGCTATACATTAGAGTCTTTTTTATTTTCAGATTTACAGATGTGTGTTTTTTTATGTAGTCAGTACTGGTTAGCGAGCAGAGCCATTAAGATAAATATCTGAGCATTACACTGAGGTTTCCCAGTGTAAACATTAGATTCCAGGAACTTTTATGTGTCATGGTTATCAGAACTGATTTAACCCCTTTAGCTTCAGTTATGTCTACAGGATTACTCTGTGCTCTTCCAAGGTTTAATAATTTATTAGGAATATGTATCTGAATTTGTATATTTCTTAAATCATAACATATAAAACTATAGCTGTAATGGCTAGCTTTAGTTTTTTTAGTTGGGACATTTAACCCCTTAAGGACCGGACTGTTTTTGAGATGTTGTACATTTGCGACCAGGCATATTTGTACACTTTTGTGGTGTTTGTTTTTAGCTAGAATTTTCCGCTCTCTCATTTATTGTTCCCATACAAATTATATATTGTTTTTTTAAGGACAAAAGGGACTTTCTTTACATACCATTATTTATATAATCTCATGTAATTTAATTTTTTAAAAATATGATGAAAAATTGAAAAAAAAAAGGTTTTTTTTACTTTTACTTGAAAAATCTTTTACTCATCTACAAAAGCGAATGAAAAAAACTGCTAAATAGATTCAGAATTTTGTCCTGAGTTTAAAAATACCCAGTGTTTACGTGCTTTTTTGCTTTTTTGTTTTGCAAGTTATAGGGCTATAGGTACAAGTAGGATATTGCCGTTTCAAAACATACATTTTTAAAATTTATCAATAGTGACATTGTAACACTATTATCTGTCATAAATCTCTGAATAACACCCCACATGTACATATTTTTTAAGGCAATGTAACCAACCTGGCCATTTTCAATGTAAAAATATTTGACCCATATATTTGACCCTGTAACTTTCAAAAACGCTATAAAACCTGTCCATGGGGGTATTGTTATACTCAGGAGACTTTGCTGAACACAAATATTAGTGTTTCAAAACAGGAAAACGTATCACAACAATTATATCATCAGTAAAAGTGTTGTTTGTGTGTGAAAAATGCAAAAAAAGTCACTTTCACTGACAATATCATCGCTGTGATATGTTTTACTGTTTTGAATCACTAATATTTGTATTCAGCAAAGTCTCCCGAGTAAAACAGTACCCCCCATGTACAGGTTTTAGGGTGTCCTAAAACGTTACAGGGTAAAATACAGTGCTAGCAAATTAAATTCTCTGGACTTTTGGCCTGGGTTGACAGGCAGGTCCCTCAAATCAATAAAATTACTTAATTATGTAAAAATATTACATAAATACACACGTAGAATTTAAATATATATGCATATTTATATATTTGAAGTCTACATGTATACTAATATAATTATTTATGTAATTTTGTATATGGACATATGTATATTTCGTATTATTTGTATTTAATTTCATTCTAAGTGTTTTTTTTATATAAATATATATATATTAATATCAAAATACAGTTAGAATAAATTTTCATATAAATATATAATTTTTTTTAATTTTTATTATTTTAAAATGTTTTAATTTAATTTAAATTACTTATTATTTATATTTTATAATAATATATATATACACAATATATATAGTTATTATATATATTATATATATACGTGTGTAATTTAATTCTAAGTGTATTTTTATATTAATATATGTACATATTCATATAAAAATACACTTAGTATGACATTATATATATATGATATATAGACATATTATGTAGATATAATATATGTCTATATATCATATATATATATATATATTTTTTTTTTTTTTTTAATTAACATTAACTTTATTTTTTTTTAATGATTTTACACTAGCAGGGAGACTGCCTGTCAGCACAGACAGTCCCTCTGCAGGCAGACACATGGACACCTATTGTGACCATGTGATTGCTGTGTTGAGCGATCACATGGACACAGGGGTCCTAATCCAGTGTGGGGAGACTGTCTGGGCTGCAGGCAGTCTCCCCACAACGGGAGCACTGCCGATCGCCGCCGGGGGAACGACGGCGATCAGGTAAGTAACTAAGACCGTTAGGACGGTTCAGGACCGTCAGCGGTCGGCAAGGCAAAATGCTGATGACGGTCCTGAACCGTCCACGGTCCTTAAGGAGTTAAAGGAGCACTATAGAGTTAGTAATAGAAACCTGTATTCCTAACGATATCGTGCCCCAGTCCCTAGTTAGATACACTACCTCCCCCCTCCACTACTTCCCCCCCTCCCCCCCCACACACACACACTGTTGTTTGTCAAATAAAATTAACCCCTTAAGGACACAGCTTCAGAAATAAAAGGTCATCATGACAGAAAAGTTCTCTTATGTGTCCTTAAGGGGTTAAGAAAAAATAAAAAGGTTTTACTCGCCTTTTTCCAGCACCATGGCTGCTGCTCAACTCTCAGTCTCCCACAACGTCATTGCGAAGGCATGGCCTCCTCCACTTGTGGTCCAATCTAAAAAAAACTTCAATGTTTTACATTGCGGGGTCAAAAGGACAGGGCCACTGCACCCAGATGGCTTTATTAAGATGAAATAGTATTGGTGACTTTAGGGTCCCTTTAAGCTTGATAAACTGGGCTGTTTAAAACATTCTCTGGTTCCCATGTTGTTATAGAAATAATCTAGAGCACTTTATCCCTGGCTGTATAGTGTTCTGGATGTGTAGAATAAAAGTGAGCCGGAGAGATTTCTGCAAACTACTGATGCTAACATGTGCCAGCTAGATGGTGGTGAATTACCTTTCCTATGGTGCTCAGCCAGCCAGGCAGGTATCAGGAATGTCCGACAGGTTAGTATAGGTTGATGTAACTGGACTGGATGTTTTGCATATTTTCACCCAGCATTTAAACATGTTCCCTTAATGTCTGACTACCTGAGACTTTTCCCTTCTTTATATGTAATTTGATAAACAGTCTGATTGATTTGATACAGAAGCAAAGCTCAAACATTAACATTGTTTTTCTTAAATTATAACAAGTAAACATTTTTTATATATATATGTATATTATTTTTACCAAAATTTTATTTAATTCCCAAAAAATAATTACTTGTTTTTTCTGCACTGAACAGAATGGCCTTAGGGTTGATGGTTTCTGTTTTTTTTTTCCACTACGGCAATATTGTCTCTATTTATTATTAGTTTAACTTGCCTTTTTAAATCAAGTTCTTCATTTGAATCATTTTAGTGTGACTGTGTTGCTGAACCTTTTGGTGCATAGAAACATAGCATTTATATAAAAGTCAATTTGCCTATTGCTTTGTAAATTCACAAGCTTGATTCCGAATTTTGTTACAAGATCAAGACACTATTGTTATATAGTATTTCCTTCTGCTTTGTATGAATACATTTTCTGCTGGAAATTTTATTTAATATTACTTTTTTACTGGAGTGTTCCCTTAAGGTATTTTTTTTTTCTTTTTAATGATCTGCAATTCTTGCAGTAAAATAGTGTTTCTACCTCCAAGACTGGCCATGAATTTCCCTCCCTCTCTCCCTTCCTTCCTCCCTCCATCAATCTTATGGGTCCTGGTGTTCCGACCGATTATTACAAAGGTTTGCATCTTCTTACACTATGTGGAATAACTTGAGATATTTAAAAGTGTATAGCTCTTAATTCCATTCATCGATCTACATACTTAACATTTTGTATCACTCTGAAAACTTCCAAACATTGTTGTTGCTATACTTTAGCAGTGGTAGCTGGTGAACAATAAAGATTGTGGGGCTTTGGGTTATAAATTGACAATGACCCATGACTTTTTTGGGCTCTGCCAACTTAACCTCTTAAATTCATCCCCTGACTAAATGCGACATCACGCACTGTTGAACAACTTAAACCTATAGATACCTTTGGTAACCAATGATAACACTAACATGCAGGCCTATATTTTATTTAGAGAATCTAGGATCTGACAGCCCAATGCAAAATCAATATGTGACATCAGAAATTTTTCTAGCGCAGACTTATCATATGTGAGTATCTAAATCAAGAAAATGGGGCATTTTTTAAAATAATGCCTCTAAATTCTGACATGATTAGCCTCCCAGCAGCGTCTCCAGTCAGCAACACAGGGTGGAGGGGAATCTGCATAACTACTGATAATCACAGAAGACACAGCATGTTGTGTTTTTTTTTTTTTTTTTTTGTGGATAAGGCTCCACTGTTCTCTTTAGCGCAGCTATTCTGTGCAACTTCATTCCTTTTATTTATAAAGCACTAACATACTCTGCAGTATTTTGACACTTGTAAACAAATATACATTATAATCATAACATAAGAAGTTACAGTACACAAAATGTGTGCATATATGTGCTTAAAATATCCTGCACAAAGCCTTCCTGGTGCTTTATAAAACCGTTTCTCAACTTGTGTTATCTGTGCTCCTTGTTCTCAACCCGTGGTGCATGTGCTCCAGGGGCTATTTACACCATGGGCAATGGGTACATAGAAGGGTTCCCATAGACAGTAGGACATCAAAAAGAACCCCCTGCCGGGCCTGTTGCCATCTCATAAACAAGGAGTGTGTTATCTGCACTTCTGTTGTGTTTCAGATTAATGTCAGTGCCCTTGCTTTCTTGTGCTTCTGAATGAATCTGAGCACTGCTGTTGAATTACAATGGCAATGTTCAGATACATTGACCAGAGGAAATATTTAAAGGGACACTATAGTCACCAGAACAACTGCAGCTTATTGAATTTGTTCTGGTGAGTAGAATGATTACCTTCAGGCTTTTTGCAGTAAACACTGTATTTTCAGAGAAACTGCAGTGTTTACATTACAGCCTAGGGATACCACTCCTCAGATGGCTACTAGAGGTGCTTCCTGTGTCTCCACCTTCTGACATTTAGTGTCTCCACCTTCTGCATGCAGACACTGAACTTTCCTAATAGAGATGCATTGATTCAATACATCTCTATGAGGAGATGCGGATTGGCCAGGGCAGTGTTTGGCTCTGCACAAGAGCCAGCACCGGCACCAACAAACTTGAATAAAAGTAAGATATCACTATATTTAGGAGGGCAAGAGTGGACGGGGGGGGGGCTACATTGTGTTTTCAACACTGTAGAGTCAGGAAGACACGTTTGTGTTTCTGACCCTCGGGTATTCCTTTAAAGAGATCTACAAGTACAGACCACAATCTGAAACCACTGGTCCTACCCCTTGTGATGAATAGATGCAGGCCTCCCAACCATTCCGATTTCGTCAGGACAGTCACGCTTTTTGGGTCCTGTCCCTCCATCTTGACTTAGTTCCCTGGTGTTCGGGGATCAGTCCACAAAAAGCATAGTGCAAATGTATCATTAGACTCGAGAGTGCTGTGTTCGGAGCACTAGAATCCTGAAGAGAGCACTGAAACAGTGCTCTGTGTATAGTCTGCCCTCAGTAGGCCAGCCTGCTTGATTGGCAGGCAGCCTGGTGTGCATTCATGCCAGGCTGGCCTGTCTATTCTATTGGTGGAGCCACCCCCTTACTGGTTGTATCTGCCCCAATAGGCAAGGCAAAAGATTGCCTATTTGCTCCCCACCCTCTTTGCAGGACACCGGATTTGAGAGATATATAAATGGCATATAGACCCTTTTCTGAATATGCCATTTTTCTTTTTTTAAACAAACTGTACACTGAAAACACACAACCTTTCAAACACGCATAAAGCACAGACACCCAAACAAACACACAGCCTACTCAGAAACACAAAACCTAAATCCTCCTGAACACACACATCTTCCCAAGCACACCTAAACATGCAGTATGCCAATACGCAGCCTTAAACACAGACTGATGACATAGAGAAACACTATTTACAATGAAAATGACAGAAGGAACAGAAAGACAGAGAAATAGCAGGAAAGAGACAGAAAGTTGGAGACACGTGCAGAATGGGTTACATAGAAGGAGTCTTTATATAAAAAAACAAAAAACAACTTGAAAACCAGAAGGTTAAAGATTGGCAGACAGAGAAACTATAAAGGTGAATAATATGAGAAGAGACTATCAGTGTTATTCACTAAAAGTGAGAATTCAGAGTGAATTTCAAATTTTAGGCCAAAGTAGTTAAACTGGAAGTATAATTAAATTAGAGATTTTTTTTGGTTTGGCTATTTTGATTTAAAATTCAAAACTCACATTGAACTCTCACTTTAGAGAATAACTATGTAAAGGGTGGTTGGAATTTTTACAGGAGAATGTCTGTCTGTTTATAGAAATCTGTAATAGTAGGGTTACTTGTTGACCAACAGGATTATATTAGGGGGCACAGGTTTAAAATGTTACTATCTAGACAAAAAGTTTCAAAACACTGAGCTTTTAAATAACTTTACACTTCTCTTTTTCTGCTACTAATAACTCTCTCTATACAGCAACTGTTCCATTAGATTTTCAGCGTGCTTTATTACTCTTACTCTTACTTTGCTGTTTGAAAACAGCATTAAAAAGTTTGTTTAATGAAAGGATTACGCTGAAGACTGCCCTCTTTGACCTTTTGAAATGTTGGAAGAAATTAAAAACATGTCATACTGTCATTTTGTTTGTCACACTAAGGGGCCTGTTCTCTAAACATTATCTCAGTGTTTAAGTAAAATAGTAATCTAGCCTGGAAAAAGACTCAAGTCCATCAAGTTTAACCTGCCCTCGCCCCGCACCCCCCCATTTTTTTGAAGCAATTTCCAATTTGCAACAGAAGGTGGTGGGGTTCTTCTTGACTCCATAATGGCAATTAGATTTCTCCTTAAATCAGCAACCTGTTCATATACATATTGATTGTATCCTTGAATATTCTGTTTTTCCAAAAAGAAATAAGAATGTACAAGCTAATCTTCTTTTGGAAGAGAATTCCACATTTTTATTGTTCTTAGCTTTAAGGAACCTTTCCTTTGCTGTAAGTGAAAACCTCTTTCTCCCATCTCCGTGGATGTCCTCTTGTCTGTTATATATTCCTGTTAATGAACAGGTAAGCACATAGCACTATACCAATGTTTACGGTGTAGTACAAACTGTTATCATATCCCCTGAGATGCCTTTTTCCTCAAGAAAACAAATGCATTTTTTCTAGCCTTTCATAACTAATGTTTTCCATCCCCCTTTTGAATTTTGTAGTCGCTTATGCAATTTTCTATATTTTGTATTTTACCTGCATTTTGAGATAGTCAGGGTTATTTACTAAAGCAAGACATTTACAGTAAATTTGAAATTTAAGGTCATATCAGCCAAACTGTAAAAAATCTAGAAAAAAGTAAGCCATACTTCCAGTTTACCTACTTTGACCTCAAATTTCAAATTAATTTTGAATTCTTGTGTGAATAAATCTGTAAATGTTACCATCTGCTTTTGTTAAAATCATTTTATTTGTACCAATAATTAATAATAAAAAAAACCTTTATATGTAATGTTATCAGTGGCTCTAAAATAATAAAAACATTTGTAATGCTTACTAAAGATGTTTTCATGATGAATTTTTTTTTTTTAATATTTAGTTAAGTTTCATGAGATCCCATATCCACGAACAAAGGCAAACACATAATTCAGAGAGTTTTGATAACTGACCTGTCATAAAAAGATAGTTACACCCTTCTTGATATTTTTATGAATGTATGAACGTCATTTCTATTTGTGTTTGTGCTTGTTGCTACCTGATTACTTATCCCCTTAAAGACACAGCTTCAGAAGCTGGACCTACCCTTAAGGACACAAGCAATTTTTGCATTTTTTGCGGTTTGAATTCAACCACAAATTGTATATCTCTCATTTATTACATTACATATTATATACCATTTTTTAGAAGACAAAAGGGGCTTTAATTTGATGTCACATATACATATATGAATTCTCATTAATTGTAAAAAAAATGCCGAAAAAAATGGGAACAAAAAAAACAACAACTTTTTTTTCACAGTTTTGGCAATAATAACACATGCATAATATGTCCAGCTTAGAAAAAGTAATTCAAAATAAATGTATTTATGTATCTTGATTTATAGAGTACACAATATGTATTGGATTTCAGCTCATTTTGAAAGTTACAGGTCACAAAATACAAGGACTAAAATAAAATTTCAATGTGAAACAATTTTAGAAGTTGGTATGTTTGTCTTGTAGGTTTAGTAGCCATCACCGAAAACAAAATTGCCTCACAAAAGTATATATTTATATAAAGTAGACATCACAGACTATTTAGCGAGGTAACTTCACAAAATAGTGCCTAGGTCATACATTTGGCATATTGTTTTAATCAAAAGATGTAACTGAGCATAATTTAGGGCATTGTATGATAGTGGCACATATTAAGGGGAAGAATTACCCAGCAAAAATGCTACATGTATGTAAACAAAATTTCATTTTGTTTTCCCTCACCACAAACATTGACGTAAATTGGTGAAAAAATGGTGGCACAATATACACCATATAAGATATCCTGTGATATACAGCATATATCATAAAAATCCAGTCATATAAAAAACCAGTGGCTGAATTGAAAATGCACTGTATGCTACCAGATGATTTGTTCAATTCAGAACGGGGCAATATGGGCTTCAGAAAATAAACCTGACAGCATTTTATATAAAATTACAGGTCAGTGAAGTAACCATTTGGTAAATTTCAATTCCTGAATTGGAATATATCAATAGGGGTTTCTGATATTCTACACTTACACCTTAATTTTATAAGCTTTCTAAATGATTTAATACTGTTAGAAATTCTTTCCAAATTATTTATGTACGTAAATTCCCGTTGAGTTTAACGGTTACTAAAAGTTTTCTCCAACAATATTGAATCATTTGGAAAGCTTATTAAAGCAATGCCTTAGGCCTTAATTTAATATTTAGTAGAAGCCAAAGAAAAAAAAAAGTTACCTGCGCTCTCACCTTAATCCCTATGTATATTTAGACAAATTGAGTTCATTTAGTTACTCCAATGGCCATTGGAGGGAATGCCCACCTGCCAACGTCAAGGCAGACCCCCCCCTAAGCAAGTAAGCAAGGTGAAGGGTCAGTGTAGGTCCCGCTTAGGGGGGTCTGCCTTGATGTTGGCAGGCGGGCATTCCCTCCAATGACCATTGGAGTAACTAAATGACTTCCATTTGTCTAAATATACATAGGGATTAAGGCGAGAGCGCAGGTAACTTTTTTTTTCTTTGGTTTTTACAAATATAAATACGATTTAGCTGTGATTAGGTCGTTAGTAACTTTGAAACTCAGTAGAGTGGAGGGGCGGAAGCCAGATTGAAGAGGGTGAAGGAGAGAGTTGGAATTGAGGAAGTGAGACATACAGGATAAAATAAGTCTTTCCAAAAGATTTGAGGAAAAATGGAGCAGGGATATGGGACGATAGTTATAGAAGGAGGATGGGTTAAGAGATGTTTTTTCAGGATGGGTACAACAGTGGCAAGTTTAAGGTCAGCAGGGACAATGCCAGTAGAGAGAGAGCAATTGAAGATGTATGTTAAGGAAGGCACCAGACAAGGGGAGAAAGATCTGATAAGGTGAGATGGGACCAAGGGTCAAGTCCTGGGGAAAAAAGTGTGGGAACTCATTCAAGATCCACCCCTCCTCCCCCCAAAAAATGATATGCTAGTATGCATAAATATTTCTCAAGAAAATACAGTGCAACATTTATTGTAAAGTGCCAGTTCACAAAGACAGCTCCAAAATTCACATGCAATAAACAAATAGATATAGAACTGTTGTAACAAAATAAGTTAGCTTGTTTGTCATACTAATAAAATAATCACCACAATGTGTGTGATCTTCCTCTCGCAGGGAATCTCTAAAACAAATAGTGTATTAAAAAAAAAAAAACACACAGCCCATTAGAAAATATCCCACAAACAAAAAACGTTGCCCTTGCAAGATTATCAACTTTGAGATTTAGTTTCATCTGCGCTGCGTGGTCAGCCATTTTGTGATGAAGGATCTTATAAATGCACAGGGGGGCCAATGAGACTAATAAACAAAAGAGAAGAGAGGTGTTTAATGCCAATCCCACTCCTAATGGGTGACATCAAATTAATTGTACTGAAACCCCTTTCACAATCACTGGATGTCACTGGAAGACTGTTAACTGCTGTCACCACTGGTTTCAGATTTTCAGGAATCTCTGCACCACCAATATCAATGTAGTCTCTGAAACCTTCACAGATGGATGCAGAGCTGAGACTGAATATTTTACACAGCTGCTCTGGCTTCACTTCACCTTCAAACCATGGACTATCCACATTGATTGGCCAGCGTTATGAATTCAGGATGTCAATTTCAGAGACAAGAGTTTCAAATTCACCTAACTGATGAAGCTGCAGGTCCGTTGCTCGCAGTTAAAGAGTCTGGAGTGTAAAGTATCCACCAAACATTGATAAAAATGAGAGAGATTTATCCTCACTTGGCCTTTGGAACTCTCTGGATTGATGGCCACACCTTTGAAACTCCCTTTCTCCCGCGATTCCATGACTTCTTTCAGATGTTTGCCAGGCATGTCTTTCGTTTTTTCAACTGCACGAATTGAACAATTAATCAGCTGATAGGCTTGTGGAACTGTGATGTCATCTCTTTGTAGAGCTTTGAATAACAGTCCCATTTCCTGAACAGCATACGCAACCCCTGCAAGATTTAACAAATAATCTTCTGATGTCAAGGCCACTAAATAGAGATTTCTGCTTACTTTTATGATCTGAGCTTAAGCTTGCTTTCAAGAAATGACTGTAGTGCATGATATAACTCACAAACTGCTCGTATAGCTCTCTGGCTTGAAGCAACCCATCTACCTGAAAAAACCTTTCCAATTTTAAGAATTTGATTCTAATTATTTTGCACATTCAGAGAGCTCTGCCAGATTGTTTGGGTGACATCTCAAAAAAATGATTTTACATGATGAAGACCAGGAATACAATCAATTGTATATGAAATGCACAATCCTATTTCACAAGCTGTGGATATATTTTTGATTGAGTCGTTCCAGAACACCTGACTTACTTTCACGCATTACATTTGCACCATCACTGCAAGCCCCAATCCAGTTTTTGGCAAGAAAGTCATTACTGAACCCAAATTTAGAAAGACAAGCTAGACGAGTGGCTTCAATAGATTGCATCTGCTTTAGGCCAATCAAGCAAATCGCGAAAGAAAGTGACTGGGTCTTTTCCGTTAACAGAAGCACGAATATAAACAAATGTGTAGAAACTGCTGTAGACGCATCAATATAAACAATTTTTTTGAGCCTGCTGTCATGATCCTGTTCAGCAGGGTTTGTAGTAAACCAGGTTGGCAGAATAAAACACAGTTGCAGCCAATCCAGGTTGGTATGGAGCAGGGATGGTAGTAAACCAGGTTGGCAGGATAAAGCAGTGTTGCAGGTAATCCAGGTTGGTATGAAGCAGGGTTGGTAGTAAACCAGGTTGGCAGGATAAAACAGAGTTGCAGCCAATCCAGGTTGGTATGGAGCAGGGCTGGTAGTAAACCAGGCTGGCAGAATAAAGCAGTGTTGTAGCCAATCCATGTTGGTATGGAGCAGGGGTAGTATGGAGCAGGGTTGGTAGTAAACCAGGTTAATCACAGGTTGCTTGTCAGGAGCCAGGATCTGCAGTCTTTTCAGTATGAACATTAATTTCAATTTAAAGGCCACTTGGTTTGTCAGGTGTGGCTTTTTATAGCATACTTGATTCCTGCTATGAAGGTGTGAGACTTAGGTGGCTAGTGGCTAGGTAGGCCACTAGAGGAGAGAAACAGGTACTGGATTTAAAGAAACAGAAATAAACGAACATAAAACTTAGTTGTCAGAATAAGATCCTTTGCTTTGCAAAGCTTTTTCCTCATTTCACTAGCAATGCAATCTATTATTTATGCTGCTGTGTACTCACTAAAGAATAATCCTAAATCAGCTCCATTTGTAACTTGCAAGCTGATAAGATCTCGAAAGTCTGTGAAAGGGCGATTTTTTGTGTGTGCAAAAGTAGGCAGTGCGAAAGACTACAATGGTGGATGCAAACTTATGCTTCTGCTGTTATGCAATATTGGATTGCAGTATCTCCTTTTTAGATACTGCATGGATATCTCCTGCATTATTTACATGTTCTTCTGAAATCTTATGTATGTGGATTTTTTTTATGCAGTGAGGTCAACATATCTTTTTTTTGTTTTGCCGGATGGAGTAATTGTACCAGTGCTCCATTGTTTGGAAATGGATACACCCTATGAAAAATACACTCCAAGTGTAACCGAGTAAACTTGCAGAAGCCAGACACAGAGAGATGGATGCAGGTTTTCAGGAAGTAAAAGGTCTTTATTAATATACCGATCGGGTCTCAGATGAACTAATGTTCCAAAACAGGTCTGAGGGCCGAACATATGGAGTACATGCTTTTTATAGAACTATAACTCCTCCCATTAATAGCTCCACCTGCACATACCCTTAACCAATCGGTGGACAGGATCTGGATTTCCCTATATGGGCAGACCACATGTCTCATCCGAAACAAAGGAGAAAGGAATGTGATTTCAGTTCCTGCATTCCTGCACATGTTCAATACATTGATGACAGTATCTTAGCTACGTGTAAATAACTAACTGATACGACATACACGTGTACTTACATATGCCACGTGGAAATCTCAGCCTACTAAATTTACATTTCACCGAAATTCCATCACACAAGGTGTTTAACCTCATGACACACTTTGCACCCTAAAATACCATTTTCTACAAACAGCCAAGGGTACTTTTTTTAAATTCTAGCCACTGATTCTGGTCCCAACATTCTGGAAGAATAATGGTATCGCTGACATCGGCAGCGGTATCCTCAGCCACATCAGTAACCAAGTCACCTACTGCCGATTCACTGACTGGTGTAGTTTCTGCAGTGGACACCAGGTCAACCCGCTGAAGCAAAGACTCAGACTGAGTTGAGCAACTTGCAGAATCAGCATGTTATTTCTTACTGGATGCCTTTGTGAAGAAATCTGTAATGCTGCTCTTTCATTTGCTAATTTCTGTACAAATAAAAACAATTTTAAAAATGGTGTGAAATAAGTTTCTGATTAAATTACCTCTTTAGGCAAAGAATTCTACATCCGTTCTGTTATTACTTTTTACTGTGAAAAACTCTTTCCTCTGTTGTCTCTAGTAGGGGTCCAGGGTCCAGTGACTGTGAGGTGCAGGGTGAAGCAAGTTTTACTTACCTTAAGCTCTCCCTTGCGGCCACCACCATCTTCCTCTCACTGGTCCTCTTCAGCTCCTGGTGGCTTCAGTTGCTAGGAGCCCTGTCAGTGCGGTACTCTCCATAAGAGTACAACACTGAGGTCCATAGGGCATTCCGCGGGAGCCTCCATAGACAATGCCTGAATTCCAGCAGCCGTCACTTGTGAAAAATTTGATGGCGGAGTTACTCAGGCTTGTCCATAAGCCTCTACTTTGTCTTATGGTATCTTTGAATTTCCAACACAGTCTGAATCAGTATTTCAAAAAGAATATATCTTTAAGAAATACTGAAAAGTGACAGATCCACTTTAACCCCAAAACACAGAGAGATTAAACTTGTAAGTGCAATATAAATAAAATTATTAAATAAAACAGCAGTAAATGAACAGCTAGGCAAACAATAATTGTCAAATGAATATACTAACACATTGTGGTGCAGTTATACATTTCTGTCAAATAAAGTGTCAGGGTGCCATGCAATGCATTGTAGGCCATTTCTTTAAGTGTGGCAGGATAAGGGGCTGAAGGGGCTAATGGAGCAAAAGCTGGGAGAAACTGGGGCAATCTTCCTGTCTTTGCATACTGAAGGTGTATTTGTATGATGGCACAGTGTGCGTTTGTATGTGAACGCATAAGTGTTTTTGAGTCAGTGTGTGTGAAAATATGTTGGGGGTAAGTGTACAGGGTCATCATAAGTGTGTGGCAGTTCAATGTGCTTGAATGGCATGGCACTGTCTGTGTGAACGAAGTGATAAATTTGAACCCCTCATTGTCTGTAGTCTAGCCCATTCCCAACTCCAATAGCTAGTATGCCATCCCAAGCTGGCTCCTCTCACCTTAATTACGGTTGCAGGCTAATGTGGCTGGCTTTCAGTTGTGGCTGGCAGGCCAATGTGGTTGGCTTCCAGGCCGATGTGGCTTGCTATAAACATATATATACATACACGTTAGAAATGGAGACTAATGGGCCCTTGAGGGGTGTCTCTCCAGCAGAGAAAGTCTCAGAGTCCATTAGAGAGTATGTGTTAGAAAGAGTCCCCACCAGCCCCTCAGAGACCTTAGAGACTATATACATACATACACATATACATACATATACATACAGGGCCGCCATCAGGGGGTGACAACCATAACAAGCATTTAGGGCCACCCGATGTGCCCTATATCTTCAGGGGCCCGGTCAGTGCTGCGGGCAAGTAATTGCGCGACCGGGCCCCTTTAAAAAAAAAAAATTGCGGCTACACTTCCTCCCAGCTTACTGCTCGCGGGAGGAGAGCAGAGGGAGAGCAGTGGACAGGAAAAAGGAGAGGAGAGGCATCCGCTCGCTCCCATCATCCCCAGCCACCTTCCTGCAACTTAAAGGTAAGAGGAGGATGTCTGATAAATGAGATGTGTGTGTGTGTGTGTATATGTATGTATGTCTGTGTGTGTATGTATGTCTGTGTATGTGTCTGCAAGTATGTATGTCTGTTTGTGTATGCATGTCTGTGTGTATGTCAGTATGTATGTCTGTGTGTATGTCAGTAAGTATGTCTGTGTGTATGTCAGTATGTATGTCTGTGTGTGTATGTCTGTGTGTGTCAGTATGCATGTATGTATGTCAGTATGCATGTATGTCAGTGTGTGTGTCAGTATGTCTGTATGTATGTATGTCAGTATTTATATATGTCTGTGTGTGTATGTCAGTATGTATGTCTGTGTATGTGTGTATGTATGTCAGTGTGTGTATGTCAGTATGTATATATGTCTGTATGTCTGTGTATGTGTCTGCAAGTATGTATGTCTGTGTGTGTATGTATGTCTGTGTGTATGTCAGTATGTATGTCTGTGTGTATGTCAGTATGTCTGTGTGTGTGTATGTCAGTATGCATGTATGTCAGTGTGTGTATGTCAATATGTCTGTATGCATGTGTGTATGTGTGTCAGTATGTATATATGTCTGTATGTGTGTCTTTGGCAGTATGTATGTATGTGTATATGTCTGCAAGTATGTATGTATGTCTGTGTGTGTGTATGTCAGTATGTATGTCTGTGTGTGTGTGTGTCAGTATGTATGTATGTATGTCAGTATGCATGTCTGTGTGTGTATGTCAGTATGTATGTGTCTATCTGTATGTGTGTGTTTGTCAGTATGTATATATGTCTGTCTGTATGTCTGTGTGTGTGTGTGTGTGTGTGTGTGTGTGTGTGTGTATGTATGTATGTATATATCTGTCAGTATGCATGGCTGTCTGTGTGTGTGTGTGTGTATGTCAGTATGTCTGTATGTATATATCTGTGTGTGTAGGTCTGTATGTATGTATATCAGTATTTATGTGTATGTATGCCATTATGTATTTATGTGTATGTCTGTTTGTATGTCTGTATGTCAGTTTGTATGTATGTCTGTGTCAGTATGTGAGTATGTATGTACGTCAGTGTGTGTGTCTGTGTATGTGTCTATATGTGTGCATGTCTGTTTCAGTATTTGTGTCTGTTAGTATGTGTGTATCTTTCTGTGTCCTTTTGTGTCTGTGTGTGTGTGTATTCCTGTGGGCGGGGTTTGGAGGCCGGGCTTGGAAGTGGGCACACGGGGGCCCAGACCTTGACCTGTGTTAGGGGCCCCACAATTTCTGATGGCAGCCCTGTATACATTATATATATGATACCAAGTCCAAGTTGGCTCCTTTCACCTAAATTACGGTTGCAGGCTGCTGTCGTGGCTGACTTTCTGCTGTGGCTGGCTAGCAGCTGTGGGTGGCTGGCAGGCCGATGTGGCTGGCTGGCTTTCTGCTGCGGGTGGCTGGCAGCTGTGTCTGACTGACTTTCCGCTGTGGATGGCTGGCTTTCTGCTGTGGCTGGCAGCTGTGAATGGCTGGCATGTCGCTATGACTGGCAAGCTTTCATCTGTTACCGGCAGTCTGCTGTGGCTGGCTGACTGGTTGCCGTGGGTGGCTTTCAGTTGTGGCCAGCTGGCAGCTGTGGATGGCTAACAGGCTGCTGTGGCTAGCTGGTTGGCTTTCAGCTGTTGCTGGCAGACTACTGTGGCTGGGTGGAAAGCTGGCTAGCTGGTAGGTAGGCTGGCTAGCTGGCAAGCTGGATGGGTAGGCTGGCTAGTTGGCTTGACAGGCTGGCTAGGTGGCTTGGCAGGCTGGCTAGGCTGGCTTGGCAGGCTGGAAGACTGGCCAGCTTGCAGGCTGGCTTGGCAGGCTGGATAGCTGGTATATTGGCTAGTTAACCTGACAGGCTGGCTGGTAGACTGGCAGCCTGGGACAGGCAGCAGATTGGCTGGTTAACTAGCTATGTCACTAGTTTTCTTGGCAGGATAAGGCTACTAGGATAGATGTCTAGGCAGGGTAGTTGAGACGCAGCCAGGCTGGCTGGAAGGGAAGACTGCCAGGCTGTCTGCTGTAACGGTCCGAATGTGCAGGTTTAATTTTCAGTTAAATTTACTTTAAGGCAAACAGAGGCAACAGATCCTTCCGCACATAGTTTGCCTTGAAGTAAATCTGCGAACGTCTTCAGGCTCCTCCTCCCTTTCTACTACGAGGCTCCTGAATGGCTGAATCAGCATTGACACTGCAGAGCCTGAGGTGAGGACGGCACGGTCATCTCACGTTGGACTCGGGCGCAATCAAACGGCAGGTCCTGCAGGCAGCAGGACTACTAACAGGAACAGCGGTCCTGCTGTGGAAAAAGTGCAGGAATGTTCCCATGCATTTCTGCAGGACTCGAGCCCTGGATGGGACAGGATCAAGCGAACAAGTAGTGGGCTGAGAGGAAAGGTGGAGTGCAGCCACCTCTTGTTCAGTAGCTGGGGAGAAAGTCTGAAGGGTAGGAAAAGCATGATCTGAAGGGTAGGAAAGGCATGGTGGTTGAAAAAGAGAGAGACAATGTGGAGAGAATTCTTTCCTTAGCTGTTCAATTTTGTCGGTAAAGTGGCATGCAAAGCTATCGGCTGTAAGGTTAGTCTGGAGGGTGGCCACAGCAGAACGAAAAAAAGAGTGTTACAGGTATCAAAGAGACGCCTGGAATTGCGGGAGCATGAACTAATGAGAGAGGAAAAAGTAGACAACCCAAGGCGAGGTCAAGGAATGCTTGTATGAACACAATATGAATTTATAAAAGAGAAAGTCTGACTGGGTGCGAGACTTCCTTCATCAGCGTTCAGCATCTTTGCAGGTAGCATGTTGATTTTGTTTACCATGGTTTGGGGCGTGTCCTTCTCAAGGTGCGTGTTTGGAGCGGGGCTGCGGTATTTAAGGCAGAGGTGAGGGTAGTGTTCTATGTGGAGATGGCCAGTGAGGGACAGGGGAGGGTAGGGATGGATTGGAGTTGTGAATCAATATCAGCTGACAACTGCTAGAGGTCAATAGAATTAAGGTTCCTCCTGAGTTGAGGGTGGTTAGGCTGAGGTGCTTGGATTAGGGGATTTTCGAGAGCAAATGATAAGAGGTGGTGTTTAGAGAGAGGAAATGAAGTGTTGCAGATATTAGACACTGTAAATGCAAAAGAGAAAATGAGGTCCAGGGTATTGCCAGCTACAGGGCTGGGTGAATTAGCCCACTGCAATAGCCCAAGGGAGGAAGTAATGGAAAGTAGTTTAGAGGCTGCTGAGGTCAGGGGTGGAATATTGAAGTCCCCGAGAATTAGAGATGGAATATTAGAGGAAAGTAAGTAGGGTAACCAAGCTGCAAAGTGGTCAAGGAAGAGGAGAGGGGAACCAGGGGGGCAATAAATAACAGCAAAATCATACATTTGTTAATGTGTGGGAGTTTTAGCTGGATTCTTAATTTACCCACATTTTAAAAAGTTTTTATTATGCATTACTCATACCAGGTTTGTACTACATCCTCATGTATCAGATATTTTGTGCTAACATTTTTTAAGTTGTTCCACGATCTAGTTAAAGTCTTGTTATCTGACATTGTTTTATACGTTTTTAAAAGGTGCCACCACTTTTTAAAGTGTTTAACATTCATGTCATGGAGCTAAGTTGTTTTTTCGATAGAGGCAAATACAAGTGATATTTTTAACCCCTTAAGGATGGAGATATTTTCCAATTTCTAAACCAAAACAAAACCTAGAATTTGTGGTATGTGTTTGTTCCACAGTAATTAAAGGGTTTCCATCAAGTTTAACCTTGTAACCCATTCTTTTATGCTGCTAATCCAAAAGAAAAAAAAAATGTACCCTTTTATCATTTTATTTAGCAAATATGCATTTGTCAGAAGTGAAAATAAAATTTATTGTAGAAATCCGCACCTATTTATCCTGCGACTGGACACCTCTATCTAGTCAATCATTGTTGTAAGCTTTGTGCTTTGGGCAGTCAACATAGAGTAAACATACCGAGGAGAAAAGGAACAATACTTCTATTTATCTTCTTAATTAGTAGTTGTTTGCCCCGCTTTGTCTTGTTTGAACTTAATTATGATGTAATTTAAGACTTTAAACATAACATTTAAAAGGAAAAGTAGCTTTTTTTTAATGAAATTATAGGTGATTCTAGAGAAGTGACAGATACCATTTAAATAGTAATAAAAAAATATTTTTACCCACCCAGATTAGGAAGGCTGAATGCAGTTTCAGATTGTCTCCTCCCTCACTTGGAAAAGGTTCCATCAATTGAGCAGTGGTTCCCAACCCAGTCCTCAAGTACCCCCCTAACAGCCCAGGATTTAGGGCAGGCTTCCCCAAACTCCGGCCCTCCAGATGTGGCTGAACTACAACTCCCATGATTCTCAGTCTACCTATTTCATTCATAGAATCATGGGAGTTGTACTTCAGCCACATCTGGAGGGCCAGAGTTTGGGGAAGCCTGATTTAGCGATTACCCTGTTGTGTCTAAGGTGTTTTTAGAAAGAAAAAAAAAAACTTTAGACACAACGAGGTAATCCCTAAATCGTGGACTGGTAGGGGGTACTTGAGGACTGGGTTGGGTACCCCTGAATTGGGGTCTTCTCATTCTGTTCTGATCGCAAATGCCAAAATCCAGCATCAAGAGTTTATGGAATCAAGGGTTTATGGAATAAGTGTTATCTCCCATTCATAGTTCCAATCATCACGTAGGATGAATGGAACTACTTTATGATCTGTTAGCAGCAATACTGCAGCAGCTAATAGTTCATATACAGACTGGTTCACAGTTTGCATGCCATCAGCTCATCTCTTTCTTTAGGGAGGAGAGCACAAAACTCTTCTTACTTGTCTACACTGCATGTATAAGCTAGACACAATTTATATAGGCAGCCCTGGGCAGAGAAACCCATCTGCTAGAACAGGGGTCAGCAAACTATGGCACGTGTGCCATGCATGGCACTCGAGCCTCAAGGTGTTTTTCAACGGCACTCAAGGCTGCCAAACCTTAACTGGCTCTGGCCCATCAAGAGTCCTTTATGCAAACTGAGAGGTTAGGGGCAATCCTCAATCTACGCATTTCAGAATTTATAGGAAGTAACCTCAGATCACTTTATCCCAGAATTTGGGAATGGCAATCCACCCTGGATTAGAGCAGCCTGCAGAAGCTATTGCAGCTCCTGCTCTTGACCTTTATCTGACCTTCCCACTGGACTCCAGGGAAGCCAACCACACTGCTAGATATACACAGAGCTTCAGAATCATCCTCCCCCTCATACAAATAATACAAATATCCCACACACAAACACATCTCCACAACCACAACACCACTGACAATCCACTTACATGCACACAACCCCACAAGCAACCTGTCACATGCAGTACCCTAAGCAGCCCCACACATATACACACCAAATGCACATTTTGACATATTACACAAGCAACCCCCAGACACCGCCCACTTTCATTGGGATCATATACAATACCACAAACTACTCATGAACGTATACTTTACAATATAGCAACTCACATATGCACAAGTACAACACTACAAAGCAACTGCAGCACCCGTAAATAGCACAAGGAAAGTACAGCAACATACACACCTCAATTTTAAAACAGATGATCGGCACGCCAAGACTTCAAAATCTTATTTTGGCACAGTACTACTGAAAGGTTGCCTACCCCTGTGCTAGAATAACAGCTCGGGGTTAAAGGGACTCTCCAGTGCCAGGAACACAATCCGTTTTCCTGGCCTGCAGGTCCCCTCTCCCTCCCACCTCCCAATCCCCGCTTGCTGAAGGGGTGAAAGAAAACCCCTTCAGTGACTTACCAGAGGCAGCGACATGTCCCACGTCGCTGCTTCTTCCTCTGAACTGCAATAATTAGCAGGATTAAGGGTAGTGGGAGTTGGCACCCAGACCACTTCTGCCCATTGGAGTGGTCTGGGTGCAAACTCCAACTACCCTTAATCCTGCAAGTGTAATTATTGCAGTTTTTTATAAACTGCAATAATTACATTGCAGGGTTAACTCAACCTGGAGTGTCCCTTTAAAGGGATTTTACAAATCCTTGCAGTTATAAACAAAAGCACTCAACAATTACCTTTGCAATAACGTAAAGTTGTTATATTGCTTAGGGGGAGCCTTTTAAGGACTGTTATCAGAGGAAGTATCTAAAAAGGAACACTTCCTCTTAAAGGGACACTCTAGTCACCTGAACAACTTCAGTTTAATGAGGTTGTTCAGGTGAGAACTATAGCTCTCTGCAGCCTTTTTCATGTAAACACTGTATTTTCTGAGAAAATACAGTGTTTACATTGAAAGCTAGGAACACCTCCAGTTGCAGTCACTCAGAGTGTACCAGAGGGACTTCGGAGTTGATGGAGGCATAATATGCCTCCATCCACTCAGATATGCTGTCAGCAGAGCACAGGGCAACACTGTGCACAGCATCCTGTGATTCAGTGTCTCCTCCCTCTGCATGCAGACACTGAACTTTCCTCATAGAGATTAATTGATTCAATTCATCTCTAGGAGGAGATGCTGATTGGCCAGGGCTGTGTTTGAATCATGCTGGCTCTGCCCCTGATCTGACTCTTTGTCAGTCTCAGCCAATCCTATGGGGAAGCACTGTGATTGGAACAGGCTACCACATGTCAGCAGACTGCTTGATTTTCTGAGTCTAACAGCATGCAGATTTACAGCTTCTGGCTTGAATACAGTAAGATTTTTACTATATTTATGGAGGCTTGAGGGGCCCAGGGGCGCTAGATGTTGGTATTAACACTATAGGGTCAGGAATACATGTTTGTGTTCCTGACCCTATAGTGATCCTTTAACAAGAGCATTTTTTGGTAAGAAGTGTCCTTGTTCTTGGTATATGCCTTTCACTACTTTAGTTTTCGAATGTCACTTTTGCAATATTTCTGTACTGGTAATAGTATTACGAACATTAAACATACAAACATGAATTTCTAATGCTATAGCATCCAGTGAATATTTAAGTTTGAATGCTTGGGAAAGGTATATTTAAAGGAACACTAGAGTCACCTAAACAACTTTAGCTTAATTAAACAGTTTTAGTGTGTAGATACTGCTTCTTAAGTTTCACTGCTCCATTCACTGCCATTTAGGAGTTAAATCACTTTGTTTCTGTTAATGCAGCCCTTGTCACACTTCCCCTGACTCTGACTGACACAGTTTGCATGAAAACAAAAACTGGTTTCACTTTGAATCAGATGTAATTTACCTTAAACAATTGTATCTCTTTCTTTGTAAATTGAACTTTAATCACATACAGCAGGGTCTAGCGAGCTATTAACATAGTAGGGGATTAGAAAATCTAAATTAAACAGAATTTGCAATAAAGGGAGGATAAACTTTAGATGAGTCTTTACAGGAAGTGTTTAGAAAGGCTATGCAAGTCACTTGCAGGGAGGTGTGACTAGGGTTCATAACCAAAGTGATTTAACTCCTAAATGGCAGAGAATTGAGCGGTGAGACTGCAGGGACATGATCTATACACCAAAACTGCTTCATTAAACTAAAGTGGTTTTGGTGACTATAGTGTCCCTTTAATTATCTTTTCTCCCTTACCTTTGCTTTCTCCACCGCCCCACCCTATTATCTTGATGATCTCAGCAAATCCAATGCCTTCTCATAGGGAGATATTTGGAGGTAGGTGCACATTTGTAGAAAATCGGCACTCTGCACCAATCAAATGCTGCTCTACAAGCAGCAAAAGCACCATAGGTAACCAACAGCGACCAGAGGTGTGTTAACCCTGCAGCGGAAACATTGCAGTTTCTAGAATACTGCAGTGTTTTACATTGCAGGGTTAAAACTACAGGACCATTGCACCCAGACTACTTCAATGAGATAAAGCAGGCTTCCCCAAATTCTGGCCCTCCAGATGTTGCTGAACTACAACTCCCATGATTCTATGAATGAAATATGTAGGCTGAGAATCATGGGAGTTGTAGTTCAGCAACATCTGGAGGGCCGGAGTTTGATGAAGCCTGAGATAAAGTGATATGGGTAACTTTTTAGGGGTAATTAAAAAATTTAGACAATAATAACACTGTACAACTTTGTTCAGCACTAAATTAGTGAGTATGTTTATACTATATTCTGTGGCTATCATAACAAAAGCAACTAGCACACTTGATTTGTAACCTCACACAATAAACACACAATCAGTACAAACATTCCAAAAGTGAAGTGGATCGCTGTCTACACAAAACCACAAACAGTGCTGCTTGGTCTTATCTGTGTATTTGCTGCAACAACCAATCGACACAAAGTACCATGAAAGTAAAACCAGAACACCACAGAAAGTAATACATAAGATTACAATATGACGTTCTGTTTTTAATTTTTTGGCACTTTGTTTAATTATTGGTTGATAAATATATGCAGATGAGTGTCTGTTTGCATTGAAATATCTAAACACTATTGTTTTATATAGACAGCGCTCCACTGCACTTCTTGATTTCACCAAGGGAGACTCTGCTCTAGAGATAGAGATTATTTTAAATTATACAGCACAACAAGGGGTGGGGGCTTTGTATAGCATTAGGAATACAGTTTTGGTGTGGTGTTCAGTAAATAAACCCCAGATTTATTCAAATCAGTTCATTATACATTTAGAAATTATGTTCTTCAAAATTCTTTGGCAAAAAAAAACATGTTCTTTAATACAAGTTACTTTTAGCAAATGTTTGGATTTTCATTTTTTTTTAAATATATATTCTATTTCCTTTTTCCCACATCTTACAGAGAAAGAAACAAGATCTTAAAGGAAGCTGAGATTTTGCATAAAGCCAGGTTTAGCTACATTCTTCCAATATTAGGAATTTGCAATGAAAATGGGAAACTGGGAATAGTGACGGAATATATGACCAGCGGATCGTTGAACCAGCTGTTACATGAGGTCTGTATACTACTTTTTGTGTTGTATTTTGTTTACGTTACTATGACATTTTTTTTCTATATAGAACAATAGATACAACTACACCTCGTAAGATTAGTATTATTTTTTTTTAATTCTGTCATGTTTGGGGGGAAATGTTTTGATATTTTTTATTGTGTTTTTAAAAGGATACCGCAGGCAAGAACTTGCATGTATTCAAATGCTTAAAAGGATACTCTAAGCATTATAAATACTACCGCACAAAAGTTACGAGTTGGCTCTTTCAAGGGTCTGTGGTGCGTCTGGTCTGTACCCATATGCTAAAGCAGTAGCTCATAGGTCTTCAATATGATTATATATTATTGTATATGTTATCTGCAACTTTGGGTATTGTTTATTAGCTGAGAGTGTCACCTGATGCACGGCCACTACTATAAAGATTTCCAGTTTGTGTCCAGTCTGAGGTGTTGCGTTTGGCAGAATAAGCAGGCATGCTTCATGCCACAGCAAAATTAGGAAACCAAGGATTGGAATGTCTACATATTCAGGAACAGACAAGGTTTCAAAGGTAGAGGGGACTAATAGGAACTTAGGGATGGGTAGCACAGAGACAGTGCATGCACCCATTTTGCTCTGGTAGAAATTTGGCATACCACAGCTGTATCAAGAAGGCATGGATAGCATGGCCGAACTGGGGGGAAAAAATCACAGCAGCCCAGTGGAAAGGTGTTGGGGCCTGAGGAGGGGGGTAAATATGTGTCATCATCTGGGCAGTGCAAACACATTTATTGACACGCTTGAGTTTATTGGGGATAAAGGATACAGTGTGTGTGAGGGGTGCAGTGTGTGTGAGGGAGGTCCAGAATTTGACTGTGTTGAATGGTATAGGCCTACATATTGTGTGGAAGGGTTAGGAAAAATGTGCATGTTATTAAATTGTTTGTATATTTTTTTTAAAGAAAACTTTAAATACCTTGTGGTCAGGTAAGGGTGAGGCAGAATTCAGTCCTCTCACACACTCCTCTGAGTGTTGCCATGGCAACCTGTGGAAACGCTCCAAATTGTCCAAATTGTCCTACTCGCAAGAGGAACATACAGTCTCCTGGTTTGGCAGGGATGTTCAGAGGTTTGCCTGAAGGCCAGCCCGGGTCTGACAGATAAGCAGAACAATATCTTCGTGAACAGGAGAGGTTTAATCATCCGAAGGGACAGATATAATCCCAGAAACAGGTAGCACAAAGGTAGTGTATACACCCATTTTGGTTTCACACTCAGGTAATGCTTTTGAAATGACAGGTAGGAATTCTGTATACCAAAGGTGCATCAGGAATGCAAGGATAGGTAAGACAATACTGTCATTAACAGGTATGTTTGCAGTGTCAGAAATCATTGTCCTGGCCACTGGTTCAGAAACAATATATTAGTAGAGGTGATGGCTCATGGGAGTCTGCCATCTCAGCGTGTGACACCATATTGTTCACTGTCACAATCTCAAGCAAAAGAGCAAAATTATGCACCTCAGCCTTAGTTACCTCAGTCAGTTAATATTTTTCCAGTTGCGCAAACAGAGCCTGGAAATTTTAAAACCATTCATAAACCATTTGACAGGTTATCATGGAATGGCACCAGGGAACGTCTGAGATTATAACCGGCAAAGTGTGCTGTAGTGGTTATGGTGTTTAGAGTACCTCTTTACCTTATTTAACTTACATTACTGTGCAAAAGTTTTAGGCACGTGTGAAAAAATGCTGTAAAGTAAGTATGCTTTCAAAGATATAAATGATAGTTTATATTAAACCCTTAAGGACGGCGGGCATTCTATGCTGTCCTTAAGGACCTGGCTCTAAACGCCAACGGGCAGCATAGAACTTCTTTGCCATTCTTGTCGCCCACGTGGCTGCAGCCATTCGCCCTGTGCAGATCGCGGTCAGGGGACATGCCTGGTAACCCAGGCAGTCCCCCTGTGGCCAATGATGGTGATCTGCAGCATGTGATCGCAGGGACAGCCAGTCACTGCGATCACTGTTGCAATGTGTCAGCCACTGAATTTTAACATTGGCTGACACATTCCCTCAGCCACTCTCCTTCACCTCACTTTGATATGAAGGAGAGCAGCAGAGAGATAACTGACCTTTACAGTTTGGAAACTGTAAAACTTGTTAAAAGTTTAAATTTAATCGATCTTTTAACCCCCTCAGTGCTGATCACAGTATTAATACTGTACTCAGCGTGATTAGGGCTTATAGTACTTTTGTACTTATATACATTTTTTTGGGTGGGTCAAAAACATTTATTTTTAATTTTTTTTGACTCTTTGTGTCAGCCGCAACAACCCAAATCTCCCTTACCTGCTGCCATAATCACTGTACTGTACAGTATATCTGCTGTACAGTACTGTATCAGTGATCACTGTGATCAGAGGGCACTCTGATCAGGCTGATATTTTTTTTAGGGTTATTTTTATAAAAATATAACCCTTTCAGTACTGATCGCAGATGCCGAAACTGTTATCAGTACTTTTATTTTTCGTGGGTTTTTGAGGGTGGGTGTTACTCAGGTGGGAAATAGTAATTACCCCCTTAGTTTTTATTAGATAATTGATTTGTCCCCCTAGAATGGCACGTCGCTACTCAACTGAGGAGGTGTATGCCATTCTGGCAGGCAGTGATAGTGACACTCGGTAAGACAGTGACACTATCAAAGCCTCTGACATTGAGCCTCTGAGTGAGACCTCAAGTGACGGTGCCCCACCACCTCCTACAAGAGGACACTCAGAATGCCCAATGCCAGATGGAGATTGGGTGCCCCCAAACATGATGGCCCCAGAAATCCCGCCGTTCACCGTTATACCTGGCATCACTGTAACAGTGTACGACTGCGAGCCAATTTGTTTTTTTTAGCTCTTTATGTCGGACGACATATTTGAGCTCATGGCTCAGCAAACAAATTGTTTGCCATGCAGTATCTCTCTGCACATCCAGGGTCACATTATAGTCGCAGGAATATGTGGCGACCCACGGATGTTGCAGAGATGAAGCGGTTTGGGGCTTTAACCCTAGTGATGGATATAGTTAAAAAGCCCAGTATCAGGTCCTAGTGGAGCACGCACTGCATCCTGGCTACCTTTCTTTTCCCTGAGGTTATGCAGAGGGATCGCTACCTGCAACTGCTGCGATTCCTTCATTTTAATTAAAAGCACTGTGTCCTGGTAGAAACGACCCACTGTTTGACAGGCTCTATAAAATTCCACCCTTTATCCAACTCCTGTCAGACAAATTTTCTGAAAAAAATTTTCAATTGTCAAATCCCTAATGAAATTCAAAGGTTGACTGCTCCTTAAACAATATATATCTTTTAAGCGGTCCCGATATGGCGTTAAATTTTATAAATTATGCGAATCCTGCACTGGTTACACATGCGTTTTGCATTTACCAGGGTAAGGTGGGCACAAGTGGCAAGATTATTTGGGATCTAATCCTTCCTTTGTTAAATAAGGGATACAGGCTATGGGTTGACAACTACTATACCAGTATAGAATTATTTAAAAATGTATATTGCTTTGAAACCCTAGCCTTTGGCACAGTGTTGAAGAATCGCAGGGGTTTCCCCCAAACCCTGACAAGAGGCAGAAGCAGTAGAGGTTCCTCTTCAGCTCTCTGCGCCGAAGTGCATTGTAGACTACAGCAAGTTTATGGGGTGGAGTAGACTTGGCTGACCAAGGCATAAAGCCCTATCTGGTGAACCAAAAAACTAGTACCTGGTACAAGAAAATTGCAATCTACGTGAGCCCTATTGCAATTTTCAATGCCTATGTCCTCTATACAAAAGAGTTCATAGATAAGCCCTGCCCTTTCCTTGAATTCATGCTAAGCCTTTAAACCCATATGTTATTTACCCAGCCCCCCAATACCATTTTGGAATCAGGAGATCGCCAAAGACTTTGTGGCAAACACTTCCCTTTCTGAATCCCCTCCGGCCCGCGTAAAAAAGCTCCCCAAAGAAAGTGCTGTGTTTGCTACAAGAAAGGAGTCCGAAAGGACTCCAGTTATTATTGCCCAACCTGCCCAACCTATCGCCCTCTGAATAACAGACTGTTTCAAAGTCTACCATACAGAGCTGAACTTCTGAATAACTCTTTATGGGACTTTGGCAGTTTGTTTGCTTGATTTCCCTGGATCTCTGACATTGGCTTGTCCTGACCACGCTTTGTAAGCTGCCTGTACCGACCTATTGGCTTGTTTTACCAACTACTCTGACTTCTGGATTCCCCTGACCTTGGCCTGTCCCTGTTTACGCTAGCCATTCTAAAGTGGCTACACCAAACAACTCAAAATACTACATTTGTAGTACTTGAAATATAACTTCCCAAAAAAACTCTAATCACAGTGTTAATGCTGTGATTAGCACTGAAAGGGTTAATAAAATAATCTTTCCCTTTTTTTTTTAACTTTTCACACAGTAACTCTGTGTGAGATCACAGACCTCTCTGCCCTCAGATTATAGTGTATGTGGGGTTACTGTTCTATTTCTGTGATATAATAAAAACCTGAAATAATGGTACGTGGGGGTACTGTTATGTTCATGAAACAATGTGTAATCAAAATACAGAGGCTCTATTGCACAAACTCATATCAGAAATATGAAAGGTCCAGTTAAAATTGAGTTCATGTGTGTGAAAAAACACAAATAATACTACAACCACAATATGGGCCCTGCATTTCTGATAAAGTGGTTAGTCCAAACATCTCAAAGCATGCCATTTGAAATATTTTGGGTTGCCTACTTTTGAAAATTGTATGCCATAACAGTGGAGATGTTATTACCCATGCTGCTATACTCTCTCAAAAGCAACATGGGCCCAAATGGGTAAAACTTACAAGCTGAAAAGGGCATCTAATATATTTCGCCCTGTGACTTATCATAAAAAATCTGAAATAATGGTACGTGGGGGTACTGTTATATCCATGAAACAATGTGTAATCAAAGTACCGAGGCTCTATTGCACTAAGTAATATAAGGATTATGAAATTTCCTGTGAAAATGCAATTCATGTGTGTAAAAATACAAAAATAAAAGTATAAATCGCTACATGAGCCCTGCATTTCTGTTAAAATGGCTAGACCAAACTTCTCAAATTATGCCATTTGGAAAACTCTGGGTTGCCTACTTTTGAAAATGCTATGCCATAATGGCGGAAATGGTATTACCCAAGCTACCATACTCTGTCAAAGGCAAGATAGGCCCAGAAAATCACTTTGCCAAATTTCCAACTTTGAAATGGATATCTAATATTTTTGTCCCTGTGACTTTCACTAAAAAACAGAAAATCTAGTACATCGTGGTACTGTTATATTCAGGAGACAATGTTAAACAAAAATAGTGAAGCTTTGTGAGAATTGTGAGTTCATGTGTGTGAAAAAGCACAAATAAAACTATAACTGCTATGTGGGCCCTTCATTTCTGATAAAGTGGTTAGACCAAACATCTTAAAGCGGCACTGTCATGCCGAACTTACCTCTCCTTAATCTCTTCCTCTTCTCCCCCTCTCTCAGGATCTGCTCTTTTTTTCTTCTCCTTCTTCTTTAGTTTTCTTTAAAATCATAAGACAAAGTAGGGACTCTTTGACTTATGGAGGTTTCCTCCGCTTGACCAGCTTTGACCAGCGGAGGGGCAAAGTGTGCTTCATTTCCGCTGCTCAGAGCAATTTTCCCATAATTCTTACCTTTCCTCTGTGATTTCGCGATGCTTCCTGTCATTTTACACGAAACTGACGAATTGCATTCTAACTCAAAGAGAACAGTATGTTCATTTCTTTTAGAACTCAATTCGGCACTTTATTCGTATCGGAATTTCATTCGAATGAATGAAACTCTGATTCAATTTGTGTCACGGCTGCATCTTGCAGCCGCTTAGTAGATAACTCCCTAATTCCCATGGTATTAGGGAGCTATCTACCAAAAGGCTAAAAGACCTAAATTGGTCTTTCAGCCACATTTACTAAATATTATTTAGTATTAGTAAATTATGCCCCTACTCGCTATACCGCGAGTAGGGGCATGTCTAGTAAACAGTGAGCAGCCTGTGGCTGCTCACTGTTTAAAAAAAAACAAAAAAACCTATTGCCCCCACCCCTGTGCGACAGGTGGGGGCCATAAAGATAATGAGGGGGGAACTACTGTCCTCCCCCGGCCCCCTCCCCTGCGCGGTGGGTGGGGGCCATAAATTACATTGGGGGGACCTACTGTCCTCCCCTCCTGGCCCCCACCCTTGAGCAGTGGGTGGAGGCCATAAAGATAAAGAAAAAAATGAGCGCAAAAAAAATAATCCTTTTTCACCCATGGAGGGCTCCGCGCAGACTGAGCTCTGCAGGGCGGGGGAAGGCTTATAAAGCCTTGCCCTGCCCTGCAATTAGGCTAAGAACACTCTGATTCCAAAGAACTTTCCCACGCTGTGTAAAATGACACAGAGCACTCTGATAGGCTGCTCACTGTTTAGTGGACATGCCCCTACTCTAGGTATAGCGAGTAGGGGCATTGGGGAGATTTTAATCTCCCTTATGCTATTATGGGGTCATATTGATCCCCATAGAGTGAGGGAGGACATGGGGGGACTTAGGAAGTGGCGGGGAGCACGGCTCGCTGACGCTTCTATCTTTACATATTACAAGGAGGGAGCTGCGTGCCGGTACATTGATACACAGTGTTTGTTTGTTCGTCTGATTTTTCTATTCATTCGGTTTTCTGGGCATATGCAGGATTCTCACAGTGCTACCTAGTGTGGGCAGATGACGTGTCCCACAGGGACTTCCTCTACCCACACAAAGATGGCGGCGCCATGTATTTAGATCGGGGCAGAAAATAAAGAATAAAAAAAATAGGTAATCTGGGGGGCATAGGGGCATTTGGGGGTGATTAGGGGGTCAGTTAGATGTAGTGGAGGCGGGAGGGGGGTTAAAAAAAAGCGGGATTTGGCCATGATAATGCCGCTTTAAAATGTTCCATTTGGAATACTCTGGGTTGCCTAATTTTGAAAATGGGGTGCCAAAATGGTGGAAATGTTATTACCCAGGCTGTCATACTCTCTCAAAGGCGAGATAAGCCCAGAAAATCACTTAATCAAATTTCAAAGTGTAAAAACATAAACAGTAAAAGTACAGTTTTAATGTGATAAATGCAAAAAAAAAAAAAAAGTTTGGCTAGGGTTTGTGCCCAAGTGGCTAGTACAAAAGACTGGACATACCCTATTTTGAATACTCTGGTATGTCTTCTTTTTCTAATGGTATGCCATGATGGAAGTAATTTTCACTTCTTGACTGCCATACGGTTTCAAAGGCAGCCTAGACACAGCAAACTAATCCGACAAATTTCAATGTACAAAAACATAAATGGACAAGCTGAGGTGTCTTGCATGTGGTCTGCAGCTCACTCCCGGCGGAGCTGCAGACTGAAGAGAGAGGACTCCCACTGGACCACTAGGGAAGGCATTTAAACCCCCCTCTGCCCCCTGTCCAGCCAATCAGCAGCAGACCCTCCCTCCCAGACCCTCCCACCTCTTGGACAGCATCCATTTTACATTCATTGTGAAGCTGCATTCTTAGTGAGCTGTCCAGGAGGTGGGAGGGTCTGGGAGGGAGGGTCTGCTGCTGATTGGCTGGAATGTGTCTGCTGACTGTGAGGTACAGGGTCAAAGTTTACTCAATGATGAGTCCATGGCGAACCGTTCGCGAACCGTTCGGCGAACCGCTCGGGACATCACTACTTCCTATATTTAATAAGAAATATTTTCATTTGTATAAATGTCAGATTATATTCTGCAGTAATCTTGTAGTAGTGCAGATATAATGAATGAGTAAAAACGTTTGTTACAGTAAGAATGCTGATGTGTAATATTAGGAAACGACTTTTATGAAATTATTTTTCTTGCTAAATCGCAACTAAAATGTCAGCAAATCTTGTCATCTGCTCATGTTCATGTTTTTCTTTAATCTGAAACGAGTGTTGACAACTTCAGCTTTTCTTGGGTGGCATGAAAGAATCAATAGCAGGGTAAAGCGCAAGAACAAAAATAGGGCTTATTCACTAAATATTGAATTATAGGGAAGTGAGAACCAATTAGCAAAATGTAGGAGAAAAGTAATGGTTTGGAAATATTCTCCAAATTAACTTTTGTCACAGCTTGGCTATTTTAATCTAAAAGAGTTATACAGTAAAGTGAGAATTACAAGTGATTTTCAACCTTAATGTAGTTGTTCTGGTGTTTATAGCCTGTCCCTGCAGGCATTAGAGAAAAGGCAGTGTTTACATTGCTGGCTAGTTACACCTCTAGAGGCAGTCACTCAGACAGAAACTCAGATGTAGCGCTGACGATCAGCATCTCCAGGAGCTGAATATTTACCATAAAGATGCATCGATTTAATGCATCTCTATGAGGAGATGCTGATTGGTGCAATACTGCATTTTGCTGTGCATGCGCAATAGTCTCCCAATGCTTTCCTACAGGAAAGCATTGGATTGGCTGAAATTGTCTAATTTGATGAAATCAGGGCTAGCAGCGACGAGACCGGTGTGGCACTGGGAAAAGGTAAGTAAAATCAGTTTTTTAAATTAAAGAGAGGAGGGCCGGAAACCCAAATAGTCATGTTACCATTATAGGGTACGGAATATATGTCTGTGTTCCTGGCACTATAGTTTTCCTTTAAGTTGGCCAAGCTGTAAACATTCTCTAAGTCAACTATGCTTTCAGTACGGCTACTCTGGCCTTAAATTTAAAACTCTCTCTTTAGTACATAAACCTGTTACTGTTACAATCCAGTTTTCAATTCACTAGTATTTGGTGTATCACGAATAAACCACTAGTGTGGCCTAGTTGTCTTGCATGGAGTGGTAAGGCCAGAATGTTGGTTTGGCTAGGTAGGTTTGTTGCACACAAATACAACTCATTAGAAATTTAAGTGTGTCTTAAAACCATTCACTTAAATTTACTCGGTGGTGTAAATAGTTGTGCTACTGAATTCAGATTTAAAGATCCGTGAGGTTTGCTATCACAGCTCACAGAATGGGTCTGGAGTGCAAGCTAAGGGATCTCTTTCCCTAGTGTAGATTCTAAGAAATCAGAACACTAGGGGAAATAGCAGGCAGGTTATCTTCCCCTGATATGTTGTATGCTTGCATATTGTTTTTAATTCTTTGTACTCAAGACAATATATATCTATTTTTGTAAATTCTGTTTTCATCTCTATACTTTACTACTTAATACATATATACAATGTATGTTTATCTTTTCTCTTCTCATTTAGGAAAATCCTTCATTGGAAATAGCATGGCCATTAAGGTTCCGTATACTGTATGAAATTGCATTGGGTGTAAATTTTCTGCACAATATGAACCCTCCGCTGCTGCATCATGACCTAAAGACACATAATATCCTATTGGATAATGATTTCCATGTCAAGGTATGTTTATTATCGAACAAAGTGTCCCATGATGTCGTTTTTAAACCAAAATGAAGATGGGCATTTCAGAACAAGTGACAATCAGTGGTTCAAGTTTAGAACATATAGTTATTTCAGAATAGGTGGCAGTAATGTGTCTACATTTAGAACTTATGAGCAATGTAGAATATGTGGCAGTTTTAGTTGTATGTTTAGAGCCTATGCGTCATTTCAAATAGGTGACCGTCAGAGTTGCAAATTTAGAATCTGTAGGCATTTTAGAACAGGTGGCAGTCAGAGGTGCAACTTAGAACATATGTGTATTTCAGAAGAGGTGATTATCACAGGTGCACATTTAGAATCTATGGGCCTTGCAGGGCAGGTGTTAGCACAGTTGTACGTTTAGAACTTATCTGCAGTTTAGAATGGGCACTAGTCAGAGATGGGAATTTTAAAAACGTATTGATCATTCAGAATAGGTGACATTGTTGCAAATTTAGAACATAAGGAAATTTTAGAACAAGTGGCAATCACAGAAATAACTTATTAGCAAAGTAGAATAGGCAGCAGAAGAGGTGCGCGTTTTCATTAATAACATATATTGACCTTATTAGTCGTCTTTATCAACATAATAATAAAAGAAAAAAAAGTAAAAAAAAAAAAACAATATTCTGATAGTAAGTAAAATATATAACTAGTGATACTGCATTATGCAGTGTGCTGATATATATCTATGGAAACCCAGACACAGAGATGCAGTCCCTAATATGACTAGCATCTTCCCCAGTTTGCCCACTTCCTATGCTCATCACATGATGTTGCTTCCCTGTCTGCCACTTCTCATGCTGCAACTGCAACCACGTTGCCAACCACAGCACATGGAGCAGAAGACACAATGCATACGCCCAACTTCCTTACTCTGAAGGTGCTGACTGTTAAACATAGTAAAATAGTACATACTTTAAACCAAATATTTTACATGAGTCAGTTAATCAATGCTGTTAAAAAGTGTCTAATACTGATGGGGGGACTTGCCCAGCATGGCAGACGGCCGCACATCGCATGAGCTCTGGGAGTTATCATAGGCAGCCTATTGCATAAGGGTGTGCACCTAAAGCACAAACACACACGTCGCGTGTATATGTATGTGTGTGTGTGTGTGTATATATATATATATATATATATATATATATATATATATGTGTGTGTGTGAGGGTTCTGGTAGTGTGTGCTGTGTGTGTGTGTGGGGGTAGGGGAACAGATTAGGAAATAGTCGGTCGCACATCGCATAAGGGTGTGCACCTAAAGCACAAACACACACATCGTGTGTGAGGGTGCTGGTAATGTGTGCTGTGTGAGGGTGCTGGTAGTGTGAATTTGTTTGGAGGGTGCTGTGTGTGAGGGTAAGGGAACAGATTAGGAAATAGTCCTCCCTTCTTACCTTTTGCCTGGGAGCCTGCCGGCCTCGCTAGAGGAACCCAGAGGAGCTGCTGGCAAGAGCTCCCCAGGTCCTCTCCTGCCTCCCACACTGCCTGTGGGCTTTGATCTCCTTTACCAGCCCATGGAGGCACACAGCGCAGTACGCAGCATAGGCACCCATGCACACGCCTATGAATGGACTCTGCTGAATCATAGCTCACCCAGGACTCTATCACTAGTACATTTGATAGATGACACTGCTTAAACTGCTGGACGTGTCAATTTTGTCCTCCTAGTAGCGGCCTGGCAGTACGGGACTGGGGGAAACGGCTGATCCCTCAGTCAATGTTCTAGTCAGACTCACGGAGTCTGGTGAGGGTTATCCTGGCATTCTCAACCAATTACCTTTCTCTGGGACTATGTGCATCCTGTCAAATCCACGGCCTCACTACTGTGCAGGAAAACGACCCTGTGCACCATGCGAGGCCTACTCTAAGCTTCTTGGCAGCATTGGACGAAATATGTGAAGCCTTCTGGGAGAGACTGAGGCAACAAGTAGACCCTGGCCACAGGCTCAAAGGGGCTGATCTCGTCACAAAGAGCACCCACACACTTACTCATCTCCCACTGGAGATACCAAGGGGGCCCAAGAAGTCAGACCTCTCTTACAGACAGGCGTGGTCGCCCCACAGGTGCCAGACAGGGGATTTGAACCTGCATCCTAAGCCTGCGTTCCGGCCTCTGAGTGGCTTCAATACTTATGGATCTACCCTGGTTTATCTGGCATTGCCTGCAGCAAAAGGTGGTTGGACTTCACCAGTGGCTTCTACCTGTCAATCTAAGTCCACATGAGGCAGATGGATCTTTATCCCTGGTATATAATGCTGCCCTCAGTTCATTGTTTCACATTTGCTGTTTCCTAAGACTGACTTGGTTTGTGACCCCTGCTTGTGGAATATACGCTATTGCCTGTTTGCCGCCTGCCCTGACCTTTTTGATACCATGCCTGACTACTCTTCTGGATTTGTCCTTGTCTGTTTCCTCATACCCAGCTACTATTCCTGCCTAAGCCCCCATGCACAGATTCACAGCCCAGGTAGCTTCTTATCTGGTTATCGTGGGCTGTGTTTATCTGCAAGGGTGAGCATACATCTCTGCTCTTTGGACTCCAACTAAGGTAAGCCGTGACAGCTCTAGGCGGCAAAGGAGCCCTCCTGTAACCTTGAGGAGCTGTGGTGGGGGGAGTGGGAACCCTCGACATGCTCGCCGCATATGTGGCCATCAGAGGAAACAGCTCAGACACCATGATGGCGACAAGCGCCGGGATCGACCCCCATCTTGCCCTGACCACCCAGCAGTACAGGGGCCTAAGCTGGAGCATGCCTGGTCCTATATCTCGCAGAGCCCTGACACGATATTTCCCAGGTATGCTTGGAAGCGGTTCCCATCCGCAGCACCTGGCGACTCTGCCTCACAAAAGGACATCGGCTAATTGCCTTGCCGCACCCAGAGACTCTTATCCCAATCAGATTGTCTCTGGAGCCCATCTCCCTCTATTATGACTTGTAAGGTCGTTTATGTAGCAATGGTCAGTCCTAGCACGCTTAACCATATTTAATATATGTTGGTTAATCATTCTACAACTGAACCCATAGCCTGCTGACTTTCGTACCTGCTGGAATGGGCTGATCCAGAAAGAGGCCTACAACCTGCTGACATGCAACAATCCTGCTTCATAGAACGGGACTTGGAAGAAAGCGGACATTCGTTGCCTTTGGGCTTCACTCTTCATGACAACTACCCTTGCTGAAGAGCACTTTGATTTACGGTTCTACTTACTTTAAGCACATTGTCTTATATTTTTGTTTAACCTGTTGAAGTATTACTCAGTCTCAGTGGTACTCACTTTACTTTACTTTAAAGCACACTCCAGTCTAGCTTCACTGTCAGTTAGCCTGATTACCCACTCACTATGCTTAGACTTGTCTCCCCTTTTTGTGTCTGAAAGCCTATTCCCTACACGAGACAGGACAGCTAAGCTTGATATATCTTGTTTTGCAGCTCCAAATTAAGCAGATATAGATTGGGGACAATCTCTTCTATTCTATTCTTATAGTTCACTCAATATCTTGATAGCCTTCCACACCTTGACTGTTGATGCCATAATCTCGTTCTAGATAGATCTCATAAGCATGTTTATAATCCTGTTATTATACCTTCCTAAAAAAATGGTACATGTTAAACTCACCGCCTTATTGCATGTAAGTTATGTATCCTGACTCTCTTGCAATTTCTATCAGGGCATGACAAGCTGTATGTTCTTATCTGCACTACAAAAATAAAGAATAATAATAATAATAAAAATAAAGTGTCTAATACTGCTCAAGGAAAGTTGGGAAACACAAACAAATCTGCATTTAAAATGTTGCAGTCAGACTATTTAGAGTGCAGCCTCATTACCAGTGGTGTTATTGAAAATGTTGCATTTAGGGTTAGGTTAGCGTTCGGAGCATTTGGGTTAAGGGGTTTCCTTATGGATTAGGGTTTGGCTGGAAGTGATAGATCTTACAGTTCACAGCATGTTACAAGCAGAAATTCTAAACCCCTGTCACCTAAACCTTTGACACGCTGCTATACTGCACATAATTACTGCAGCTGGTAATGTTTTTTGTGTAATTTTAGTTTGTTTATTTTTTAAACTTAAGGGGCCAAGTAATGTAAACTATAACAGCAACACATCTAATTAACAACCCCCCCCCCTTTCCTCCACCTGTTTTCTTTCTTTATTAATGTGTTAAATTAAAGGATAATGATATATATATATATATAGATAGATAGATATATACACACACAATTCTATATAAATATAGAATTGTGTGGATTTTTTAATTTGTAAATTGCTTTCCCCAATTGCTAAAAAAAAAAAAAAAAAAAAATGTTGCAATTTGGATCTTTGTTTGCTACAGTTTAGAAAATAAAGTATCCGACAAATGAAAATAATCTCTGACAAACAGGTGTTTGTTTCCTTATAAAGTTATTGATTCTCAAACATGCAAAACAATGGCAGGTATTTATTCTAGGATATGAGTATTTTTCTTTTAGTTTCTGGTATAATAGAGGTATGTGCAGCATATCAGTCTAATTTTGTATTTTGTATTGTTTTGTCTGACATAGTTTAGCTGGTTTGCTAAAATTTGCAGTAAACCTTTTTAAGAACAGAGATTAGAAGTGGTCACGGTACGTTGAGTCTTTATTAGCCTTTCTTTTACCTCCGGCAGTGCCATCGGTGCATCATTAGCCAAAGCAGAACAAGAGTTCCATGTTGGCTAATGTCAATGCTGTGCATATTCCTATGCACAGAACGTCACTCATTGGCTGAGAGCGATCAGCTGACCCTCTCAGCCAGTGAATGAGTGGTAGGATCGGCATCCAATGGCTGATGCAGTTCAACCACCATTGTGGGACCCTTGGCGCCCAGTAGAGGACCACGGTAAAAGGGCAAATCATTGTAAAATAATTAGCTCCTTTACCTAAAATAGTGCCAGGGTAATCCTACCATCTTAAAGGACTGTAGTGGTTATGACAGTTGGGGTAACTATTTAATTGGTTGTTGCGTCTGTAGTGCATTCATTTGTGGGGTTTTTGTGAAAAGTAAAACTTTTAATATGTTGTACAAAACACGTTGATATAGTTAAACATTGGGAATGCTGCAAACTGTAACTCCAATTTGTCTAAGCTACTTGACATATGGCCTTGTCTTACTGGTAATGATAGTAAATATAGTCTCCAATATCTTGACATCACTTTAACCTTGAATACACATTAGTCCCAAGTATAGCCTTACTTTGTAGAGTTGCTGTGTTCCATAACTTCCATAACTGTGTTATCAGCCTCAGGCGCATGAGATTTAGACTCCACTGCATTCCATGTTTAAAATAAATGGGGCTCTGGACAAGCTCCTATTTTGGGCCCCCCACAAAATACTGAATCCTGTTCTTATCAGAACCTCCATGTAGAATCTCACAATTCCTGCTATTTTATTATCCCCTATAATCTCTCACCAGTGCTCCTGGGTACCCAATTATCTTTTCCCTGCCCCTCTTTATCTCCCCTTAGAACCTATTACCTCACCCTAGCTCCCCTGTTTTCACTTCTTAATTCCCCTATTATTTCCTTATTCCTCTCCCACCTGTAATTTTTGTACCTCCTGAACCGGCAGCACTTTTTCTTCCTATGAAAACTTAGATCCAGTTCTTCTGCTGTCCGCCTAGTAAAACAGAGGTGGGAACTGCTGGCGGCTGTGTGGAGTCCAAGGCTGCATTGATTAATCCATGGGCAGCTGGAAGAGATGCCAGTAGGATACCTACTTACTGGTCACCCTCCTTGTAGGCAGCAGGCCAGATGCATTAAATCCACAGGCTGCATAATGCTTGCGGGCAATATGTTCAACAGCTCTGGTATAGAGGGCCCAAATGGCAGCTGCTATGAGTCCCCTACAAAATATACGGCCCAGTTCAACTGTTACTTTTGACAGCTGACCTCGGCTGTCGACTGTCAAAAAAAAAAAAATCACTTTGCGGTTGCTGTTGAGTCAGCTCAGTCCTTTTGATCAAACACCTTAGCCTGCTTTATCAGCTGTACAAAAAGATTATTATAATGAAGAATATTGATAAATTCCAATGCACAGAATGAATTCCACTTTGGTTAAACATTGATTTAACTTTTGCAAAGAAACGGAGATGAATGGAATGCACATTTCTACCATTTTCACTTAAACAGACTTAATAGTTTAAAGTGTTATGTTATTGTTGAATATATCTTGCATAATAGATGCTTTTCCTTTTCCTATAAGTTTAAATGCCAGTATAGTCACCCAAACCACTTTACCTCAATGAAGTGGTCTGGGTTCTGTGTCCTGTCCTTTTAAAACTGCAATATTTACATTGCAGGGACAAATCCACCTTTAGTGACTGTCATACAGTCATACAGTCACATAATATTGAAATTATTTGCAAAGAGGGCATCCAAAAAGAGACATCCCAAGTTCGATCTTCTGTCTCATTGTCACATATGCACATAATAAGACCTTGTGCACGAAGGCCATTCTCAAGGCACTGCTGTGCTAACCCCTACAAAAACACTATAGTGTTAGGAATAAAAACATAAATCCCTAATGCTAAAGCGACTTGCCCATTATTTAGGTTACCCCTGCCCCCCATTATGTGAAAAGGTTTACTTAATTCTCTTAACTTTTCTCTCTTGACACAGTGTTTTTTTTAAACTCAGCACTGCCTCCTTGGCTGAGATCATCAATCAATGATCTCAGCCAATCCAGTGCTTTCCCATAAGAACACTGGAAGGATAGTGTGCATGCACAGTAATAATCAAAGGTAAAGCAGACAGGAATAAAACTATCCAAATCGAGTGTAAAGACAGGGAATGAACTTGGAATATTAAGGAAAACGGCTTATTTTCCCTCATTCACATTAATCTCTACTGGTATAAAAAAGCATCTATAAAAGCTCAAGAAATATAATGAATCACAAGGATACGGGGTCCTAAAAACGAAGAATGTATCAAGAAAAATGTTGTGAGAATTGAAAAACTAATTTTAAAAAAATGAATGAAATTAATGATGACTTGTGCAGGAAAAGTGCTGTCCCTAAAAAGGAATGAAGAGACAGCTGTTATCTAAACAGTGACAAATAATTTAAAGAACAAAGTTGATAAAACAGTACACAGCAAAAGATACTATAACAATATAAAATGAAACAGCAAAAACAAACATAGGAAGAGCATTGCAGTCCATGTAGTGAACAGTCAATATCACTTTATATCATGATAAAATGTAGCAAAAATGTATCAGCTGCCAAGATGCTAGATACCTGTTACTGAATAGCAGGAGCTAAAATCATCTGTGGCTGATATTCTATGAGCTATATAGGACTACATGGGATAGTGACATATAGGTGAAAAAGTCTTCTTTAGACCATGAAGTGGTCTCATATGTTGAACGATGTCTCGAGATCTAGAAAGGGCAAAAAACAAGAGACATAGTGTTCTCTGTAAACCCTTTATTAGTAATGACAAACACTTACAAGCTCTCCACAATTAAAGGCATATCTGTGGAACAGTAGGAGTAACGGCTCCAGATGTTGAAAAAAATGTAGTCCTTTTAGTGCTCTCGCTTTCACCGGCTTAAAAGTGAAATGTGAGCAAGTCTGTTAGGGGGGTAAGCTGCTGACCATCGCGGGCATTCCACCTGGGACACCGGGAAGCCAATCCTGTGTTCCACTGCAGTCCTCCTCCGAGAGAGTGTCTGTTCGGTGTAATCACCTTACGTGTTTCGTGACAAGCAATGTCACTTCTTCAGAGGCTAATGGTAAGATTAGGTCTCTATGGAGTTTACAAATAATTTTAAGAAAAAAGTTGATAAAATAGTACACAGCAAAATATACTACATAGCTCCAAGAAACACATGGCTATTTTGTACTTTTTCTTATTGAGGTATATTATGAGACTGTTCAAGAAATATTGTGCAAAAAATTACCATTGTAAAAGAATGCTTAAAAAACATTAAAATATGTAACAACAAGAATATAAGAATACAATAAAATCTAAAAAAAACTATAATTATGCATAAACAATGTGAACTGATATGAATACTTAACAAATGCAAACGTGAGAATATGTATATTAGATTGAAAAAGAATACATAGACATATACACCTATAAAGTAAATTAATAAAATGCAACCAATAAAACCAATGACAATGGAAAATCTAAAATAAAGATGTGAATTCTACAATATAAGTCAAACTCAGGAGAGTCAAATGTTACGTAAATATTGGTAAAAATTGAATGCGAAGAAATGGTATCTTGACATATATCTACCATTTCTTCATATTCTATTTTTGCCAATATTTACTTATTAACTTATTAACTTATATTGTACATATTGTACACTTCACATCTTTTATTTATATTTTCCATTGAAAGAAGAAGTTCAAAATAGCCATGTGTTTCCTGGGGCTATATAGTATCTTTTGCTGTGTACTATTTTATCAACTTTTTTCTTAAAATTATTTGTCACTGTTTAGTTAATAGCGGCCCCTTCATTCCTTTTTAGGGGCAACACTTTACCTGCACAAGTCATTAATTTAATTCATTTTTTAAAATTAATTTTTCTATTCTCACAGCATACTTCCTGGTACGTTTTTAGGATCCAGTATCCTTGTGAGTCACAGTAATAATCAAGTTTAACCCCTTAAGAACACATGACGGAAATATTCCGTCATGATTCCCTTTCATTCCAGAAGTTTTGTCCTTAAGGGGTTAACATGGTTATTTTGATGGAAGTGCCTCTAGTGAATGTTAGTGAAATAGCCACTATAGGAGTTTTAACCTTGCAATGTAAACATTGCCGTTCCTAGAGAATGGCAAAGATTTCATTTTCAAGGGTTACCCTGACCAATCATGGCACCCAGACCATTTCATTGAGATGAATTGACCTGGGTGTCTATTTAATCGAGCCAGTCAGCATGATTTGCACTTTCCAAAGGTTAGTGTGCCAGGCTGACTGCCAATGACATAGATCAAGGTCCTCCCATCACTATCCTAATTAACATACTTCCTAATTGTGGGGAGGTATGTGAGAGTTTTTGGCATCATGTGCAAGCAATTACAGGTTAAATTAAATTGCTACTGATTTCTTAGTCATTGACTTTATCTTTATGATATAAAAAAAGGGATAGAGAAATTACCTTTTTTTTTTTATCTATTTCATTGCTTCATTAATTATTATGCAACTACCATCCATCCCGCATTGATTATCGAAAATTTGTGGGTGTAACAATCATATTCTGCTCCTGTCTATGTACCTCTCCCTCACCCTAGCAATTCTCCTAGCACAATATAGAATTGCTGTTTGTTTTTGTTTTTAGGCTTAATTTATCATAATATAAATAACTTTACCCATGACAGTTTTAGGAAATTCCACTACATTTGTAGAAGAACCACATGTGGCAGAATTAATATATTAAATATTTTCAGTACATTTTTGTGTATACAATGAAGAAACAACAGCATGGCTCTCGCAGTTGCATCTTCTATGCTGTGATATTTTGTAGGAATTTATGAACTTTTTGTTATGTTTATTTTAACATGAACAGTCTAAGTATTCTAAAGTGAGAGTTGGGGAGAGGAATACATACCCAATTTGTAAACCATGTTTGGTTTCTTCACTTTTAGTATACGTATATCTATTTGTACAAATATAGTGATCATCCATAGACCTTTCTCCTAATCATTTGAAATTCATTGTCCTTCTTTTCCCTCAGATTGCTGACTTTGGGTTATCTAAATGGCGTATGTTGTCATCATCGCAGTCTTTAAGTGACCATAGCTCACCTGGGGGAACGATTGTTTACATGCCTCCGGAGGTGTATATACCAAATGCCAAAAATAAAAGAGGAAGTGTTAAACACGACATGTACAGGTATTCTACTAATCACCTCTTCTAGGTTGAGGTTCACTCAAATGGTGTCCATTTATAAAAAGTTATAGAGGGAGTCAAGCGTTGTTTTTAACACTTCTAATATTGCACATTGTACATTTATATTGTACATTGTCTCAATACAAAACACTTTTTTTGTGTGAATTTGGAAGGACTAATTACCAAGTTTGTTTACAAAACATCTTGAAACCACTTTACACTTTGGTATTTTTTGTTCGTTATAGTTCTTAGTAATTCAGTTTATATTTGTTAACACACTGTAGTGTGATTTTCTACAGCCTGACTGTAATTCTTTAGTGATGGGGGGAAATTTACTCAAAAATACTATTCACTTGCTAAAATAATCAGTGACGCAAAGAAGGAAGTCTTCCAACCAGAGAAAAACCCTGACAAAGGAAACAATAGAAACTGTGATCGCTAGCTATTTACTCGATTTACTCGATTTTATTCCAGTTTAATTTTGGTAACTGTTTTTAGGGTAAATGCTGCACTTAGTAGGAGCAGGTACAGGGTCCCACAAAATGTACTTATATGGATCCCTTGTCCATATAAGGATAGGAACAGAGAGTGTCCTTTGGATCAATATCTAATCCTACCCCTATTTATTTTCAGAAATGCCATGTCATACAGTCAGGGCCAGATTAAGAGCCCATTGGGCCTGGTGCTGACAATTTCGATGGGCCTAATTACAGAATCTTATCAAAAGAAAACACAAAAACAGTCATACCTCCCAAGCGTCATATATCTGGTGGAGGTGGTGCTGGAGGATAACTCACAGGATATAGCCATCCGAAAACGCATAACCTATGCTAATCTATAGCTTTCATCTTTCAAGTAAATCCATACCCCCTAACAGCAGTGTCCGGTGAAGAAGGAAATCGGAGGGCAGAGTACAAGGCTGGGCCACTGACGCGAATCAGTTTACCAGAACGCCTTGAAGGGGAGAACATGCCCAAAAAGGGGGCAAGTCTGCCTGAAAGTATTAGGTCAGCCTGGTGTAAATGCATGTCAGGCTGCCTGCCAAACTTGCATACTGGCCAGCGAAAGGCATACCATGCAGGCAGCACCCTGAGCTTGGCATAAATGCGTCTAATGATGCGCTCGCTCTATGCTTTCTAAGAACTTTCCCCTAGCTCTCACTTGTCCACTACTCTACTTACCTTCTTACTAGGAGGCAGAAGCTCATGTTATACAGTCTGGGACAGAGGAAAGGTGTATGTAGTAAATGTAGAAGAAAGGGAACATGCTACGGTGTTAGAGTGACTGAAGCAGCAAGAACATTTGCATAGTGCGCAAAGTCAGCTTTACCTTTCAGCCAGGCCACACAGGTTTTGTTCCCCTACATCCCTCTTGAGTTTTCATGCTTAAAGGACCACTCCACACCCCAAAACCACTTCAGCTTGCTGAAGTTCTTTATGGATGAGAAGTACCCTAGGTTAACCCCAGTTTATAAAAGTGTTGATTTCTGTGAGAAATTCAGCACTTTTATAAATTAACTAGGGAACTCCCCCCTGGCTGTCAATCAAACAGCCAGGGAGGATTCCTTCCTACTTCCGTTAGCTCCCCTGAGTGAGTGTGCACACCCTACTTGAGTGTGCCAGCCTCCCCTCCCTCACAGGCCTCAGACCGGCTCCTCCGCTTGGGGACCAGGTCATAGGCTTCTCATAGAGAAGCCTCTGATTGGTTATTTACCTGTGAAGAGACTGAAAGTGTCTTCCTCGAAAAAAAGGGGAGGACGTACAAAGGCTGCAGTCATAAGAACTGCAGCTTTTGTAATCTCTTTTAGACTATACTCCCAATGAATACATGCATACAAATATGCGAGAGGAGAGGGGCTGCTGCAGTACAGGTGCCTTACTTCAGACACAGGGGCTAAGCCTTTTTTTTTAGTACGCCACTGCCGAAAGATGATCTCTCCACTCTTTTTTAATCTTCCAAATTCACAAGCAGATTACATGGCCCTATTCCCACGTGTCCTCTCCCAACCCTTTTTTTTTATCTATTATATAAACCCCTTCTTTATTCCATGTGATCTCACATTTATCTCCAATGCTTTAGCTAAATAGCACTCAACAAGCTATAAACTGATATTGTCACCACAAATACTAAGTCTGTTCTGACTACTAATCTTCTTGGATCATTAGGTTGACTTTTAATAAAATTGACCACCCCTTCTAATGCAAACTATTTACATATGTGACACAATTCTGCTCTGTTATAGGACATATTCTGTCAAATCATTATGGCAATGTATACTATATTAGCATTTGCTCCTTCACGCTACTTCTGTCTGTTAAAGGGACACTATATGAATCAAAACAACTTTAGCTTAGTAAAGCCATTTTGGTGTATAGAGTATGCCCCATGCAGTCTCACTGCTGAATTATCTGCCATTTAGGAGTTAAATCAATTTTGTTTATTTTTATGCAGCTGTAGCCATACCTCCCCTGGCTGTGACTGGCACAAACTGCATGAAAAAAATCAGATGTTGACTTACTTTAGAAGTTTGTGTAACCTGTGTGTAATAGGAATTGTTTAGGAAAGCTGTGTAAGTCACATGCAGGGAGACTAGGTGTGTATAAAAAGAGTATTTTGACTCCTAAATGGCAGAGAATTGAGAAGTGAGACAGCAAGGCCATGATCTATTCACCAAACTGTTTCATAAAGCTAAAGTTATTTTGGTGACTACAGTGTCCATTTAAGATATAAAGGCTATAAGGCTAATTCCCAATTTCCTACTCTTCTTCTCTTTATTGCAATTCCCACCCATTCCTTGATCCTAATTTCTTGATTACAATCAACTGCTGATGTTTCAAGCATGGAACCATTTTTAGTAAAGCATTTCCAATTCAGGTCTTTGAACAGGAGAATCTATCAGTGAGAAAATAATCATGAATAGCACCCACAGAGACAATTCAGAGAGTTTGCGGAAAAAGTGAGACCAGCAAACTTATGGCAATCTGGATACTCAACTTGGGCATCTACTATAAAATGTGATAGAAGCTTGATGGCCCTGACCACTTTCCATGATTCGCATGCTGGTTTCTGTTTTTGTTAACAGAGTGCAGACTAGAGAAGTGATCCTTAGTAATTATTACTGGGTATTTTCTGCTTTACCTTCATCTACGATAACCAGAAACCAAAGACATGCACTGATTTTAAAAAGGAACCACATGTTTACAGACTAAGCCTTTTTCCACTATTAAATAAATGTCTGATTCTGTTTTACAGCTATGCGATAATCATGTGGGAAGTACTGACGAGAAAACAGCCATATGAAGGTAAAAAGCTCCTCTCAGAATATTGGAATTCAACTTTATATTCAATGACAAAAATACAATTCTTAAAGGGACACGATAGTTACCATGACCACTAAAGCTTAATGTAGTGATTCTGGTGTTTATAGCATGTCCCTGCAGAGAAAAGGCAGTGTTTTTATTAATTCCTAGTGACACCTCTAGTGATTGTCACTCAAATGGTCACTAGAGGTCACTCTGCATGGAGGCGCTGAATGTTCCCCATAGAGATGCATTCATTCTACGAGGAGATGCTGATTGGTGCAGTGTTTTGTAGTCAATTGTATGGGAAAACATTGGATTGGCTGAGATCATCTAGCTTGATTATCTCAGTCATAGAAGCAGGGACAGTTGAGGGGAGACCAGCACAGTGTGGGAAAAAAAGGTGAGTAAAAACACCATTCCCTTGCAAATGTAAGGGGTCTGCTAACCTAAGCACACACATCATGACACACACACATCATGACAGCCAGACACATACCATGACAGACACACACAAACTCATATACCATGACAGACACACACAAGTGCATATACCATGACAGACACACACACACACACACACATATACCATGACAAACAGACAAACACACACACACCATGACAGACACACATGCATACCATGACACAAAAACATGCACACTGACACGAGGGAGCAGAGCAGCGACATCACAGCTCCCTCGCCACCCGCCTACTATTCGCGCAGCTAGCCACCCACCTTCCTAATCCCCCAACTTGCCACCCAAATCCACAGTTCTGGCCTTGCAGCCACGTAGGAGGTAACTGATCTACATCCCAGATGCCAAGGCAAAATTCCTAGGCTCCATGGCGACCTTGCGTCTGGGATTTGTCAAGCCCGTGTGTATGGTATATTGTTGGATAAACTTTGCAAACGATTTAAATATTTTGGGATAAATTATTCAAATTACTTTTTCAATACATTAAAATATCATATATACAAACCAAAATCAAAAATTTTGAATATTACAAAATTAAATTATTTTTATATTAGATCATTTTAAAAGTTTATCTAAAAATATTAACTCATTTGGATAATTTATCTAACAATATCAAATCGAGGCCTTTGTTAGCAGTACGTTTAAACCTTTGTAAACAAAAACTCCACTAATCTTTGATCAATTATAATATAGTTTCAGTTGTAATTGAATATAGTTTAATTTTTGTTATGTCATTAAATAATTGTATTTTTAAGATGTTTTGACTGGTATAAAAATGGAAATAATGCTACTGCCACATTTAATGGCTTCCACACCTAAAACAAACTATGTATTCTAGTATAAATTTATATTAATGAATATTTTTTTTCTGTTTTCATTGCCAGGAGCCATAAACCCTATTCAAATAATGTACACTGTTTCCAACGGGAATCGTCCAGAGATTAGTGAAGATAGTTTGCCGGTTAATTTACCACACCGAGATGTATTTATTTCTTTAATGCACAGTGGATGGGCAAAGGATCCTGATGAAAGACCAGCATTTTTAAGTATGTTTTTGAGAAATATTTCATATATACATATATATAGATATATATATATATATATATATATATATCTATATATATGTCAATGGTTGTGGCCTCTTTATACATGAAAAAACATGTTAACAAAAAGCTAGTATGGTAATTACAAAATCTGATCATTATAGTATATAATAATTCAGTAAAAAAAAATACCTGGATCAAATTCCTGTTCTAGAGGAAGGATTAGAAGACAGGAGGTGAAGGATTGTTTGGAGTCCTGTTTGTTTTTATCGATTCAGTAGAAAAGGTCTGAACTTTTTCTACTAAATTGATAAAAATGTAGGTCCTAGGGCAGCACGAGCACTAGGACCATACAGACAGCGTTTATCGCAATTCTCTGTATGGTCTGTAAGTACTTGACCCCAGGCTGACATACCTCCTTCAGTGGGAGGACACGCCCACTCCCTGGATGAGCCTGCTGATGGTGGGTAATGCACATTATGCCTAGAGTTACCAGCCACCAATCTCGATTACATACCTTCCAATGTTGGGAGGCATGCTCCTGCTATCACTCAATTAATTCTGCCTGATAAGACACATTAATAGGTTACTCGAACCCTTTTTAAAAAACTTTTTTTATTAAAAAGTTTATTTGATTTTGTTATGCCCTATTGAGCATGAGTAGTGTGCCTACCTCCATTTTTTTGTAAGTGAAAAAACCTGAAAAAGAAGAGAAAACGTATCAGTAATCCAGTGACTGGTGAGGTTCTTCCTGCCCCGTCCAATGTCACTAGCCATCACTCCACATCATTTGTATCATCATTGGACTGATTTCAAACAATCCCTGTCAATGTAGGACAAGTGAGGAGGTGAGGGGACATGCTGTGCTCGCTGACAAGAGACAAACATTTTGCACAGAAGTAACATTAGGAAACCTTGAACAGAATTCCGAGCTTCATAAGTCATGTGTGCTAGGGGCAAAAATGCTGATTACGTGTAGTGTTTCCAGCCAAAACAATGCAAATACAGATTATTTTTTTCCATTACCACTTCTAAAATCAAAAATCATCATGGTGGCAGGAGTAACTCTTTTACTAATTTCCCATCCTTGACCAGCTAGGACCGTCATGATATGATGGTTTTTATTTGATCACTTTTCATGAAGAAGCTTGTATTTTTGTTTTTAATCAGTTTTTTTATGATCAACTGTGTGAAAGATAGCAGCCAAAATAAAGGCTTTTAACACAAACATTTTTTTTAATTTTATTTTATGAATGTATTTATCCATTTATACTATGTGTAGTGTAATGGTTTAGAAATAATATTGATTTTTTTTTTTTGCCATTTGATTTACACAAAATACCTCACACTATGAAGATGGTAAATATTTGATTGTAACAAGACTGTTAAAACAAATAAAACAGACATTTATTGGTTACTTAAATATTCACCTCTGTTGCTGTGAAACCCCTCAACAATATCTGTTGCAACTTCAGAAGTCACATAGTTGGTGGAATAGGATCCAGTTCTATGGAATTTGTCCAATATTTTGCAAACCACATAATTTGTTACAAAACATAATGAAGGCCGAGTAAGTCTTGGATAGAGTTCTGGAAAAGAAGAAATCAGCATTGGGTTTAAAACAAAAACTCAAACTTTAAGTATCTTCGGAGCACTGTTAACTCCAATAATTAAAAAAAAAAAAAAAATTACACAACTGTAACTCTGTTTGGAGAAAGTTATCTTCCAAAACTGAGTGACCAGTTATGGCTTTAGTCAGAGGAGCAACCAAGAGATCAATGGCAACTTGTAAAAAGATAATTTGTTCCGATGAAACCAAAATTTAACCTTTAGACCATGAACACTATTTATCCATACAGTAAAATATGGTTATCTGCCGTCACATTCTCTGTTTCTATACAGTAAAGGTGGAGACCATATTTAAAAGAGGAAAAACTACCACAACAAGAGGACATAGTCTTCAATTAGAGGGGCAAAGGTTTAAAAATAATATCCGGAAGTATTACTTTACTGAGAGGGTAGTGGATGCATGGAATAGCCTTCCAGATGAACTGGTAGAGGTTAACACAGTAAAGGAGTTTAAGCATGCGCGGGATGGGTATAAGGCTATCCTAGCTATCAAATAAGGACAGGGACTAATGACAGTATTTAGAAAATTGGGCAGACTAGATGGGCCGAATGGTTCTTATCTGCCGTCACATTCTATGTTTCTATGTGATGGCAGCACGGACCTGGGAGACTGGGAGGGGGGTGGTGCAATACTGAGGCCTGTTTATTTTTTTATTTTTCCTTGTTTCACAATAGAAACAAATATTTTACACTTTCAACATTTGTGAATAGTGTATAAAATAAATGGTAAAAATCACAATAAAATCCATTTCTTATCCACATTTTAACACCATAAATTACTCTTAGAGATAGTAGATAGTAGAGAAGTAGTTATTAGGGGTGTCCATTATTAATGAGATTTATTGGCATGTTTCCTGTCATATCCAGTCCCTGAGATAAACTCAGAGTGATTTTCTGTGATGGTTTAAAAAAAAAAAAAAAAAAAATTCATTATCCTTTACTAACTGTTTCCCGTAAAATCATACCCTTTCTGTGAATGACATATAACATGTTTTTTGTGCTTTACATTAGAATGTTTGTTAGACCTTGAGCCAATCATCGGAACATATGATGAGATCTCCATACTGGAAGCAATACTTATGATAAAGAAAGTAAAGAAAGTAAGTTAGTCATTTCCCAGAATTTCACAAGAACTGTCTAAAACGCATGCTTACTCATTGGTGGTTGTGGTAAGCATTTCGTACCCCAAACACTGTAATCCTGTGAAATCCAACGTAACAAGCTGGAAACTCATTACTTTTTAATTGTTTATGTGTGCTTTAATAAACAGTAAGCAATGCTATTAAAGTATATCTGTCGCTTTGTTTATAGTATCAATATAATCAATTCTACTTGTGGCTTTACATCTGAGTTTTCAATTACTAATTGTTTTAAAGGTATTTGATTTCCAAGATAAAGGAACACTATAGGGTCAGGAACAGAAACGTATATTCCTGACCCTATAGTGTTAAAACCACCATCTGGCCCCCCTGCCCAGACCTCTTGCCCCCTTGCCTGACATCATCAGAAGTGATGATCTCAGCTAATCACAATGCTTTCCTATAAGAAAGCATTGGATGGGCTGAGATTGTCAATTCTGATGGTCTTAACCAAGGTGATGGGCTGGATGTGGAGCCAAATGCTGCCCTGGCCAATCAGCATCTCCTCATAGAGTTGCATTGAATAAATGTATCCCTGTAAGGAAAGTTTAGTATCTCCATGCACAGAGAGAAGACAGTGTGCAGCACTGCCGCAGGAAGCACCTCTTGGAGCCATATGAGGAGTGGCCAGTGGATGTATCCCTAGGCTGTAATGTAAACATTGGCTTTTTCTCTGAAAAAGCCTGCAGGGACTCACTATACTCCACAAAACAGCTACATTAAGCTGTAGTTGTTCTGGTGACTATAGTGTCCCTTGAAGTACCATTTCATCTCAGCAGAGCAGAGTTCAGTGACCATATTTAAATAATTACCCCCCTTGCCATCATGCATACAGAACCAACTGCCTTCAAAAGAGTGGTATATCTTAATGAGTCCCTCTACTTCTGACAGAGAAATGCAAGCTTCTGCTTAGGAACATTTGTTAGGTGTCAACTCATTTCTCTCCACCAATGAGCTTAGCCCTACACCACCAGGCTTAGCTCAGAGCAAAGAACTCCCAACTTTCTGTCAGTAGTTGTGGAGGCAGTGAGCGGATCCTGAAAGACTCCAGGTAAAAAGTCAAACTGTTCTAAAATGTTTTGACTATATAGAGTAGCAGGTGCCAGGGTATTGATAGCTCAATAACCACTTCAGAACACTACAGAGTATTGGTTTGAGTGGCTCTCCAACCAACATTACCCTTAAAGCTCATTTACTTGTTTTAGGGGTATAGGTCATGCCATACACTGATTTTCTGTTGCATATTTTTTGAATTGTTTAAAAAACAGTATGAGCTCGTCTTCTCTACAGGCAAATAAGTAATGCTGGGAGCGTTTATGACAAATGACATCATTTTCTCAGTGTTTGCAAACCATTCCACCATTATACGTCGGAATTAAGATATGCTATTTTTAATAACTTGCCCGTGAATTGCAATGATTTTGATATGTTTTAATTTTCTTTGTTTATTACAATCTCATAGAGTTATAATGATCTATGTATGCAGATATTTTGCAGTGCAGTTTGTGAGTTATATTAATGAGAATAAAACCGTTAATAACCCATATAAAAAGTGTTGCCAGGAAATTGCAATATTTTTGACCAAAAAATAAAACAGTGTTTTATAAATAAACATATTTGAAGGTATTACAAGATAAGAATTGTATCTGTTTTTTACATCTACATCACTGGACTAATACAGCTACAATCTCTACTTGAACATATTTGAAGATAGCATCTCTGGTGGTGATTGGAAGGAACTCTGAAATAATAGGGAACCACATTTTACTGAATTTTCTTATAATTTTATATACTGTAGTATTCATTTCTTTTACTTTTTAGATGTCCGTTGCATGTTAGACTACTCCTGTATGTCTGTGAGTGTATATGTATAGTATATATGCAATATGTGTAAATATACACCAAATTACAACTTTGCTAGGTAAACATATATACCTGCTAGTTAATACAAAATTGCTAAACTGGCCAATCATGTGACAAGACCAAATAACATCAGAATGTGATCTAAGCAACTTTTACAGTGATGTGATTGAATGATTGCTGGTTAAAGATATTGTAGTTTTGTGTAAACCAGAAACTGCTGATCAGTCTAGAGAGAATGGTGTAAAAACTAATCCCATCCAAAGGGCAGCACCTAATTGGGAGAGATTACCTTGTTAATGAAAATGGCCTAGTTCAAGCTGAAAGAAAGGTTTCGAGTAACTGCATACAATATAACTATGCAGAACAACATCCCCTGAATGTGCAACACGTGGAACCTTGAAATGGGTGAGCTACAGCAGTAGAAGACTACAGTCACTTCTGTCATATATGTATAAGAAATTAAGTTACAGTGGGCACAGGCACATAAAAACTGGTCAGTAAGTATAAGAGTGGAAAGATATCACATGGTCTAACAAATATTGAATACTGCTCTGCCATGCAGATGGTGGGGTCAGAATTTAGTGTCAACAGCATGTTTCCATCCAGTGTTGTGTTAACACTTCAGACTGGTACTATAATAGTGCCAAACTATTTTTTGGGCACACAGAATAATGCTCATCATTTTATAGCCACAGTCTAATCATCTTCTATTGATCTACTTCCAGTAGGATAGCTAAAGGTTGTTTCCATCAACATCTTGAATCCGTGCCACAAAGTATCAGGTCTGTTTCTGGGAAGAAGAGAGAGCTCTACCGGTCTCTAATAAAGTGGCTACTGATTGTGTGTTTTAAATTGTAGTTTTTTAATATAGTTATTATATAATTTTACTTTTATAATCCGTCTTAGAAAATATATTGTATTTTATAAATATATTGTGTAGCATTCTAATGAATAAGTGCAAACACAATTTACACTATTTAAGAAGAACATGCCAATCCCTGCACTTTATATATAAAGAGGAAGATCGTGTAATATACATTTATGTAATTTAATTCAACTTCCATCTTTCCATATTGTACCTAGTGTAAAATATGTTACATGTTTAGAATTGCCAATAACGTGTATGTATTCCTGTTCTGTAGGCCAGAATTACTTCCAACCACAGTATACCATCAAGTCCATCTGCATCAGAGCTGCACAATGCAACACCAGAGAAAAGCATTCATTCATCTAATGAGGATGTACACAGAGGAGAAAATGTGGGTGGCCAATGATAACATGTGTAATTTGTTTTAAAGTAATCGTATCATAAAGTTAGACATTGCATAATGTCTATCTTTTACAAAGGGCTGTCATGAGACGGAACTAAAGAATTTCAAAGTGAACCTGTCAATCTAGGTTCATGTTAAATATTAAACATTTTATTTTATTTTTTAATATATAATTTATTATACTGATAAATTATAGATTTTGTTTTGCGGTTGTGGGAACTGTTATAATCATTCCCACCAGATGCCCCTCGTGCAAGCACCACCCATCCTGAGTGTGCTTGGGTGTAACAGTATTGTAACCCCTGCCCTCCATTGCTGCTACCTATCTTGTGCGACTGGGCCCCATTGTGGACATTTTCTGAAGCAGGGCATGTCTCCACAATGACAGACATGATGGCATCACCTCCTGCAAAGTGATCTATATTCCCACAGCAAGAGTGAGGAAGGCCTGTTGGGGAGTAGGACAGCGACAAGTTGATATAGAACCATCTAGGGAGGGTTCACTTGCTCTCCTTACCACTCAGTCCTTGGTATTAGACCGCTGTGCAGCTGGCATTCAAGTGCAATCAGCAGTATTGATTGACAGACGGGGAAGGTCCAACATTTTAAAGTACTTTACATTAAAATCTGTACATTTCCTAGCATTTGTACATTTGCCAGCATTTCTACTAGCACAATGTATAAATGGCATTTAAGAAATGAACTTAACTTGTGTGTGCCATAACAGGTACACTTTAATATCCTGCAGATGTTTTTTTTTCTTAGCCCAATGTACCTAACTTACTGAATGACCTATGCCATATGCTATGGTGTCTCAAGAGATGGCAAAGTCCCTCTTAAATGGACACAGTATACAGGGAATGACTTCACTACATAGATAATAAACAAAATAGTATAATTATTTGATCACTTTTGGAACTTTGGAAAGTTGTATTGTATCTGGGTGTTTTTTGTTATTCTACATATATCTTTTTAAGTATCGTTATTGTATGCATATACCTCTATTGCGCTCTCTTATAATGTTTATTTTTCACTACATATAAAATGCATTATAAAGTATGCAAAAATGATCAAAGATAATATACTTACCTTTGATTTTACTAATACAGTTGTATATGCACTTGTAAATGCTACAGCAAGCAGATCGCTCCTAGACCAGGAAGAGGTTTCACCAATCATGAAACATTAAATCCTGACCTTTACCTATGCTCATTATATCTCTTTTAGTTCATAATTTTGTTTGTAATTACTATACTCCCTTTAAAATTATATTGTTTCCTACTTGATTAATTGTTTGCATTTGACTTCTGTGACAGGAGACAGCTGCAAGTCCTCATTACAAAATTAATTCAATTTTCCCTCATGGTATGTATATTATAACAATGTTGTTATTAATTTGCTATTAATCCCAACAAGAATATATACGTGTAGTATTTTACACATATAATATATGTAGTATGGTATGTGTGCGCACATGTGTATATATACCGTATTTTTCTGTGTATAAAATTACCTCATGTATAAGACGACCCCTATTTGTTTAGCCAAAAATTAGGAAATAAATATTTTAAACATCAAATAGAACAACTTTGATATTTTAGAGGTTACTATTGAGGAGAACAACACACTTCTGATTTTCATGCCTCCCCTGTGCTACAGTACTCTGTGAATTTAATGGCTCTATAGTGCATGCTGGGAAACTACAGCTCCCACAATACAGCAGGTGGTGTGAGAGCATGCTGGGACATCACAGTAGTATTCCCTCTGTTCCCTGATCCCCATTTCCTTCCCCATGAATATAAATGAGAAAGCAAGGCCTACCTGAGGTGGAGCATACCTTAATATGGCTGCTCCTTTTATGGTGTGGCATGTCTCACTGTTTATAGCGAGTAGGGGCATAATTTACTAATAGTAAGTAATCTTTAGTATTACTTTTTTTTAGGATCTTTTGCTAATGTCTTCGTGTAGATATCATAGGACACGTTCACAAATCTTGTGGAATTCATGCATCAGATCTGTTTTGGCAGCACCAGGGGGACCTACATAATATTAGGCAGGTGGTTTTAATGTTGTGGCTGATCTGTGTGTGTGTGTGTGTATATATATATATATATTTATTATGAAAATGTATCGCTAATTACTGTTATTTTTCTTTTCCTCATCATAGGTCATTAGACACCTAATACTAACACTCTGTATTAAAGCATAACACATTCAATATTTAACTGTCTGAACATTAAAACAAATTTCCTCTACTGTACAATTTATAGTGTCTTATAAAGGTAGCATTTAGCTGCTGTATCATCTCAGGAAAAAGTTTGCTTGTTGCTGCTCAAGAGCAGAAGACCTACACAGAATGGGGATGAAAAGTCTTGGTCCGACCAGCTTTATAGACTTGATTTATAGCTAAAACAATCCAGTGATTACTGGTGTCCTTAGTAGCCATTCATCCCCACCTGGCCCCATTATGGATAATTGGTTCATCGTGATTTGCTGTCTAGCTATTTTGTCACAGATTATGCATAAAAATAGGAGCGAAAAGAAACATATTTTTATTCAATTCATTGAGTTGGTTCTCTCCCATTTTGTGACTGGTGTTATCCACACTGTAAGAAAAGTCATAAATGAGAGAATAAGTCTTCAAATGTGACCCAGTAAAAGATTATCACATATTTGCACATTAAGTCTAAGCATTAATGAATATTTTAACATTATAACTGTGTAACAGAATAATTTAAGTGTATTTGTTTTGTTTTATGTATCTATCCTTGTTCATTGTTCATGTTTTCTTTTTTCTTTTTTTTAGTTTCTTTACCACCAACCGAGGCTCACATCTCGATCCAACCAAGCTCAAGCATGCCTTTTGGTACTGTTCCAAGTTCAGAGGACTCCACACCCTTTCCAAAATCATGTAAGCTATCATGTTATGTAAAACAATGTATAGATCTAGATTTCTAGATCTTTAAATACCAATGTTGTGTAGACAAAGATTAGCAATGCATTGTATAGACTGGATGGCAATATTGTGTAGGTTCAATTATGTGTGAAATACAAACTTTTTAATTTATATTTTAATTCTATGTAGAAATACAAAGACAATGGTTATAACGTTTATATACTGTACAGTGTCATGCATTCCTTTGAACAGGGCTATAGTGCCACTGTCAGAGCAACATTTCCGAAAATAAAAAATAGTAATATATCCAAAATTACTGTGGAACAAACACGTAGCATAAATGGCTTTGTTTTGTTTCAGAACATTAACAATACTTTTGTCCTGGTTAATATGATCAAAATATATCAAGTGCACGTAAATTGTGGTAGTTCCAGGAGTGTCCTCTTATCACATACATCTCCACTATCAATCTATTTTTTTATTGCTTGTTTTTAGGGCTCGGATTAGGGTTTATTTCATCTTCATACATGTCCCAATCTGTCCAAGATCGGTGGCAATCACACTGGGGGCAACTGCTTTTTCCAGATACTGCCAATTTAATACACCCTTTTACCAATAATGTTATGCCTTAAAGGAGGTGTGGAGACTCTCGCTCTGTTTCTGTCTCCTCATCTCCTCTTCCACCTAATCATTTTGAGAGGCTGGAATTAAGATGACAACAGCTGAAAAAATTATGACTATCCCCATGAAGTCCTGACATTAGGAATCCCCATCCTCCACAGAGTCTATCAACCATGCATCCAAATACAAGGTTTAAAAACATGCTAAGTAGCTGAGTGTGTAATTAAATATAATACATCACAAATCCATGTATTTATAGTAATGCAAGTTGGTGCTTGAGAATATTCCTAGTAGAATAAAACACTAGTGTTCTCAAGTATATACGTATCACAGAAAAAAGGATTTGTCATTTTCATTCCTTATGGACATTTATTCTACATAATTAATTAGCATACGTGCATATTGTGTCCTTTTGATTTAACATGAGCTTGTTTATCACACTGGTTTAATGTATTGTATGTTGACAGTTCCCATACAGGAATCCTCATCCTCATCCTCATCTTTGGCTAAACACTGGGTCCAGCTTAGAAGACTTGAAATTGTGAATCAAATGACTGAAGCTTGTCTGAATCAGTGTCTCGATGCCTTAATTTCAAGAGCGGTTATACTCAAGGAAGACTATGAGCAAATCAAGGCAAAAAGTACTAGGTCTTCAAAAGTTAGGCAGCTTATTGACACAAGTGACATTCAAGGAGAAGCATTTGCCAGAATTATCGTAGAGAAGTTGAGAGACAACCGACAGAATGATCTTAGGCCATTTCCAGAGATATAAAGGCTTATTGGGCTTAATGTTATTAAGATCTTGGTTCACTTTTCTTATCAGACTCACAATTTTTTTTGTGTATTGCTATTTTTACAGGTCTTTTAAACCACGGACCACAAGTTAATTTACTGAAAACAATTGGCAAACAGGATAATATTAGTGTATCTCTACATTTTTGTATATAGCACAGCATTATCTATGTATCTGTCCATCTTAGTCTATTTTCATATATGTATACACATACACAATGTTTTATGTATGCTTTATTACATTAACCCGTTAAGGACACAACTTCTGGAATAAACGGGAATCATGACGGAATATTTCCTTCGTGTGTCCTTAAGAGGTTAAAGGCACAGACTAAATAACTTTGTGTTCCGCGTCCATGCGTTCTTGTAAGCCTGTAGTGACGTGTACAGTTTTATAGTCGCTCTATTGGTTCAGTAACAAATATGTTCTGTAGTGAGGACAGTAAATCAGGAAATACGAAGCAACATGTATGTTTAAGCCAATCTGATTTGTCCAAATTATGCTAAAACTCCGTGGTTTAACCTGGAATTTCATCTGCTGTAGAAATTACCTAAGCAATTTAACTCAGCCATGTATTTGTGTGTTACATTTTCAAATAGCCTTGTTATGACCTTTAGACCTGAATTAAGAAAATTAAAATATAGGGTTTTACGGTGCGATACTGTCTATCACATCATAAAGTAATGGTAACTGGTATTCAGTGATGATGTCTAACAATATTCAACATGGTATATATATGTATATTGAGGAAAGAGAAAAGGTATGAATTTTACTTTTTAGTATGTCATGACATTTTTGGGACATTTCAAGCAACATAACCACTAGAGTCTGCTGTAGTAGTTATGGTGTCATGAGTACCATGACGCCATCACATGGTAAAAGGTCACAATGTTTTACCACTGATGCAGGACACTACTCGTTACGTTGGCCTAACGTGTTCAGATAATATTCTCTGCTAATGAGTGGTTTCTGCATGGCTTTGCTGTGCTCGAAAAAGATAAATGTAGAAGTCCAGAAGGTATAGATGCAGCACAAGTGTCCTGCTGGACCCAAGTATCTTGTCAGAACTCTGACAATAAAGCCCTGACAGAAATTAAAGGGATACTATATTCATTAAAACAACTCTAGCCTAATGAAGCAATTTAATTATATATATAGCATGCCCCTGCAATCTCCCTACTTAATTATCTTCCATTTAGAAGTTAGATCACTTTTGTCTCCGTTTATGCAGCACAAGCCACACTTGCCCTGGCTGTGACTGACATCTTGCCATGGAATTTTGCAGGGCTACCTGACACCATGACTGCTACAGAGGGCTGCAGTGGTTATGGTGCTTGCAGTGTTCCTTTCACAATATGGCTATTTTCTAATAAGGACAAATTCTTTGAAATAGCTCATTATCTACAATAACTGTTATAAATATTTAATATTTTGTCAATGCAAAGCACATGCCTATCACTTGTAAATGTTACTGTATTTGAGTGCTGCTCTGTACTACTTATATAGTTTTTTTGTTTTTGTATTTTAATCGAGGAGCAATTAATAAATAAACATGATGTATAGTGCAGTGATGGCTGACCTCCGCACACCAGATGTTTCTTAATATATATTTTATATATTTCCAATTATACATGAATGTTAATGCCCTACATGTATTTGAGTTCTCCCTAACTTTTGACTTACCCAATGCCAACTTGACCATTTTCTGGCTCTGAGTGTGACCTATTTCTAGGCCCCCCCCATCTTTACACACTTCTACACCTATTTGCTTGGTAGTCTCGACGTCGCAATGCGGCAGGCGGTGTTAGTCAGGTGCCAGGCAACTATACCTGGCCAAGCAGCCAGAGAAGTCATTGTTAGGCACTGACACCCATAGGTGTGCCTGTTCTGAATCTTGCTTAGAAAGTTTATTTAATGGAGTTTCGCATATAAGGGAAAGTGGCAGACTGGAGTTGTGGTGGCAGATTTCTGGCTACTCAATCCGAATTCCCTCCTTTTTTAATCTGTTGATTTTCTGTCTTTGCTTCACCCTACTCTCCCCCTTCAGTTCTCTACTTCTAAACATGATCCATATGATGGTCCTCCTTATTTACACCTCAGTACATGCATACTACTCGCAGAAATTCAACTTTTGTCCAGACCACAGGTTACACAGGTGGTGTTGTAGACCATAGGTAAGTACGTTTGCATGTGTATATAGTTCTATGGAAGAATGATAAAAAGGCCATCTACAGGGGAATGTGGGTATGCCTTTCTGTATTTATATATGTGGGATGCATATGGGAGAATGTGACTGCAGTTGTCTGCTTGTTTTTGTGGAAATTATGGCTAATTTCAGTCTCTAATATAATTTAAATAAGAGTTTTGTGGTATAGTGTTTTTAGACTAAGGTGATACAGTATTGCTATTTATGTGAAGAAACTGCTATAATGTTATTTATCACATAGCATCTACCTCACTATAAATTTAAAGCACTGGGTTATGTCAGTATGCTGAGATGTGGGTAGTTAATAGACCTGTGTATGGTGAAAATATTGGGTTCTTCCAGGTTGGTACGGTTCTGATTTTCAAATATTTTCGCTTCTGAATAATTTCGGTCGAAGTTCAATTTGAAATTCTGAGATTTAAAATAACACAGAATTAGTCAAGATTTTAATTTGTTAACACTGTATTAGAAAGGTGAACATTGCTAAAAAAAAAAAAGTTATCTGTTCATAAAGTTTGACTACCACTGTTGTAGAGTGTGGGCAGAAGGTGGCTTCCATTTAGGGACAGAATGGAGCCCTGACAGAAATTAAAGGGATACTATAGGCATCAAAACAACTGTAGCCTAATTAAGCAATTTAAGTGTATATATCATGCCCCGGCAGTCTCCCTGCTTAATTCTCTGCCATTTAGAAGTTAAAGTACTTTTGTTTCTGTTTATGCAGCCCAAGCCACACCTCCCCTGGCTATGACTGACAAAGCCTGTGTGACAGACCGCCTCCACCAATCGCTTTTCCTAGTGCTCACGAGAACTCCAAGCACTCCACCAGACAGCACTGTAGTCCCCACTTCCAGCATTACAGCTTAGTTGGGCTCTCGCTGTCCTCCACCCACCCAGGGCCCAAGATCAGGATCCAGCTTCCAGTAGGTAGACCTCTCCTCCAAGAGAATGTATCAATATGCTCTTAAAAGAGCAAGTGATTATAATCCCAGGGGAGTATAGTGATATAGCAATCCCCAGGGTAGATACAGCCATTTCCCCCCACATATGAGATGAGACTCTATGTTGAGGGTAAGCAGGAACTTGTTTAATGGTAGCCACAACTGGCCTTATATGCAGGTCCCCATGCAAGGGGCACTCCCCCCTTGACCTGAGAGTAAACACGCAGTATAAACAAATACACAATTACATTGCCACTCGGATCCAGGACACTCCCACACATAATAGATTAAACCCTCCTCTATACCTGAGAAATAATTGAGTCAAGCACTATACTAAACAATTATCTGCAAACACAAAACACACATTTTCATAAAACCCCTAAAATACCTTTAAAACATACAAAACCCCCACAAATGTTACATCCCCTGATAGTGATGATCTGGGTGACCAACATATCCATAAATCACCCAGATCAGTTCAGGAATTTCCTGGAAGTCATTTATTTGACCGACTGAGCGCATGGTGCCATGCCCAAAATAGTTAGAGAGAATCAGAGCTTGTAGTCGGTCTAGTTCGGTAGTTTAAAAACGAATAAACTACCAAACATAGCCAATGATCTTACCCTGGAGCTTGTTCCCCTCATCCAGACGAACGATTCCACCGAACAGTGCCCTTCTAACTTGTATAGAACCGAACGCAGGTGATGATGTAAGTACAGCGGTGTTCAGGAGTTCTGTGTCCGATTTTAGTTCCATGAGATTCATGCCCAAACACCGCTGCCTGTGTTCATGCGAATAATATGGCCGCCACCTCATGGTTGTCGATAGGAATTGTGGCCACCCAGATGAACAATTAGAACAATGCGGTGAGAACCGTTCCAAGTTGTTAATAGGTGTTAACAAGCTCCCGGGTGGTCCCTGGTTCTGCGGTTGTTCGGTAGTCGAACGGGACAATGTTAAAATAGAAGGGGAATGCAATCTACCAAACAGAATAGCAAAAAAAGGCACGAATAAGGTCTTTTATGAGCCTTTTTGCATGGCCCATAATCCTGAGGCAGGAGGCTGGCAAACAGGCCCCTCCAAGAACCAGTGGAGAGGTTACTTTCGCCTGAATGAAAAACAATGTTTCACATTCAATCAGATGTTCACTTACTTTAGAAGTTTGTATCTCCTGCTATGTAAATTTAACTTTAATCACACACAGGAGGCTTCTGCAGGGTCTAGAAAACTATTAACAGAGCAGGAGATAACAAATTCTAAATTAAACAGACTGTGCAATAAAGTTTAAACATTAGAGTTCTCTTTACAGGAAGTGTTTAAGGGGCTGTGCAACTCAAATACGGTGAGGTGTGGCTGGGGCTGCATAAACAAAGTGATTTGACTTGTAAATGGCAGAGAATTGAGCAGTTTAGAAAAACATATTTTTGGTGCATATAATGTCCCATTAACATCCTATCTGGGTGAAAAGTGAAAACCAGGGGTGGTAAACTCTGAAGCAACGTAATGCGAGTGGGAAATTATGAGCTAATTTAAAAGAGGAACATCCGTTATCAGGTCAATAAATAGGTACACCCAGGTGCGTACTGTGTAGTTACCTGTCAGGGACAGAGATGATGAAATTTCTCTGGTTTGTCCTGTGGGAAAAGAACCTAGGAAAACATTAAAAAATAATCATGGCTTGTTAAAACTGTCTCAATTCCTCTGCTATGGAGGTCAGGAAAAAAGAAAACTGCAGAACAATAAGCAGGCAGTCTTATTAATGCTAACAGTAGGACTCTGTTTCCTGTATTTTCTGTACTGCCGTTGCTAGATTAGGAAATCCATTTCCTCTCACTGGTATTTAAAGTGCCTTGTTGGCAGCACTGGTACAATATTTAACCAGACTGCCAGTCAATTAACAGACAATACAGCTATTTTATTCATTAGGTGATATCTTACTTGCCTCACCAATTACCCTTAAAGGGACACTATAGTCACCTGAACAACTACAGCTTAATGTAGTTGTTCAGGTGAGATCTATAGCTCCCTGCAGGCAATCTTATGTAAACACTGTATTTTCAGAGAAAATACAGTGTTTACATTGATTGATAGGATCATAGGAATACCTCCAGTAGCCGTCACTCAGACGGCCACCAGAGGGACTTCCTATCATGTATGGCCCTAAAAAGGCCATGTACACGTCAGACGTATTAAAATACGTCTGACGTGTGCAGGAGAGAGAAGGCACTGTGTGCGTGCCTTCTCTCTCCTGCCTGTCAGCAGAGGAGAGGGGGCAGGCATAGACCGCGAGCTGAGCTGTCAGTCAGTGCGCTCAGGACTTCACAGGGCGGCATGAATATGCGCATTTTTCTCCATATGAAAAAACTAGTTAACTTTCTAACTAGTTTCTAACAAATTTGAACTGAACTAAGACAGAGTTGTCATAATGAAGTGAAAAATTCTGTATTCCTTTTTATCTTTTTTTTTAAACTTGAATTCTCATCAACTTTTTTCATCTGTCATAGTGTCTCCTTTTAGGTTGTGTCTTCATACAACATGTTGTCATACTAAGCACCATTTCAGTGACATTTTAGATGATAGACTTAGTCCCTTTAGCAGTCTCCATAGCACATCTAATATTATAATATTATTTTCAGCCTATCTGATATGATTGTAGTCAGAAAGTGCTTCTACTTTTGATATGTAGCTACAATTAGCACTGCAGTATTGGCAATTTAAAGGTCAAATTTATCACGACATTGGTTGTTATTCAGTAAAGCACTATAGGGTACACAAACATGTATTCCACTATAGGGTTAGGAACACAAACATGTATTCCTGACCCTATAGTGTTAAAACCACCATCTAGCCCCCCTGCCCCCTCTTGCCTTCCTCAATTTAGTCAAATATTACTTGTATTCAAGTCTGCAGCTTCTCGCTCTGCCCCTGTTTGCCTGTGAACTGCCTTTGTCTGCTGACATCATCAGAAGTGGTGGTTTGAGCCAATCACAGTGCTTTGCCTCCTTGGCTGAGACTGTCAAGGAGGCAGATCAGGGGCAGAGCCAGCACAAGTCAAACACAGCCCTGGCCAATCAACATCTCCTCATAGAGATGAATTGAATCAATGCATCTCTATTAGGAAAGTTCAGTGTCTGCATGCAGAGGGTGGAGACACTGACTGTCAGTGCTGCTTACTCTGCAGCACTGTCCAAGGAAGCACCTATAGCAGCCATCTAAGGAGTGCCCAGTTGAGTTATTACTAGGCTGTAATGTAAACACTGCGTTTTCTCTGAAAAGACAGTGTTTACAGCAAAAAGCCTGAAGGGAATGATGCTACTCACCAGAACAAATACACACAAATACAAAAAAATAAAATACATGGCACCACAATCTAATATAATGTGTATTGTGTCTCCCTGTGTGCGTGTCTGCCAACAGAGCAAAAGTGATTCATTCTATATTGGAGCAAAATGGTCATATGGTGGACCCGAATTCCAATATTGGTGATATCAAGTAGCCTTGCCAAATTTAAAATTGTATTTTTGTGTTTGCACTGTTACATAATCTGAATTTTGGCAATTAAAACATTGCTGTGTCTACAAAACGGAAAAAAAATTCATTTTGCAGCGTTAACATGACAGGTAACTGTACCCAGATTACTTCATGAACCTTAAGTGGTCTGGGAGACAATTATATCTCTTTAACCTCCTTAGCGAAAAGTTGAATCCTGTTATGTTATGGCAGCCCTGTAAGACATTTTCATGTAAGTGTTCAACAGCAATGTGTATGCCCACATTCTGTGACCGAAATAGAGCACAAATAAACCAGAGCGTTTGTGGCTTCATGACAAGAAAATGGTGTCTGCCCATATCATTTACTGAGCCTTCTCTCAGCTGCTGCTTTTAATAAATTCTGTCACGTACGCTCACTGGGCGGCCATGCAGATGGAGCAATACATGATTTGTCTTTTAAACAGAAACGAAATGGCTTTCCTAGGTGAATAGCCTTATCAGGTATGCACTTGCTGAGTCTTTTGCAGCTATTTTGTTATGTATTTCATTGTTGTATTCACTAAGCTGGGTGGAAAATTGCCGAAAGTCTTGTAGGCCAAAATAGATGAACTGGAAAAATTCTCAATCTCCGCTAATAACCCATCTGAGATATTTTGAGTTAAAGTTACCGATTTCTTTTGTAGAGCTCCCAGTTCAGTGAATAAACCCCTTAGTTTATAATGATAAAAGGTTAAGTGGGGAAATGTTTTTGAGCTCTTTATAAAACTAAAAGCATAAGTGAATGACTTCAGAACTGAAAATGTTTTTTATATCCTTTATAAAATATGACACTGAATGTAGCAATGTACTAAACAGTGCATTATAAAGGTCAGGCACAATATTCTATCTTTAGAATAGTGAAGATCGATAGCTGCTGTCTTACAGTGCGATACTAAAATATATTATGTAACCGAGTTCTTTTACTTTTATTGTATTTTATTTCTTGCAGTAATTGTATGATACATGTAATAGAAAATTATTTTTATCTTAGTCTATTTATTAGTCTAGTAGTTTACATTAGTCTAATCTTTCCTTCAGCTAAATTTTTAATGAATAGGACATCTATTATTGTATTAAATATTGAGTAAACACAATTCTTTTATTTTCAAATGGAATAGAAATTTGCTGCAGTGGTTTCACCTGGAGCTGTGAGGAATCATTAGATTTTCTATTGTGAAACATGTCAGATAGTAACTAGAGATGTCGCGAACTGTCCGCCGAACTGTTCGCGAACTGTCCGCCGGCGAACAATAGCGTGTTCGCGTTGGGTGAACATATCCGATTTCCGGTCCGCCCCCTATACGTCATCATTGAGTTAACTTTGACCCGGAACCTCACAGCCAGCAGACACATTCCACCCAATCAGCAGCAGACCCTCCCTCCCAGGAAGTGTCTGCTGACTGTGAGGTTCCGGGTCAAAGTTTACTCTATGATGACGTATAGGGGGCGGACCGGAAATCGGATATGTTCGCCCAATGCGAACACGCTATTGTTCGCCAGCGGACAGTTCGCGAACAGTTCGGCGGACAGTTCGCGACATCTCTAATAGTAACCCTTATTTAGACTTTTAAATTTGAACATTTTTATGAGAATTTTGTATAATGAGAAATACCATGGCAAAGGTCTAAGAGTAAAATTAGCAGTAGCACTCTTTTGCTTCTCACTTTTCTTTAGAATGTTGCTCTTACATTGTACATTATATATGCTCTACAGTAGCTAAACACCAGTTTTGGCCTAACAGACTTTCTCATATTTATAAAGATGATTACATTGTTTGCTTGTATTTGTTTTGTTTTTTTGTTCCTTTTTTTTTTAAGCTTATTATTCATTGAGAATGTTTTTACAAACTGTCTCTTTGTAAGAAAATGTTGTATCTCTCTCAAATCACAATAGGTAATTTATATTCACAAACCAAACACGTAATATGCATATGTTTTATAATGCATGATGTGCCAATTTCTACAATTGGCTGAACATGTTTTCACACACAGTACATCATGGATGGTGACATCATCTCTATGCAATTATTATTTCTCATAATGAACAGGAAATAATGTATTGGTAATCTGTATACAGTCCCGGCAGAAACAGGATATATTTTATATAAGATTAACGGGAGTCACACTCTAATTTTAATGACAGCAGCTGAAATTTCTGCCACTTGGAACTGTAAACTCACTAATCTCAAGAAGCACAGGGACATGCTATTACAGTAAAGTCCTCCTATTAATGAGAGATCAAACCAATTTTTAGTAAATGTGGGAGTGTTTAGCTCAGTGAAAAGATTGCATGAAGATCTTTGCTGAACAAAGAGGTAGGATTATTAAGTGAGCTAGTGATCTTCAAATACCTTAACAAATAATGGAAGGCAACACAATATAACATTGGAAAATGCTTGTTAACCCCTTAAGGACTCATGACATGTGTGACATGTCATGATTCCTTTTTATTCCAGAAGTTTGGTCCTTAAGGGGTTAAAATGGTTATGCTACATGGACTCTACTTGAAAAGCTGTCGATACAAAGATATTTTAATGTATTTGCAGGTGTGTAACTCCGCCCCCCAGCAGCTTGTGTCAGCCAGCATAAACGAGAGTTCCTAGCTGGCTATGAAGAATTAGTACAACTTTATTGTTCATTATCTGCACACACTGCATGCTGGCGGTAAATGTATAGCTCTTATACTTGCAGGTGCTTTGCTGTTAGAGCACCTGCTATTATAGACTGCCTCTGCAAGGTGCACATACAGTCTAATCATTCCTCTAACTAACTGCTGCTCCCTGCAGCAAGCCCGTCATTTTTATGAGACACATTTAATTGAACTAAGTCCAGCAAAAATTAGGAAGTTTGTGTTGGCCAGCAAAGAGGAGGATCAGCTTAGCTGCAGGGGTCAGTTATGCAAACCATGTCAGGTAATATGAACTTAAAAAAGCATATGTTAGATAAAAAGTACATTTATATAATTTTTAATGGCACTATTCATATACATAAAAAATGTGTGTATTAACTTCAAGTGTTCATTTAAAAAGTGTTGTCGGAACCCAATATATCAACATTTACAGATCAATTTACTGGCAGCAGACACATATATTTAACAATACAGTCCACTTTACAGTTTACTCTAACACATTATTAAAGAACTGTGTGTATCCTCTAACTATAGTAGTTCCATTTTATCAAAATGTGTAAACGTAAATATTGTAATTAAATGTATGTATTGAATGTGCAATTGCGCACCGTGCTGTATAAAGACAATTAGAAAAATCTTAAAATATTACTTGAATCTGCTCTAAACTGGGAAATTATTAATCTAAGGCAGATTATATTGCAGATTAACTAAGCCATGTAGAACAACTCTTTATTAAACAGTAAAATGTATACAAAGAGTAAAATATCACTTAAATTAAAAATAAAATATGACTAAACATGTTTTTATGCTCACAAATACAAACATATATCTACACAGACAGATACACACACTAGCACATACAAACATGTACCTATACACACTGACACACACATATACCTACATACACACACTGGCACACACACAGATACACATACCTATACATACACACACTGGCACACACACAGATACACACACATACCTATACATACACACACTAGCACAAGCACAAATATGCATACATACCTAGACCACACACACAGATACACTTGACCCTACCCAATTTATATTTTGTCACATTTGCCTGCCTATGAACTGGCACATATGTCTACCAAATAACAATCTTCCTTCTCAATTTAGATTGGCACATTCCCTTGCCAGTTAACCTCCTCCGCCCCCACAAAAGGAGGACATATTCCTCTTCTGATTAACCCCTTCCTTTCCCCAAATAGCTCAGTTCTTCTCATTCTACTTGAAATCCACACACTGTGGAAGGTCCCTGTTCTGACACATAAAGTGCTGGAGACTATCATATTTCTACCTCCACTACTTGGCAGACCTCTCCTGGCCCTGACTAAACAGGTCCAACTGGTGACTCAGTAGGGCACTTGCTAGTGACACAGACACGCATTCACACACCATGGAGCTCACAGATACACTCCATGCAGCTCCCAGGCATTTTCCATGCAGGTACCAGATACACATTTTACTTCATACACAGAGAAATACTATGAAGTTCACAGACACACTCTGTTCACACATAGTTCCATGCAGTACACACCACACCATGCATTTCTCAGTCACCTGATACAGTTCACAGACTCACTACATGTCTGATGTTTTGCAGGCAATGTGAAACTACTATGACAATTTAAAGTACCAACTTAGCAAGCAGCCATCACCTCACCAGCTAGGTATCAAGCCCCAGTCCTCTTCCCTTTTCTTCTGACAGGCTGACTCGCTTACCCACCACAGAGGCTACAGGCTCTAGGCTACACCCAGGGAAGGCTGAAGCAGTTGATTCCTCCATCATCAACGAGGGGGACATCATGCATTCTGGGATAATAACGAGTGGGGCTGGGGTGAGGCAACAATAAAAAATATAAAATATATCTATGATAAATTATATTTCTAATGTTCAATGAGATGGCAGCCAAAATGGCTATTTTAAAGCGGCACTGTCATGCCGAACTTACCTTTCTTTAATCGATTCCTCTTCTCTTCCTCTGTTAGGATCTGTTCTTCATTTTTTCCTGTCTTCTCTAGTTTTCTTTAAAACATAAGACAAAGTAAAGACTATTTGTCTTATGGAGGTTTCCTACGCCTGACCAGCGGAGGAGCAAAATGTGCTTCATTTCCGGAGGTCAGAGAAATTTTCCCACAATTCTTAGCTTTCCTCCCTGTTCCCGCGATGCTTCCTGTCAGTATTTCCAAGCTTCCTGTCATTTAGACAGGGCGCCGGCAAAACTTCCGAATTGCGTCCTAACAGAATGAGAACAGTTTGTTCATTCGTGTTAGAACGCAATTCTAACACAATTGTTCATATCGGAATTTCATTCTAATGAATGAAACTCCGATCCTATTCGTGCCGCTGCTGCATCTTGCAGCCGCTAAGTAGATAGCTCCCTAATTCCCACGGTATCAGGGAGTTATCTACCAAAAGGCTGAAAGACCTAAATTGGTCTTTCAGCCACATTTACTAATACTAAGTAAATTTTACTTAGTATTAGTAAATTCTGCCCCTATTCGAAATACCGCGAGTAGGGGCATGTCTATTAAACAGTGAGCAGCCAATGGGGGGGACCTATTGTCCTCCCCCCTGGCCCCCACCCCTGAGCGGTGGGTGAGGGCCATAAATAACAATAAGGTGCTGGAGACCTACTGCCTCCCCCCCCGGCCCCCACCCCTGCGGTGCGGGTGGGGTCCTAAATGAGAATGTGGGGACCTATTTTTCCCCTCATCCCCCACCCCTGCGTGGTGGGTGGGGGCCCTAAATAACAATAAAGGGGGGGACCTGTTGTCCTCCCCCTGGCCCCCACCCCTGAGAACCAGATGGGGGCCCTAAACGATAATGGGGGGACACTTATTGTCTTCCCCCCTGGCCCCCACCTCTGAGCGGTGGGTGGGGGCCATGAATAACAATAAGGGGGGGACCTATTGTCCTCCCCTTCCGGCCCCCACCCCTAAGTGATGGGTGGGGGCCATAAATAACAATAAGGGGGGGGGAACCTATTGTCTTCCCCCCCGGTCCTCACCCCTGAGCGGCAGGTGGGGGCCCTAAATGAAAATTTCCCCCCACCCTCAAGGTGACTAGGGGTCCCCAAGGTCTTCTTTTTTATAAAAGGTGTCTGTTTGTGTTTGGGAGTCCATGTGCTCTCCCTGCTGAATTTCAGAGCATATGGAGCCCACTTCAGAGTCAGGTATGTCAGCCATCTTGTGGGCCACAGGGTGTAATAGCATGGTGCCGATGTCTTGTGTATCTTGGCTCATACCTGCAGGCATAGGCGTGCGCAGCCTATTGCATTAGGGTGTGCACCCTAAAGCACAAACACACGCCACGCGCGTGTGTGTGTATGTATCTATCTATATATATATACACACACACACTGCTGTGTGTGCTGTTAGTGTGCTGTGTGCTGTTAGTGTGATGTGTGTGTGAGGGTGCGTGTTTGTGACTGTGCTGTTTGTGTGTGAGGGTGTTTGTGTGTGTATGTTTGTCCTGTGAGGGTGCTGTTTGTGAGGGTGCTGTTAGTGTGCTGTGTGTGAGGGTGTTGTGTTTTTTTTAAAGGTGCTGTGTGTGTTTGTGAGGGTGCGGTTAGTGTACTGTGTGTGTGTGAGCTGTATGTGTGTAGGTGCTGTATGTGTGTGTGCTGTATGTTTGGAGGGATTTGGCAGATTAGTAAATCCTTGCTGCCATGTGGTGGTCCAGTGGAGAGTGAACTCTAGCCTGCGGGGCTAGAGTTAACTCTCGCGAGATCTGAGCGTTGCCGCAGCAACGCTCAGATATGGCGAGAGGAACCTGGCGGAGCTTCTGTCTAGAGCAGCCTGGGTCCTCTACTGCCTCCCTCCATGCTGCTGTGGGCCGGTGAGGTAGATCTTTGGTCTCCCCGCCGGCCCATGAAGGCTTAGAGCAGAGCCGGCACTCAGATAGCGCCGGCTCTGCGTGTGTGTGTGTATATATATATATATATATACGTACACACACACACACACACACACACATACATACATACTCACAGACACACACACACTCACACTGACACACACACATACTCAGACACACACACTGACACACACACATACTCACAGACACACACTCACAGACACACACACTGACACACACACACACATACTCACAGACACACACACACACACTCACAGACACACACACACAGACACACACACACATACTCACAGACACACACATACTCACAGACACTCACACACACACACTGACACACACACACTGACACACACACACACATACACAAATTATTATATTTTAATTTTAAAAAAAAATGTCCACCCAGCCTCCTACCTGGAGTGCTGGTGGACTTGTCCCTGGGGTCCAGTGGGGGCAGGCGCCTTTCTCCAGCTGAGCCGCGAGGGAGCTCTCTGCTGTCTGCTCTCTACTCCCTCTCGCCGCGCGGGCTGTCTGCTGGAGCTGGGAGCCGGAATATGACGTTCCTGCTCAAAAAAAGTGCAGGGACGCTGTTCCTGCAGGACTCAAACCATAGGCGTGCCACGGGGATTAGGGTGTGCCCAGGCACACCCGGCACACCCCGTGCGCACGCCTATGCCTGCAGGTGTTTTCTGTGTTCTCCGGCCCATCTTGTGGGTATTGCTAGCCTAGTGCTGTATGTCCCTCTGATATATTGCCGGGTTCTCAAGAAACAGGTCAGAGCACAGTGGTGAGGTGACCAGGTTCTGTAGGCTGGAGCAGGCCCTGGGTCTGTGTCAAGCTTTTTTGCACATTTGGACCTACTGGAAAGGCATCAGTCAGCAATCAGGTATGGTAGGAGGAAGAGGCAGGCAGTTGCAGTTTGGCTAATTGTGAGATCAGGCTCCAGTACCTGTATTTGCAGGTCGGATCTGGATTGATGTTTTGCAGGTCTCCCAATTTTGGGCAGTTGTGAGTAGAGGCCTCCGGAGCAAGCAAAAATGGTGACCGTCGCATTCTGCGGTTATGCTCCGCCCCAATGTTCTGTTAGTTTTAAAGACACAGCGCACCTATATTTGTTTTCTTAAAGAAAACATAAATTATCAAACCAGGCAATCTTATTCTATTGCTCCACGGTCCGGTTCTGACACTGATGTCCCTATTAAACACGCTTTTGGAGGTAGGCAGGGTTTATTATTGGCACTCAAACTGGTCTGAGGCTACGCAGCCCCATAAGCAGCAAACTGTGATGCACTGTGCATTCTGACACCTTTCTATCATTGTCAGCATTAAAGTTTTCAGCAATTTGAGCTACTTGACTCTTTTGTATGATTGCACCAGACAGGCTAGTCTTTGCTCCCCACGTGCATCTATGATCTTTGGGAGCCCATGACCTGGTCAAGTGGTTGTCCTTCCTTGCACCACTTTTGGTAGGTACTAACCACTGCATACTGGGTACAGCCTGTTTTTCAAGGTAAAGGAATACTTTCTGTTTTGGACATGCTCTGACCCAGTTGTATAGCCATCACTATTTGATCCTTGTCAAACTCACTCAGATCTTTTAGCTTGCCTATTTTTCCTGCTTCAAACACATGAAAGTTAAGAACTTGGTTTTACTTGCTGCCTACTATATCCAAACCCTTGACAGGTGCCATTGTAACACTAAAATCAATGTTGTTCACTTCACCTGTTGGTGGATTTTATGTTGTTGCTGATGAGAGTATGAAATGCATTCTTCACCCCAAGCAATGAAAACATTTACAGATTATTTTTCATAATTCCACTGAAATCTGTTTCACATCAATCCTTCAAACATGAGTAGGCTAAAGGGACAGACATACCCTTAGATAGAAGATGAGCATAGAAAACATATGCTACAAGACCACAGGGACATTATTACTAATCTGTTTTTTGGGGGGATCAAGGGGGGTTGAGGGGGATTGAGGGGGTTGGGTGGGGGGTTAATAACTATTGACTAGTATCCAGCCATCAAGGGAGATACTTGATGTTTGAAGAATCATAAACACTCCTCTGTCTTTGAATCTTTGCTATTTAGATTCCATAGGTGGTGAGCAGAAGCACAGAAGATGTCATTACCATGGATTTTGACCAAAAAGATAAAAATGTTGAAACCAGCTGCCCAAATGACAGCACAGGATCCGACAAAGATCAGAATGACAAAATGAAGATGAAGCAAGAAATTACATTGTTTAATGGGGTTTCTTTAATAGTTGGAAACATGATTGGATCTGGAATATTTGTCTCCCCAAAAGGAGTATTGATGTATAGCACCTCGTTTGGACTTTCACTCATTATTTGGGCTCTTGGAGGAATATTTTCAATGTTCGGTGCATTATGTTATGCAGAACTGGGAACATCAGTCATGAAATCTGGGGCCAGCTACGCTTATATACTTGAAGCATTTGGTGGCTTTATTGCCTTCATCAGGCTGTGGTCATCTTTATTAATTATAGAACCTACTACGCAGGCAATTATTGCAATTACGTTTGCTAATTATATAGTACAACCAATTTTTCCATCTTGCCAACCGCCATATGAAGCTGTTCGACTGATTGCGGCTGCTTGTATTTGTAAGTATGTGTTACGTAAAATGAATGGTTTTTATGAGCAATATTCACACATTTACATTATATATGTTAATTAGGAGTTTGCTTAAACCAGGGGATTTGCTATATAACAGGCAGTGTAAAGAATGTAGAAATACGTTGGTTAACCCAATTGCAGGGCACAGGCTCTGTTCAATTGCCACTTTAAATTTGTCTGCCTCCCAGTTCCTGCGGATAGATTTAAAGAGAGAGATCACAAGTACGTTTCTCTCTACACCTCCACATACATGTCCTTGTTCATAGATAGACACAAACAAGATGACTAATGTAGTCACAGTGTAATTTGTGATGCATTGGACTTCTAAACCAGTGGCGTCGCTGGGGGGGAGCAGAGGGGACCATGGCCCCCCCTACATCATGCTGTGCCCCCCCTTGTTCCCAGTGGCATCTCTAGGATTCATTTTTAGGGGGGGGCACATGGTGGGCCAGGGACAAAAGTAGGGGGCACATTTAACCCCGCCCTCGCCGCAGTTTGACCCCGCCCCTGTCACATGTTAAGCCCCGCCCCCAGCTGCTGTTGACAGGTACCAGTAGTCTAGAGATTGGGACATGGGGTATATGCTCAGCTATCTGTATAATACTGTAGTGCTGTTCTCTGTATAATACAGATCTGTGTGTGTATAATATCCCGGGATAGTCAGTGCTTCCTGTATAGTGCTGCTATTTGTATAAAACAGGTCTGTGTCTGTATAATATCCTGGAACAGTCAGTGTTCCCTGTATAGTGCTGCTCTCTGTCTTGGGATATTATACACAAACAGACCTGTATTATTCAGAGAGCAGCACTATACAGGGAGCACTGACTCTCCCGGGATATTATACACACAGCCATGTATTATACAGAGAGCAGCACTGTACAGCGACCGCTGACTGTCCCAATTTATTATACACACAACCCTGTATTATACAGAGAGCACTGACTGTCCAGGGATATTATACACAGACAGTAATTGATAGCTGTGCTGCAAAATGTCCTTGGAATTTTTTTTCAAATGTTGGCAACTATGGCACTGTATCAAGGGAAATGTGTTTGTTTTTTAATAATCCCTGGTGGGAAATAATGAATCCTCCACCAGGGATTATTAAAAAAAACCAACACATTGTGTCGGGGGCGGGGCTTAACATGCGACAGAGGCAGGGTCAAACTGCGGCAAGGGCGGGGTTAAATATGCCCCCCCTACTTTTCTCCCTGGCCCACCATGTGCCCCCCCTAAAAATTAATCCTAGAGACGCCACTGTTCTAAACTCACTGTGATTATCTTTTAAATGATGTACAGTACAATTTTATCTCTGCATTGTGCTATCAAAAAGGCAAATGTGGAATTAAAAGGTTAAGTCCATTTTGTTTCTTTTCTGATTTCCTTAGCCTTTGTGGCCTAGTTGTAGAGACTACAAATATTATGTCCTTGGGAGTCTAGGCAAGGCATCTTGCAACCCCTGGCTTAGTCCCACACGCTGGGAAATGTCAGATGCTGTGCAAGTAATTGAGGAGGGGGCAAGGCGACTGAGGGTGCTTTTCCCTTGGCCATTCCTAGTAGTTGCATTATGAGAGGAGGTTTGCAATGATGAGTAACATGTAGGACTGGCTAGCAGAAAATATACATACACTCCTCTACAAATCTGTTTTTTAAGTGTACGTGAGATTATTGCTACATACAGTTTATACGTAATGCTAACATTTTAGAGATCTAAATTGATATAAATGAAGTCAGATTGTTCAAAAATACCTGGGAGTAGGCCTTTCAGCATACTTTCAGTAATGACTAAAGTTGACCCATAACTTAAATGACCAACCAAAGTACATTTAGATTCAAAAATATATTTCTTTGTGAAAAAAGTTAAATACTAAATAATACGGTTCACTTACATCACAACTGCAACTTATCTCACTTTTGTCACAGTAATCACTTTCAAAATCTAATAAAGACTATTTCTACACAAGTATTTACGCTAATATATTTAATATAATCAATATAGCTGCCCTATATTTGACTAAATATATATTTCTTCATCAGGTACATTAACATTTATTAATTGTGTTCATGTAAAATGGGGAACAAGAGTGCAAGATGCGTTCACATATGGAAAGATCATTGCTCTTCTGGTTATAATATCTGTTGGACTTGTGAAACTAGGCCAAGGTAAGATGATATTATGTTGTAATTTCTTGTATTATACTGCTAGTGATGTTCTTTGACTTGTCTATGCAAGTTTTCTATTAAACAGCCCTCTTGAGTTTCCATACCTAATTCCCTCTGCACATTATTTAATCATTTCTGCATATAAAGAATAGTAAAAACTTTTTTTTTTATCAACGTGCTTATTCCATGGGCATGGACCTCGAGCTTTAGCACCTTCAGCTTCTATGTTAATCCAGGTGTGCCACCAATTTTCCTTTTTTTCTATGTATATTTGGAATTCAGTCCAGATTTTAGTTGGCTGAGAACTCCATCCTTCTATTATAGGTGCCTCTTTGGAGGTAACCACAGGAAAGCATAAACTGAGGAGTCTCTGAGGAGTCTATTCAAGTCGTTTAAGCAAAAGATTAAGATTAAGTAAGCATGTTAATCTTGCATGATGAAATTAGTTTAGGACCCACCGATATTGGGGTGCTGTAACTTAGTAGTGGGCTTAACACAAAATGGCCATATGGTGGAACTGAATCCCATATATTTGTTGGCTGAGAAAAGTGATTTTAAATAGCCTAGTAATTTGCAGAATATATATCTAAAAGAAAAAACAGACATAAAACAATAGTGTAATATTATAAGATTATACTCACTGAATGTGCAAAAACCCTGAGTCACATTCGGTAGAGTCCTTCGATTGACTCTGAGCTTTCCACCTGATCTGGATCCAGTGGAAATTGATATTTATATTCAGTGGTAAATTAATAAACATGCAATGTCTTGGTAGTTATCCTCATATTTTATATTAATATTAACAATGTTGTTAATTTTGGGAAACGTTCATTCACATTTTATGTATATTGTTACGAAGTGTGGTTTAAATGTTTTCTGCTGGATGATGCAGGGTGTTTTTTTTATTGTATATTTGTGCTTTATCAGGACAGACTGATAATCTAAAGGTTCCGTTTGAAGGTTCCACCACTAAAGCAGGGTCAGTGGCACTTGCTCTTTATTCTGCACTCTACTCTTATGCTGGATGGGACACATTAAACTTTGTCACAGAAGAAATTAAGAATCCAAAAAGGTCTGAGTATGAATCGATGTATTTATGTGAATAAAAAAATATGGTCATCACAAAATATACATGGAAAGACACTCAAGGCTTTAGAAATTTACAATATATTCATGTTATTATTAACAAAGAAAAAGTAACAAAAAATCAAAAAGCGGTGTATTTGTAGACCAATAAAGTTGCCAAACAACCAAAAAATACATTTTAGAGGAACATTCTAATGTCAAAAATATATGTATTTATTTTTAAAATTACAGTGTGGTTTAGTAGGTTTAGGCTAAGGGCCCTATTTTGTAAAGAACAAAAAGTTTGAAACATAAATTAAACTTCCCAGTAATCCCGCTCCAAGATTCCTTACAGAAGCAAAATCCACCTACCATTAGATGATCAATCATGGTGATCTTTGGCCCAATCAGCTGCTTCTCAAATAAATAATTGCAACCGTACAACATAACTGCCATGCTCTGCTAGTCAAATGCTACTCATATAAAAGCATTGAATCTCCCTATTTCCACCTTTAATTTTCTAATTTTGCTCTTTGTAAAAAGAAAAAGAATTCAATATAGGCCTCGATTTAATATTGTTAAATAAGCTTTCCAAATTATTTAATATTTTTAGATACATTTTTTAAATGATTAAATATTATGAAAAATATTTTGTTATATGTTGTTATATTTTACACATTGGTATATTTTTTTTTATTATATATATTTTTATATTTTAATTTGTAGGAAAAATATTTTGAAAGTATATTTAAAAATATCAAATCTTTTGGAAAGCTTATTAAACTAAGGTCTTAATTGGTATTTGTATCATTAGGTAACTAATTAAACAGTACAATAAAGATGAAAAGAACATGGGATGCAGGATTGGAAAACTGCATGCCAGTTTACTTTTAACACTGTTTGTTTGTGAGTGACATATTCAATGCACATTTTTTTATACTATATTTATCACAGTGGTGCTATAATATAGCTATATGAACATGTTATGTTTAATGCACAAATACAAAAAAAAAAAATAGAATGCCTTTTTTTTCACACATCATTCAGTTCTATATTGTGGTTTTCCAGTTGCGGCTCCTCAAATGTCATAGGATTTAATTTATTTTTTACCTTTACAGTTGTTATCACTATGCCTCTCACATGCCACCTATACAGCAGTTAAGGCTATGTTTATACTGACTGAGTAGATCATTTTAAGGGATTGTAATAAAAATCATTTAATACACGTCACACTAAAGCCAGTAGTTACTCATAGGCATAATGGATGCTTATTGCTGCAGTGGTTTTCTGTCAATGTGGATAATAATATAAATTGGGCCTTGATTTAAACATTTTTGGAAAAGCTTCTCAAATAATTTCATATTTTAAAATGTATTTTTAAAATAATTAAAAATTTTGAAAAACATTGATTTTCTGATATTTTTATATTGTTATATATAGTATATTTTTTATATTTTAAGGTTTATAAAATGTTTTTTGAAAATCAATTTAGAAGTTTATCTAACAATATTAAATAATTCGAAAAACAGATCCAAAAATATTAAATCGAGGCCTCGGTTCCTGCTTTTAATTTGATACAAATTCAAAACAGTACAGCACATCTCCGAACCATAAGCAAGAGCGAGACGGGAGATGCAGACGGACCCAGAGGAACTCGGGGAGGGGTCCCGGAGGGCGGCGGACCTGGAGCGACGACGGGGGGTGTGAACCCTCCGACCCACGAGACTTCCCTCCTCCCACAGGACAGAAACCACGACAACCTACTAAAACCCAGACACACCAAGGCACTACCCTAGCCGCATTCCAGCGGGACGCAAGCATAGAGCTAGGAAAAAACACACCACTCACAGAGCCATTAACACCGTAAATCATAAACCAGAGACCCACAACCATCCACGTCACCACACAAGATCCAACCACCGACCAATTACAAGACCCAACCCAGACAACCCACTCAACCACAAGAGTACAGGGAACACACCATGGGCACACAACCCCTAAACAAGAGGGCCATACCCACACAGGAACACCTGACGCCATAACGGACGACATTTCCCCAGAGGCACCGAGACACGGGGAAGCAGAGAATACACACTTATGAACGAGAACCAAGAACCACACAACACCCACTACTGGAACCCATAGAGAGGGTCATGCAACAGGCTAGCCATGCAATGGATAATTACGGACAGGGTTACGACCTGAAACGCCGTGAAAAAAGACACTAGCAGACCCATAACTAACCAAACCCAACGAATGAATCACCAGGGCCCACAGAGCACTAAACGCTTGGACCGCCCTGGTTCACCCGGCCAATTACGAACCTAACGACAACGACACCTAAGACAGCCACACCACACCCAACAGGGGCCCCCAAAAGGGATTAAACATATAAGACCCCAAATGGGGGGGGGGGAAACCTACTGCTAAGGACCCCGGGGAAACACACACATGACACCACAGACCTACCAAACACCACATACCGACTCGCGCATGACTATATAAGAGACGACCACGGCAACACACCGAAATAGGCCAACGTTAAAAATAACCGAGCTACTGCGAAGATAGCACACCGACTACCATTTCACGGTAGAGCAATACAAAAAGTCAGTATCTGCATAGACGTATTACCCGCCACCTTTGTTACACGGGCAGAGCCTCTGATCAGGCGATGATGAAGCAAAAGTTTGAATTAGATGTATGTATGCCAAACTAATACAAACGTAATAATAAAAACAATTCAACACACAACACTTGCAGAAACCAGCTAACACAAAACACTAGCACAAACCAGCTAACACAATGCAATTACACAAACCCGCTAATACAAACTACTATATGTACCAGCCAACACAAGACAACTACACAAACACATTCATCCACTTCTTTTAGCATATCGATTCTCTCAGACGCATATTGGTAAACCAAAAACCACCTATCGACACCACCACAGCCGTACACGTCTGATAACAACGCTAACACACAGCATTATCAAACCTGTTTAACGAAACTGATATACCTAACTTTGCAAAACTTATGTACTCTTAAATTTGTCATGGCATGGTTACCTTGAATTATTCATGTACCAATAACAGCGCCTCTGCGTAGGCAATTAACCGCTTAACCACAAATATGTTTGCAATGGAATTTATGTTACGGAAACAATAAACATATTCAAAACAAATTCAAAACAGCAAGTGTTTAAAAAACAAACAAAAAAAATGGTAGTTTCCATGAACCAGTTATTCATGCAATAAACGTTGTGGCTATGGAGTTGAAAGCACACACTCTTATACCAAACAGACCAGAAATACAGATCAAGATGCTTTATGGTATTTGTTTATTTAGACAGATGAAATTTCACCTCGCGCTGCTTCAGTCCTCTCTTCTTGGAAAGGTCTGCAAAGTAGCTGCTGCTTTTATTTTCATACGTTCTTAGAAACCTATTTCTCATTTATTCTTTGGTATAAAGTTTAACCTACAAAAAGATAACTGGAACTATAGATATAAGACAATAAATCTGAATTGTATTTCTGATCATGGTGCGTAATTACATAGTAAAAGGTTTAATGCAAACAAACTCTTTAGTCGTTTAATAGAGTATTTATCAATAATTATTTTAACTTCCTGGAATTTTGTTTGGCAATATCCACAAAAACATAACAGAGCTAAAAGCAATGAAAATTGTATTTGCCTAACCCCTTGTCCTAAAGGGATTAAGATATATTTGAGATTATAAGAACCCCAGCAACAGGGTACAGGACACAAAGTACAGGGTAGAGTGCCTTCAATTATATGTGTAAACTACTGACTGGATTCACCAGAGTCAGCAAAACTGGGTTATATCTCGATGTCTCACTAGTGGAGATTACCCAATGCAAGCTATTGTGGGGACAGTTGCCCCCAGTAATCACAATGCCTTTCATTCTCAGCCAATGGGCCTCCATTAAAGAACGCACACACATGCACTTGTTACTGCTGGTCACTCGATAAGGCTGTCCAGAAGTAGCCTGAATGTCTACAATCCCAGCCTCAAAACAACTTTAGCTGAATGATTATGTTACGGGGACAGTTGTGTCTGTGTTAAACCATTGTCCTATCTGCCTCTTCAGTTCCTTTCTATTGGCCGGGTAGAAAGTTAAAGACTGAGATTGTCCACTGATGCCCATTGAGAGAAATAATATAGGTGCCAGGGGACCATCTTTAAGGTAAACCATCGGACACTGATAGAGCTAAAGTTGTTAGGGGGTTGGAAGTGTTCCTCTAATTTTAGGATTAGTTAAAGGTATCTGATAAAGACGAGTTCCAATTAAGGAGCCTGGCTTCAAAAATAAATTACCACTTGTAAAACATCACTTTTAGTAGATATATTAGAATCTCTTGTAAATATAAACAGACATTTAGAGAAGAAGGAAAAGAAAAGCAATCAAAACCACCCAAATAAGTGTTAATGTGATAAGTGCTTAAAGGATATTATAGTGGTAGGAATACAACCCACCCTCCCAGTGCATAAAGGGTTAAATTAACTCAATTGATTCCAGTGCCATTCTCCCTCGGCGCTGGGTCAGCGCTCAGCCTCCTCCGACGTCAACCAACGGGGGTACCTAAAGCGTATGTGCGGCGAGTGTTGCAAGAGCATTAAGCCCCCCCCCCCCATAGGAAAGCATTGACTCAATGCTTTCCTATGGGGATTGCAATGACGATGGAGGTCCTCATGCAGACCTAGGGTCCGGTAAAATCCTGGAAGCGCCTTATAGTTTCTTCCTTGACATTGTGTTAACAGACACCTGTATGCTCCAGACCAGCATGGGAAAGCATTGGATTGGCTAAAAATGGACAGTTCTGATTATGTCACCAAGTAGGCGGGGCCAGTGCTGGCAGACCTGCCCGGCGCTGGAAATAAAGTGAGTTTTTTATGCTTTTAAGGGGGGCAAGCCACCTTAATGGTTGGTTTTGCACTATATGGTCAGGAATATATGGTTGTGTTCCTGACCCTATAGTGTTCCTTTAAATAAATCATGACACGGTGTAATATGCCATGTGTTGTTGTTCATCTCAGGTTGTATTTACCTAATCTTAAGACCTGCTAAGGAACAGATGATTGTTATTATGTTCTGATGTGTAAAACAGTAGAATTCAAAGAGGGTGTACTTTCTTTTTCCCATGACTATAAAAGTTACGGATTGTACCTCTTTAGATACTATAGTTTCTCCAATATCCCGGCAGATGTATACATATGGGATATTGCTTTATTAAGGAGATACAGCAGAATACAAATCTATGGACAATATCCATAAAATTCACCATAAGAGTTCAACATGGATGTGAAAACAAAACAAATCTTTAAAGGGAAACTCCAGTGCCAGGAAAACAATCAGTTTTCCTGGCACTGCAGGTCCCCTCTCCTTCCCACCCCCCAATCCCCAATTGCTGAAGGGGTGAAAACCCCTTCAGTGACTTACCAGAGGCTAGAAATCAGGAAGTGCCCTCTTGTGGCTGTCTAGTAGACAGCCACTTGAGGAGGAGGTAACCCTGCAATTTAATTATTGCAGTTTATAAAAAAACTGCAATAATTACACTTGCAGGGTTAAGGGTAGTGGGAGTTGGCACCCAGACCACTCCAATGGGCAGAAGTGGTCTGGGTGCCTCGAGTGTCCCTTTAAATTCGACTGAAACTGGTGATGAAATAGCCAAGTAAAAATACTAAATATTTTCCATATGAAATATCATAAATTGTTGTCTTTTACAAATGGTATGCCAGATGGGAACTACTATTTGTAGAAAAAATAGACATGGGCCCAGTAAGTTCATTAGGGAAAAATTGTATACTTTTTACAAATACATGCTTTTGTGTAGAGGTTTTATATTATGTGAAACTGCATTATATTATGATAGTTGAGCTCGTCTCCATTTTCATCCCCAAAATATTTGCCACTGTGAATGCTCTTCATCTCTTTATGAATGTACTACTTTCTATTTGCCAAATAAATTTGTAACAATTGCACATATTAGACTTTTTTTAGCATCACTCATCTCTTTTTTTCACCACACGCAGATGTCTGATTCATGAATCAAAATGAACATGCTCGGCTATTGCACAATTTGGTTGGTTCCATAGGCGTGCGCAGCCTATTGCATTAGGGTGTGCACCCTAAAACACAAACACACGCCGCATGTGTGTGTGTGTGTGTGTATATATATCTATATATATCTATATATATATAGATATATATAGATATATATACACACACACACACACATGCGTGTGTGTGTGAATGTGTGTGTGTGTGCGCATGTGTGTGTGTGTGTATATATATATATATATATCTATATATATATAGATATATATATATATATACACACACACACACATACACTGCTGTGTGTGCTGTTATTGTGCTGTGTGCTGTTAGTGTGATGTGAGGGTGTTTGTGTGTGTGTTTGTGACTGTGCTGTTTGTGTGTGACGGTGTTTGTGTGTGTGTGTTTGTCCTGTGAGGGTGCTGTTTGTGTGAGTGTCGTGTATTTGTGAGGGTGCTGTTTGTGTGTGTGTGTTTGTGAGGGTGCTGTTTGTGTGTGTTTGTGAGGGTGCTGTTAGTGTGCTGTGTGTGAGGGTGTTGTGTTTTTTTTAAAGGTGCTGTGTGTGTTTGTGAGGGTGCGGTTAGTGTACTGTGTGAGTGTGAGCTGTATGTGTGTAGGTGCTGTATGTTTGGAGGGATTGTGGAGGTGGAGGCAGATTAGTAAATCCTTGCTGCCATGTGCCATCCCTGGTGGTCCAGTGGAGAGTAAACGCTCAGATATCGCGAGAGGAACCTGGCGGAGCTTCTGTCTAGAGCTCCCTGGGTCCTCTCCTGCCTCCCTCCATGCTGCTGTGGGCCGGTGAGGTAGATCTTTGGTCTCCCCACCGGCCCATGTAGGCTTAGAGCAGTGCCGGCACTCAGATAGCGCCGGCTCTGCGTGAGCCGGCAGGGGAGATCGGGATTCCCACCCCACAAAAAAAAAAATATACACATGTGTGTGCATATATATATATATCTATATATATATATATACGGCGTACACACACACACACACACACTCACAGACACATTCAGACACACACACACATACACTCACAGACACACACACATTCACACACATACACTCACAGACACACACACTCACAGACACACACACATTCACAGACGCACACTCACACACATACACTCAGACACACACACATTCACACACACACACACACTCACACACACACACATACACTCACAGACACACACACATTCACAGACACACACATTCACAAACACACACTCACACACAGACACACACACACACATACACTCACAGACACACACTCACACACAGATACACACACATACACTCACAGACACACACATTCACAGACACACACATACACTCACAGACACACACTCACACACAGACACACACACATACACTCACAGACACACACATTCACAGACACACACACATACACTCACACACATACAAATTATTATATTTTAATAATACAATGTCCACCCCGCCTCCCTACCTGGAGTGCTGGCGTGGACTTTTCCCTGGGGTCCAGTGGGGCGGGCGCCTCTCTGCATCTCAGCCGCAGCGAGGGAGCTGTCTGCGCTCTGCTCCCTATCGCCGCGCGGGCTGTCTGCTGTAGCTGGGAGCCGGAATATGACGTCATATTCCGGCTCCTGGCATCAGTGCGTGGCTAGAGGGAGCAGAGAGCAGACAGCTCCCTCACCGCGGCTGAGCTGGAGAGAGGGGGGGGTATCCATCACCTCTTGCCCTCCCCATGACAGTGGCAAGAGGTGAGACAGGGGGCGCTGAGTGCCTGCAGGAACAGTGTTCCTGCTCAAAAAAAAGTGCAGGAACGCTGTTCCTGCAGGACTCAAACCATTAGGGTGTGCCCAGGCACACCCGGCACACCCCGTGCGCACGCCTATGTTTGGTTCATGATTTGGTAACATCTTGGCCTAGAGGTCGAGAAGTCAATCACCCAATCTCCCCAAATTCTGACTAATCTCAATTCAAACCTAAACAACTTTCCAAGTCTTTTAAGAACCAGTATTTTCTAAGAAATAATTGAGTTATCTAGTTTTTAATTTTTTCTTCTTGTTGTAGGAGTCTTCCTTTAGCTATTGGAATTTCAATGCCTATTGTTACTGTTATATATCTGCTGACTAATGTGGCATATTATGCAGTCCTAGATATGCCAGCTGTTCTTGCCAGCGATGCTGTTGCTGTGGTAAGTAATAATACTGCTCTGCAACAAATATCATTTATGATGTTAAAGGGACACTATAGTCACCAAAACCACATTAGCTTAATAAAGCAGTTTTGGTGTATAGATCATGTCCCTGCAGTCTCACTGCTCAATCCTCTGCCATTTAGGAGCTAAATCACTTTGTTTATGAACCCTAGTCACACCTTCCTGCACGTGACTTGCGCAACCTTCTTAAACACTTCCTCTAAACACTTCCATCTAAACTTTATCCTTTCTGTATTGCAACTTCTGTTTAATTTAGATTTTCTTATCCCTTGCTATGTTAATAGCTTGCTAGACCCTGCAAGAGCCTCCTGTGTGTGATTAAAGTTCAATTTACAGAGCAAGAGATTCAATTGTTTAAGGTAAATTACATCTGATTGAAAGCGAAACCAGTTTTTTTTTCATGCAGACTGTGTAATTCAGAGTCAGGGAGGTGTGACAAGGGCTGCATAAACCAAAACAAAGTGATTTAACTCCTAAATAGCAGAGAATTGAGCAGTGAAACCTAAGATGCATGTTCTATACACTAAAACTGCTTCATTAAGCTGAAGTTGTTTAGGTGACTATAGTGTTCCTTTAAATAGAATGTTATTAGATATTTGTGGTAGTTTATCTATTTGCCTGTCTACCAAGAGTCACAATTTAGTACATGTCTAATCTAGATTATAATTTTTAATCCAAAGCAGCTGCTACTATTGTGTATATAATGTCTCTCTTGTTTTTATAGAGCTTTGGTAATGAAGTTCTGGGTTATGCAAAATGGCTGATTCCAGTAGCAGTGGCAATGTCTTGTTATGGAGGATTAAATTCATCAGTAATTGCAGCTTCAAGGTAAGAAGTGGCATGGCATGTATTTCACACCTGTGAAGGTTTGTCCATAGTGGCACTTGAGGCAGTGCTTGTGCAGTGCAGCGGGTGAGGGCCCTAGGTCAGAGCTGGACTGGCCCACCGGGATACCGGGAAATTTCTTGGTGGGCCGTTGGCACCTGGGGCTGGGCAAACAGCTGGGTGTGCTGGGGGTCTTGTGCTGGAATCTGACGGCTGCTGGGGGACTTGTGCTAGCGTCTGCTGGGGGAGCTGCGCTGGATAAAAATGCAGGATAAAAATGTTTAATTAAAAAAATAATCACTCAATTCATGTAACTTCTAATAATATGCATATATATTTGTGTATGCATGTATCTATATATGTGCACACACAGTATATAAGCAGGTGCATGTATTATTAATAAATGTGTATTATATTAAAGTGTATGTAAATCACAAAATATACAAAGAGCATTAAATTCCATCTGTGCATTGTGCTAGCAGAAATTCTAGCATATGTATAAATTTTAATTTAAAGCTCTTTAGAAAATGTGGTCCATCCCCTATCTGTCAATATAATTCTCAACGTTAGACTGTGTGCCAGTGGCACACAGGGTCTAATGTCATAGAGCGAGTTACAGGTTGTCCTCTTGCTCCCTGTCACTGTGTTAGTGTGGGATGCATTGAGGCCAGCATGTAAGCATCAGCACATGGGGTGGCCATGCCTAGAGAAGTGACCCCAATTAGGGCCAATTACTCCATACAGCAGCCAAACCCCATATACACTTACACACATACACACAATCACACTCTGCCAACTACACACATACATATCACACTCTGCCGACCAACAGAATCACACCAATCTACCACCTTCATAATTACACCAGCCACCACACACATACCACTCAAGTGTATTGCTTAAGGGGGAGCAACCTAGGTTCGGAAAAGGAGAGTCAGAAAGGGGGGTCCTTCTTTGATTCGTGCACCAGGGCCCTGTGATTCTTCATTATGTTCCTGTCTATAAACCCTAAATATTTGTATGGAACAATCAAAGTATTTTTATTGTGATTAAGATGAATATGTTGGTGGGAAAAGCAGTGAGGAGAATAAAGGAGAGAGCGACCTTGGGTTAAGGAGGAACCTTTGCTGAGATTAGAATTTTGGAGGCATTTTTAATACATTTGGGCTGAAGTTAAAAAAATTGAGTAGGAGTTTCCCAATGTTCGATGGTTAACAAAGAGATTTAAAATGTGCAGATTATTCTATGTTGGAGCAAGGGAAGGACACCTCCCTACAAGTCTGAGTTTGATTCACTTGAACAATTTCACACCAGTGCCTGCTCTGCTCTTCAATGTAAGTATTAACAAATAATGAACATGCAACATTGTTATTACTAGTATTATTAATTGTTATTTATTAGCAATTGATTTGTTTATAAATGTCCAACTTTATAATTTACCACAAATTGAATTTGTTTCCATGGCTGTAAAAAGGTGTGTCCATTCAATACTCACACTCATGGGGGTATTTCCCCACTTAAATTATACCAGACTGTAGCCACCAGGAAAGCTCCGGTTTTCATGATACTGCCCGGAGTAGTTTCATAGAAACTATTGGGACAACATCCACTTACCTTCTGTACCATTACCTATCAAACAATCAGGGGAAAGTTGGCTTCATGAGGACAATTTGAGGTCAAACGAGCACATTATCACATCACACTCAATTTCTTGATTTTATATTAAAAGTTGCATACTATTGTAAAAAGTATCACCATTGTTCAAAACAATGCAAACAAACATATGCTTGTGTCTTAATAGAATACTGTTTACACTGTAAATGAACATAAAAAGGAGTAATTATTTATGATAAAAGTTAAATAGGCATACATTCAAGCTGTTATATTTTCTCTCTCTTTCTCTCTCTTTCTCTCTCTTTCTCTCTCTTTCTCTCTCTTTCTCTCTCTTTCTTTCTCTCTCTCTCTTTCTCTCTCTTTCTTTCTCTCTCTCTCTCTCTCTCTCTCTCTGTCTCTCTCTCTCTGTCTCTCTCTCTCTCTCTCTCTGTCAATGCACTGAAAGATTATTATTTATAGTAGTTCACTTCTACTCATCCACTGTATTACTCTTGCCAAAGTAGCAATATTATACTAAGTGTCATTTAATAGCTGTAAATGTAACCGTGGATACTCAGTAGCTTAAAGGGCCACTATAGTGCCAGGAAAACATACTCATTTTCCTGACTCTATAGGGTCCTTGGGTTCCCCTCACCCTCTGGGTCCCCCTTCCTCCGGGCTCTAGGGTGCGGAAGGGGTTAAATTCCTACCTTTTTCCAACGCCGGGCTACCTCGGCGCTGGGGAATCTCCTCCTTCTTCTGCCGTCATTGGCTGAATGCGCATGTGTGGCAAGAGCTGCGCGCGCATTTAGCCAGTCTCATAAGAAAGCATTTTTAATGCTTTTCTATGGACGCTGGCTTCTTCTCATGTGAAAATCACAGTGAGAAGCATGAAAACGCCTCTAGCGGCTGTCAATGAGACAGCCACTAGAGGCTGGATTAACCCATTTGTAAACATAGCAGTTTCTCTGAAACTACTGTGCAGGGCCGTCTTTAACGCGGGGCAAAAGGGGCACTTGGGCCCTGTCATTCCTAGGGGGCCCAAAGCAGCTGCCCCTTGAGCCCGCTGGCCGCTGTGGTGCTTGCGGGCAGACCAGTGTGGGCCGCACGATGAGGGGCCCCATCGGGTGGCCCATGCTCTTAGGGCCACCCGATGGCAATGAATCTGCAGGGGCCCGGTCAGCACTGCGGCGCTTTAACAGTGCGACCGGGCCCCCAGTGATGAGGTCAGCGCTAGGATTAAGTGCAGTCACTTCCTCCTAGCTAACACAGAGAATGCCGCGTGGGAGGGAGGAAGAGAGGAGGAGCGCGGACTGAGAGAGCGCTCAACTCCCAACAGCCTCAGACAGCCACTGGACAGCAGGTAAGTCATCCTCCTGCACCCAAAAGGTAGGAAACAGGAGGGTGACTGAAATTGTATATTTTTCATGCATGTCTGTTTGTGTGTATATATCTGTCCGCATGTGTATCAGTCTGTGCATGTGTCTGTTTGTGTGTGTATCTGTCTGTATGTGTATATGCATGTGGGTCTGTGTGTATATATGTCTGTATGTATATCTGTGTATCTTTATGTGTGTTTCTGTGTGTATAGCTGTCTTTATGTGTATATGCATGTGTCTGTATCTGTGTGTATCGGTCTATATGTGTATCTATGTGTCTGTATGAGTCTCTGTATGCGTATTTGTGTATGTGTACCTGCATGTATGCCAGTGTGTCTGTATGTGTTTCTGTGTTTCTGAATATGTGTCTGTATGTGTTAGTGTGTGTTTGTGTAACTGCATGTATGTCTGTGTATGTATCTGCGTGTTATTGTGTGTATCTGCATATATGTCAGGATGTGTTTGTCTGTTTATCTGTGTTTTAGTGTGTGTCTGCATGTTTGTCAGCGAGTATCTGTATATCTGTATGTGTGCCAGTGTGTATCTGTGTATGCACCTGTGTGTCTGTGTATCTGTCTTTGTATGTCTGTGTATTTAGATGTATGTACCTGTGTATGTGTGAGTCTGCATTTGTGTTAGTGTTTGCATCTGTATGTGTATCTGTGTGTGTATTTTCACTAGGTAAAAGTGTGACTATGTCTACGATCTATGCAGGGCCGTCTTTAATATTGATTGGACCCTGGGCAAGCATCTGCTTGGGCCCCCTGGGCATGCAATCACTCCCTCCACCCCAACCTAGAGGCGAAACTAAGAGAGTGCCTTGGTGCAAAAAAATAATAATTCAGGCCTGCCCTGTAGCACAAGAGTAAAGAGTAAAGAAAAGATAGATCCCCATCTGTCATACAACTCCTGCGATGCTATGCCAGGTGGGGATCTACCATCCTTGCAGGGTTGTATTTTTGAGCAGTGTTTGTGCAATTGAATGTCAGCATGTTATTGTATAGAGTGTATGTGTGCATGTAGGGGTGTATTTGTATGTACTGTTACCATTGGAATGCAGTGGTGTACTTGTGTGTAGTGTTTGCGTTTGAATGCAGTAATGTGTGATTGTCTGTAGTGTTGGCTTTTAAATGCAGGTGTACTTTTGTGTGTAGAGTTGGTGTTTGTATATAATTTTAGCGTTTTAATACAGGAATGTGTTTGTATGTAATGTTTGTATTTGCATGCAGGGGGTTGTTTGGATGTAGTGTTGTGTACATTTGTGTGTAGTATTGGTGTTTCAGCAAACTGGTGTGTTTGTATGTAATGTTTGTGTTTGCAGGGCTCTGTTTGCATGTTGTGTGATTTCTATAACACATATACACATACACATTAACACGCAGATACACACATAGGCACACTGACACATGCTCACACCTTGACACATACTGGCACATACACACACACACTCAGATACACACCCTTTGACACACAGATACAAGCACTTTGATACACACACACACTGGCACATCCACACACAGAGGTACACACACACACTGACACAGGTATGTACACACACACTCAGATACACACATACATAAAGGTATAAATGCAGGGGTGTATATGTGTACAGTGCTAGAGATGGAGTGTATTTGTGTTGGCATTAAAATGCTGGGATGTATGCATTACCACACACTCAGATGCACACTTACACACACTGACACATACATACATACACACACAAACACACACACAGGTACACATACACACTGACACACAAGTACACATACACAGGTATACATACACACAGAAACACTGACACACAGACAAACACAGCCAGATACAAACACTGACACAAACACAGCCAGATACACACAAGGACATAAACACAGCCAGATACACACACACACACACATATATGTGTACATTTACATATTTTAATCTCTGCCTTCTAGCAGCTCTTGGACAGCAACTCCCAGCAACCTTGGCCATAATAATGTCTCAACTCTGTTCTTACATACCCTGGTCCAGAATTTGGCAAAAGTGACATTTGGAAATGGTGTACAGCCTTTGATAACACTTGATGCAATAATATGTTAAAATAAATACTTTAAAAATTTATATTTAATAGGGAACTGTCAGGTTCTTCTAGGATTTTTAACATGTACTTATTCCCTGTGTGTTACATTACAAACACCAACACTTGAATAAAAGTGATATCAGAAATAAGCAAAACAAAAAAACAAAACATAGTTAGCCACCCTCCTGTCTCCTTACCTTTTGGGTACATAAAGGTGGCTTCCCTGGGGTCCAGTGGGAGGTTGTTGGCCCAGGCTGATGGGAGTCTGCCATCAGCTTTCTCAGTCCCTCTCCCCAACAATGCTTGCATCCTCCTCCGTGTGGTGTGTGCCTCCTCCCCAGCGGCACTGAGGAGGAAGTGATCTGACCTCACTGCCTCCCAGCATGCCACGGAGAAGAAAAGGGATCACAGGGCAGTGTGTGAGGGGCTAGCTGTGTGTTTGTATTCAGCCAACCCCCATATTACAAGGGCCCGGTCCAGAGCACTATTAAAGGGCTGTGGCCCCTGATTAACTCAGGTGCTGCAGGGGGCCCATGGGGGCCCCCAGGAGTAACTGGGCCCGGGGCAGCTGCCCCTTTTGCCCCTCCTTAAAGACGGCCCTGGATCTATGTGTGTTTTTTTATTTTTGTGTGTCTTTGGGCGGAAGGCGTGTTTGCATGCTAGAAGGTGGGCGGGAGGGGACCAGGGGGCCCAAGCTAATGCTTGCCCAGGGTCCAGTCAACATTAAAGACGGCCCTGCTATTATGTTTACAGCAGGCAGGGTTAATCCTAGATGGACCTGGCACCCAGACCACTTCATTGAGCTTAAGTGGTCTGGGAGCCTATAGTGGTCCTTTGATCAGGATCCCCCACCGGTCCTGGGCCCCCTCACACTCCGATAGGCGGCTCCCCAAGTTCCGGCCATGTCTGGACACTGGTTCCCTGGACCACCGTCCTGCTGTTGATGGCAGCGATGTCTTCTGCCTGGTCTGTAATTATATGGCAGCAAGTGTGATATACCTAAAAGAAGACTTTACGTTCGGTTGTTCGATCTGTTCTATACCTACATCAGTGATACCATCAGTGGGTGACCTGCAGTTGTTTAGACAAAGAAGGAAAAAAGTAATTGTTGGTAAGAAATCATCAGTAGCCTGAGTACAAAACACCCCAGGAGCCCCAAATCTAATGAAACACATCAGAGGATCCTCAGAGAATGGCTACGATGACTGTTCTCTGCTTGCTTGGATACAGAAATTTGTCTCTATGGTATCATAGGGATTGATATACCCAGTGTGAAGTAGTTCTAAATAGTACCGAGCTAGTGTACAATTAACAATGCCATACATAAGGGGCTTTCTTCTTATAGATATTTTACAATTGTTGGTAACTCGTAATCATACTGATATGCACTATGGGCATTATGTGTTTGTCTGTATGCATGTTTCTTTTAAAGCGGCACTGTCACTATCTGTGGACTTTTGCAAAGGCGTCTGCGGCTGTGGGTCTGGTGGCTTGGGGGGCAGTTAAAGGTGAGATTTGCTCGCCTGAACTTGTCCCTTGTGGGCGCTGCCATCTTCCTACGGCCGGTCCTCCAGGAGCACGCACGTGAGTACAGCATTGAGGTCTACGGAGGATCTTGCGAGACCACAGGATCCTCCATAGACAGAGCCAATACCTCGCAACCTTTGACTGGGTTGGACTTTTAGTGAACTTCCAACACAGTCAAAATGAGTATTTCATAAAGATTCTGCTTTATTCTAACAAGCATCCAGAGTTACATTGTTACAGGTACTGAAATAAATGGAACCAGTGGTGTACTATTCCTTCTTTGGTAACTCTGGTACATTGCAAACAGTAAATGATTGATATCCTTTGTGGCAAAATAAATGATTTATCATACAAAACTTTCTTACAGCGTGCAAAGGTTCTTTTCATGCAATAAAAATAGGCCTGGGGGAGACAAATTAGCAAATCCACAGCTGATACAGGCATTTGTACTATATCAATATGTTTGTGTATGTCAAAGAGGGCAGTTACAAAAGAGAAAGAAAAACGATAATGATGGATGGGCTTAGCATTACATGCACTTTGGCCTAGATAATCCCCTTATATACAAGTAATTTTAGTACTCTTCTAATTTACTGACCAAAGCTTGCTTACCCTGATTCCTGAATAAAACTCTTGGCACAAGTAGTATTAGGTCAACAAGCTGTCTCATGATATGAACCATCCAGTCATATCACCATTACATGTCTTGGAACAACAAGCCTCCTGCTGAAGGTTCTTTCAGTAGCTATAAATTCTACACTGTTATCATTTCTGGGTAATGTAATGCTACATAACATGTAGAAGCATAAAAGCATACAAAAATAGAGATGTATAAAAGCTGTACAGTTTTAAACCGGTGACTTTGGCATGCCATAGATTAAAACAAGCTATAATAAATGTAGTAAATGCTTTATATATCTGGTGATCAGTGGTTAACCTCTTAAGGAGCAAAATGTTTTTGTGATGCGAAACGTTTGTGACCAAGGCATTTTTTGGTACTTTTGCCATGCATTCATTCTACCAAGTTCCTGTTCCTGCTCTCTGGATTTAAGAGAGGTCTACCTACGGGAAGCTGGATCCTGGTCTTGGGTCTAGAGTTGGCGGAAGACGGCAAGACCCCAACCAAGCTGCAGTGGTTTGTGGGATCTGCGGTAGTTATGGTGTCTGGTGGAGTGCTTGGAGGCCTCAGGAAGCACTAGGAGTAACCGTCAACGGAAGGTACCCAGTTGGGTTGCCATGTGTTCCGTTACAATATCCTTTACCCTAATCCTGTATATCCAACCCTTAATCAAACCCTCAATCCAACCACTAATCCAACCCTTACTCAAACCCTCAATCCAACCACTAATCCAACCCTTAATCCAACCTAGAATGCAACCTCTAATCCTACCTATAATCCAATTTATAGGCCTACCTATAATCCTAATCCCACCTATTAGTCTCACCGCTCAACGGATTCCCTCTGTTGATGTCAGTACTGACATTAGTAGAGGGATATCCCAGCTCACACAGTACAGATAGGGAGAGCTCACTCTCATGCTGCACCTGCTCCCACACAGAGATTGGTGCTGGGTAGCTGGCTCAGCACTAATCCTGCTGCAGGGAGCAGGCATGGAGTGTGGAGTCCTCCTCGGTGTCTTTTCAGACCCTAAGGGTGTCTCCCAGAAACATGCACGATACCTGGGGATATCACTTTTTATGATGGAGACTGGAAGCGGTGATAGAAACTTCTCAGCGATGCTCATACCTTATCTGTCATTCTGGATCCCACTGTCGGTGTGGTGCTAACTGTGGCCCCAGCTGAGAGAAAGTTTCTTTAAACCAGTAGGGATTGAACTCCTGCTGGTACTTCTAATGCATGAAGGTAACTGGATGTTTAAGACCCAAAACATTGACCTACACTACTAGCAAAGGTAAAATTATTTTCCCCAGGCAAAACGATATCAGCAAATGTATTGAAACGCTACTTCTGTATGACCTAATGCTTTTGGTCTTCCGTGTTTGAAGATGACCTTTTTTGTCATACTTTGTTTTGTTTTTTTTAAATATATTTTAGGGTCTAATGGCTATCATTTATCTTCTTGTTGAAGACGTGTTTCAACTAATAAATTATTACAGCTTCAGTTACTGGCTGTTCGTGGGACTTTCTGTCGCTGGATTAATAGTTTTGAGAATAACTCAACCTAAGCGAATGAGACCAGTTAAGGTAATGAGCCCATGTATTGTTGATGGGAGAACAATTTCAACAAGTAAAAAAAAAAAATAGGGGGAAACATTAAAGGGAAACTCCAAGCACTTGGTCATTATAAAACAAATGACCTCGCATTTAAATCCCAAGCCAGATTGATTTCACTTGATGTTCCAGTGTTTTATGTACACCTGTGGTTAAGCAGTTTACCCATGGTTGTTTAAAGCTCCATAGATAAGGGCACAATATAAGAAACAAAATCTATAATAAACTATACATTTCCACTAGTCATGATCTGGTCACCATGAAAAATATGTGGAGCTTTATCTAGGCAAGTGGTGTTTTGGGTGGAAAGCGGTAAATCATGAGGATATATTCTATGGCTTCCATGGTGACTGATTTTTATTAAGCACATTGCTCCAGAATTTTAATGCTTGTATTGTTGGATGTGTAAAGAATGTGCCCTCTTTTTAAAATTTACAAAAAGTGCAGATTTCTATTTCAATAGAAATCTACACTTTTATAATTTATACTGGGCTCACCCCTCCCTCCCGACTTTTCAATCAGACAACAGGTCCTGTTACTTCCTGGTTTGGTTAGCTCAGTGAAGCTAAACTCAAGAGGCAGCAATTGCTCAGAGCACCTGCCTTGCAAAAACGTCTAATTGAGCTGTATTAGGAAGTCTGTGATTAGACAGACACAGAAAGTTTGGGAGGGGTTAGAAAAGGGGAGAGCTTGCAAATGCAGCAGACAAAAGAAAGGCAGATTATGTAAGCAATTTTTATATATGTCCCCAATGAAAAATCCCTAAATAAATGCATACATGCTTTTATTGGGAGTATATCTACTAAGCAATGATTTTATTTTTAGCGACATGGGGGGTTCTCTCTTACTTAGGCAGTGAAGTGTCCCTTTAACCCAGGACGTCTTAAGTAATATCTTATAGGATTCTTCTATGAACTAGAGCCCATATAAATGCATTTATATAAATGTATTCCACATGTATTTTAATCCCTTCTACCATATGCACACATATATATAGGTAATGTCAATGCACATGAACCTAATTATAAAAATATATATTTTTGTTATTTGTAGATCAGTCTCTTCTTTCCAGTGGTGTATTGCCTCTGCAGTCTTTTTCTTGTTATAGTGCCTCTCTATAGTGATACAATTAATTCAATCATTGGTATTGGCATTGCCCTCTCTGGAATACCAGCTTATTTTCTTGGAGTTTATTTACCTGTGGGAAAGAGACCACGATGTTTCTCTTGGATTTGTGGTAAGTAATATTCCTACATATCTATAATGCATATGTTGCAATTTAAAATTACACTTCCCCAATATTTCTGCCATACCTTCAACATGCTTACGATATGAATATTTTGAATATCAAAAAAGAGGAAGAAAGAATTAGCTTAGATGCACCTAAATATCCTGGATTATAAATTAATCCATATCCTGCTTTAATTCTTTAAAATATAGGAAAAAGAGTTATCAAGTCTATGATACAATAATCATTTTATTAATTCCTAACTCCCTCGGCAGTGCCTATCCACCTTATTCTAAAAGGACCCATACACCCTCTCTCCATATTATTATTATTATTATTATCGCCATTTATATAGCGCCAACAGATTCCGTAGCGCTTTACAATATTATGAGAGAGGGGATTTAACTTTAAATAGGACAATTACAAGAAAACTTACAGGAACGATAGGTTGAAGAGGGCCCTGCTCAAACAAGCTTACAGTCTATAGGATAAAACAAAGAGTGTTAAGCTAGCCAGCATTAAACACAATCACACGCCCTCACCTAATATATAGTGCCATTTGGTGCCCAATCACCTCATACTAAATGGCACTTTAAATATCTACCCCTATATTTAATGTGAAATAAGACAGAAATGCAAGTGCATAATTAGTACAACTGTCTATTATCAAAACATGCATCCCAAACCAAACATTTGGTTTCTACAATGTAAAGAGTAATATAAAGTAAAGATAATTTATATTTTTGATGTCTTGAAACTGTGTACTCTTTGCTTTAAAAACAAACATAGTATGGAACCTGAGCATTAGTTTTGCAATGACTGTAAAGGAATATCCATAATTCTTTAGCATCTCCCCTCCTGCTAATTATTTCACGGTAAATTATGAAACTATTCTGGTCAAAACCAGAGAACTTCTGACGTGGAGAAATGAATGCAAGGCCTGTTTATGTAAAATAACTAGCTGGTGCTAATTCATAATTGTATTTTCTACTATTCTAATATTGTTATTAAATAATACAATAATATTGTAATTACAGAATACATATATAATAGGCACAGAACATGGATTGATATGATGCATATAGAAAGAAGAGAAACATACAATTGTGTTTATTCAATATTATTTGGAATGTTATAGGTTTACACGTAGACAGATTGTATATAAATTGTAACACATTTAAATTTTTTTTTTTTTTTTTTAGAATCCTTAACAAAATATGTACAGATCGTTTGCAACTGCTGCCTGACAGATTTGGATGACAATATAGAAAAGAAAAGATAATATCTGTTGCCAGACACCTGTCCCGTTTTGTAAACTTTTCATTTTGATCAGATACATTGTATACTGCAGAGTATGTAAAAAATCATTTGTTCTTGTGTTTAAATTCTATTTTTGTTTGTTGATTGAGGTTCTGTTAGATTTCAGATGTGCATTTTTATATATTTTTTTGTCATCAAACAATTGTCCATGAATTAAAACATATACTGTTTTGTTAATGGGGAAATCTCTTATAAACACTACTAAAATAAAATAAAATTAAATAAATTTTTTTTTTTTTTTTAAAGGAATCATTTGGTAAATATTTTTTGGGATATGTGAGTCTTCAATAAGAATGGAAATACAATACAGATTACAGTTATATGACAATATATTAATAGTCACACCTACTAATTAGGTTTAGGTTCCATAAAAATAGCAGTAATATAATTTATACCATCACTGTAAAGAGAAAAACAGGCTCCCACCCCCTCCCCTCATTTGTTAGTGCATATGAACCTTAAAATATATTTGCATCATCATACTTTAGATAATTATTAAGTGTGAAATGTCTGGGGGTTTTTTTCCTCCAATACTATATAAAAGTACCATTAATAAAAAAAAATTTTAAATTCTCCCTTTGTACATGAAAAGAAATGTCACATTTACTAAAAGGCTTACACACCTGTGGCCAAATAAATATTTTAATTACCAGATGGGATATCCAAGTTAAATGCAGACACGTATTATAAATTATTTAAGGACTGCAATCAACATACCACAGGCCACATACCACAGCCTTGAAGGCAAGTTCTTTGTAGCACAGTTTGAGGTGGCACCCAGATATCCACACAATCATTGAAAACCACTACCATAATTGGTGCATCAACTGATATTTAAACTTTTGTAAATGTAAGTTGAAAAATGTTGGCCTCAATTTAATCATTTTGGACAGCTTTTCAAATTTACATTAATGTATTGCACGTGTAACTGTGGGGCTCAGCCCAATCTGCAATGCATACTATCAATTCCATTTTGGCAGTGTCCCCACTGAATAGGGAATGCCCAAGCACTAGCCTTGAACTGGGTTAAAGGCATTACATACTGATATGTTTGTTGTGAGGATGTAAGTTGTACCTTACTTATTCCAGGGTCTCCTTTACTAGCTGAACCCCCTCCCACTTCTGTTCAGGTTTCAGATAAAGGACCCAAAGATTCAGTTTAAAGTTTCAATTCCGAGTGTATTGGAGCTCCTGTATTTTTAACATATTTACACCATTGCTATTCATGCCTAAATTGCTAAAGGTTAAATGTTTGAAATGCATTCTATAGGTTTCCATGGTAACTTATTTCTCTTTAGCATCCTGCTCCAGAATATCATTCGTCTTTCCAAAATATATATATATGGCCCTTAGTATGTAGACTGAGACCCTGGGACATAGTTATCAAAGTGTCCTAAAAAGTAGCAAAATTGGGACAATCACCATGGAAACCATTGGAACCAGCCGGTGCATTTCACTGATGACTCCTCCCTTTTACATTTTTTGCACCACGTTTTCAAACAGTACACTTTGATAAATCCTCCATATTATTATGTTGCTTAGATGAACTGCAATTAAAGTAAACACAGGAAGCAAACAGACCTATCTGAGCCAGTGACACAGATGTATTAAATGCGCAGTCCATGCAACCAGACTTTATAGGTGTTAAAAGTCCTTCATAATGCAGGTTCCTGCAGTGAAATGGGGTAAATCCCAAACCGTGTAGCTCCACTTTCCTATTGGCATAGGCATATCAGCTAGGCAGCTGCAGCTAAGTGTGCTTGTTGTCTTAATTTAGTTTTGAGTTACCAAGATAACCCTTACACCTGTTACTTAGAGAAGAGAGTTCTTCTCAGCTAGCAGTAGCATATGTGCTACTTTTCTTTCCTCTTTTCACCCTTATCATTGAGTGGAATTGTAAAACCCGAGAGTGAAAAAATATACAAAAATATACATACAGGTCCCAGCTTATTTGTGTGAATTCTAACACCATGTGGGGTATTTCAGGATGCGGGTCAGTGCAGGCTGTGATATCCCTGCATGCAGACAGATAGGCTGTGTAATACAGGATGCAGGGTTCACACATACTGCGCTCTGTATTAAACTGATTGTGTAGTGTAGGAGCAGGGAGACTGGTTCTGCAGCATGAAGCATTAACACACACTTCCACCACCAGGGTAATCAATCTAAGTGCTATTTGGATGCCAAGCACTGCAGGTGATATTGGGAGTGCAAGTGGGTAGTGTCTGCATGTTTAATGCCACAAAGTATTACGAATTATGTTTTCCTGCTTACCCCTGCAGCACTAGTTACTCCAGTAAATACATTTCCTGGAGTGAGAGAAAATTGGAGTTTCACGATTTTAAAATCTAAAAAGTTATTATTGCCCCCTAAATACCCCACTGGAGTGAGTAGGACACACCTTAGTTTAGGATTTAAGTCTTGTCTAGGATTATACAAACACTGTTCTGCATGCAGCGAATACGATTTATTACCACCTTTGGATTGTAGACTAATAGCCATCCATGGGCTTTACAAAGCTTACTTCAGGTCGCAAATGTATTGTACCCCATTGGTTAGACATTTCCACTTTACTGTTATGACAGAGGCTACAGAAGTACCTGCTGGGTGCTAGTTGTAGTTGGCTATTTTTATTTCTTGAAGTAAAGATCATTTACAGACCATAGAGTCATACAAATTATTCTGTCCTAGCAAAAATCCATGTAAAGTAAATTTCTACAAAACAGTAGCTCAAAGGATCTAATTAATTTTACTTTTATTAAATCTCAAGGAAAACATGCACAAAAATATAACTATATGTGTGAATATTTCATTTGTAATGTGTGCAGTATTTGTTTTATATATATCATATAATAAACACTAGTAGAGCCACCGTGAAGTGATTAAAATACCCATGTTCATGCAAAATTATTAAAAATTATTATTTTTTTATAGCCTAAAGTAATACATAATTTGAGTCCTACAGCTTTAAGCATTTTTTTGTAACCCCTTCCCCTAACATACTTTTTGCAATCAAGTTAAATCATTTTGAATGTAATCTTAGTGTTAACACAGTCTGACAATGCAGTGCCCTAATTCACTCTGCAGTCATCGTTCATGGGCACAGAGTTGAAATTGCTGGGGGCTGAAATTAAATGTAAACACTGGGTCATCCCGAGGAGATGGCTGCTTTGGGGGGATGCAGAATTCAAATCTTTGGAGAAGGGAAGTAAAGAAGACAAATAGTTCCATTTTTGCCAAATGCTCTCCAAGGCAAATACGCCGACCTGTTAGAATGGACAAGAAAGCAGTAGAATTAGTATTTCAGTATACTTCGTCAGAAAGGGGGTTAGCAACAGATAGAAAGCTCCTCAACTGATGAACTACACTGTTTGACTGAGCACAGGTACTTTCGAGTTGTAGTGAAACAATTGTCTAACTATCACTAATTTATTTTAAGGGAATATCACAACACAGAAAGTACCACCCCCAGCATTTTTGGGTTTATCGACACCCTTCTGATATCTTCATATTTCATAAGCATCAGTATTAAATCAAGGGTGCAGCAACTGGGCTATGTGTGCCATAGATCTTTGGAGATCTTTGCTTTGCTGATCAAGTTTGGAGGATGGAGAGCTTTGCCATAGGCAATTTGGTGGCCTTTCCCCCGCATAATTCTTGCAAGCAATATCTGAGAAACAGCTACAGTGATCATCTGTCAGCATAACCTTGGCATCTCTGTTGCATGGTGAAGTATGCCAAGAGAAAGCAGAAAAGATATAGCCAATTTGCCATGGGCCTCATTCTACTGCTCCATTCCTAGGCCACCATCGATACCACACCAATATATTCTGAACAAGGTGTTTTATTCACCAACACTGTACATAAAACACAACAAAAAACAAAACATTTCTTTCTAAATATAATATGATGGTAAAATTTGTAAGGTCACTCGCAAACTGTATGTTAGAAAGGCTGACACTTCATTTAAAAGTGTGTAATACAGTGTAACAAGAAGACACAAGACACAATAAGTGTCCTTTAGTAGCATAAACAGAACGGTATGACGTTTACATAAATCTAAAAATCAATGAAAAAGCATCGTACCAGCAGAAAATGGAATAAATGATTCTCTTTTCATGAAATTTCCTTGGGCATTCAAGAAATGTTCTGGATAAAACTGATATGGCTTCTCCCAGACCGTCTCATCCTTTAACACGGACATCAGATTGGGTATTATTGTAGTACCCTAAACAAACAGACAAAAAAAACGAAAAAAAAAAAACCATAATTTTCTCTTATGTGTTGAAAGATGACTACTATTCAACCAGCATTGTAGTGATATTTTCTCCAGGGGCTTGAAAAGTTCTTATTTCTAGGGAATCTTCATTAAATGAGAGGCTCCGATAATTTTCTGTACCCAAACAAGGATTGTATTGTGTGCAACCTTCACTTACCACTGGTGTCAATATACTGGAAATTATCAGTGAAAGAAATAACTGAATTAATTTGTAGGACAGCAAGTTATGGCCCACCTTGCCCAGTCTGTCTGTGGCTCACACATCACAATCTGCAGTGAGTGCTTAAAGTCATATCCAACCTTTCTTCACTTACCGATCATGCTGTGCTCCAAAATGAGATGCTGGGCAGGGGAACATGAATGCTCTCTACTTTTGTACTGCAGAGCCACACTAAAATTAAAGTAGGAAAGATTCACAAGACAGAAAGGGGGGTGAACATACAGAGAATATAAAGGGAACGGAGAGAATGGGGGTAGATATGCTAAACACAGGGATGTGGACAAACAGAGAATAGACAGAATACGGGGGTTGGAGTGGACAGACTGATAATGGTGTAAGGAACACATCAAGAATGGGTTAAGTACAGACAGAAAAATGGGGCAATAAACAGAGTATGTGTGTGGACTTGGACAGACAGTGTGATGGGGTTGAGTCAATAGCATACCAGTCAGAATAGGTTACACTTTGGAATCTATAGCTTCCTTGCACCATAACTACTACCTAGTACATGAAGTGTCAAGGGGGTGCAACCTTTGCCTTGCCAAATACCCAAAGCACGCCTCTACTCCACTCACAAAATTACTGGCAAATGGATTTCTAGGGAATTCTTATTTCTAGGGAATCTTCATTAAATGAGAGGCTCCGATAATTTTCTGTACCCAAACAAGGATTGTATTGTGTGCAACCTTCACTTACCACTGGTGTCAATATACTGGAAATTATGCTAAACACAGGGATGTGGACAAACAGAGAATAGACAGAATACGGGGGTTGGAGTGGACAGACTGATAATGGTGTAAGGAACAGATCAAGAATGGGTTAAGTACAGACAGAAAAATGGGGCAATAAACAGAGTATGTGTGTGGAATTGGACAGACAGTGTGATGGGGTTGAGTCAATAGTATACCAGTCAGAATAGGTTACACTTTGGAATCTATAGCTTCCTTGCACGATAACTACTACCTTGTACATGAAGTGTCAAGGGAGTGCATCCTTTGCCTTGCCAAATACCCAAAGCACGCCTCTACTCCACTCACAAAATTACTGGCAAATGGATTAAAAATTCTTATAATAAATATTCCAAATGTATTTATTTTTTATATGCTAATGAAGTAAGAGTGATAACCTGTAAATCATGTACTAGAATGTAAAATGAAAACAAGTTGAATTAAAATCCCTGACTTTCTGACAATATTCTCATTTTCATAAAGCTGTTGTAAGTATATCGCTGTATACTCGTTACTGCCTGAGCCCCTTTAAAGGTTAGCACTGGGATACCAAGTATATTCTGAAACTGAAAATGTATCTTCACATAACCGAGAGTTCCATCCCTGCTGTTTGTTTCTATTTGTCTGCCACCTGGTGGCTGTCTGTCTAACTTCTGGTGTTTATAGCCTTCTGTGCTTAACAAGCATTTTCAGATGGATCACACCTTCCAACAGTTCCAAATCTGGTAGAACGTCTGGTAGAGAGTTAGTACTCACGCGTTTTAATTTGGTCAAATTAAACTTTAAGTTATTTTTATTTGAAAAAAAATAAAAAAAATTCCAAAACGTTTAATTGAAATATTGGATGAATAATAAATATAAGGTAAAAAAAAAAAAAAAAAAACATATTGCCATAGAAGCAGAAATCTCGTGGGATTGCATTTTTGTATAATGCAAAAAAAATTGTCAAGTCTGTGAAAAATATTTCATTTTCTAATAAAACCTTATATACATCAGTGCTTTTTATTTCTGCCTTTCGGCGACAAAGTAATCTGTTTTAGCCACTTTTTATGACTTTTTCCTTGTATATCATGATTTGCTCATTATAAGCGAATGGACTGCAACCAAAGTTAGTGAAAAAAAATAATCAAATAGATTTACAAAATTAGAAGACAAAAGAGTAATTAGAAGGAAAAGTGCATATTCAGTGGGAAATTATTTTTTTCATACATTGACAATGAAAAAAAAAAAGAAAAATGTGAAATCTGCTTGCCTGTAACAGATAGCCTGTCAATCTTATAAAAAAAATAGTTGGAAAGAATAGACTTTTATGCTTGTGTGAATTTATATATGTTCCAAGATTAGCGCACTTCAGGATTTACAATTTAAATTTGATGCAAATTCATGAAAACCAAATTCAGTTCTGACTGGACATTTTTCAAGACAAAGAGTGAAAAATACACTTAAGTACCTGTTGCTTTCATCTTGGAACTTTTATATCTGTGGCTGGATCTTTGCACAGAGGCACTGACAAGACTGGGGAGCTTTGGAGCAGGGCATACGAGTTCTTATATATTATCACATATATGGGGAGGGACAAATTTGTGACCCCAGAAAGAGATGGGGTAAAAAAAATAAAAAAATAAATGGGGGTTGGGGCAGAAGAAAAGGCACAGTAAGAAATATATTTAAGCAAATATGAGAAAACCAAGAACAAAATGAGGAAAGGACATCAGAAAACAAAAGTGATCTCAACACATTTTATGGATAATCTCTCAAAGTTTGTATGTGGTCAGATAATTCTGGTCATTATAACTGTCCATGCTAATAGTTTTATGAATGTTCTCTTACCTTGGGTATATCATAGCCTTGAATTTTGGTGTCTTTACAGGTCATATGAAACAGAGCCATCGGCAGAATATTTCCATACCGCTGAGTTTCATGGATTACTGCATTGGTATAGGGCATGTTCAGCTGGTCTTCTACGGAGGGTATTCTGTTAGACCCAATCACTTTATCTATTTCTTCGTGGACTCGACCTACACAAGACCAAAAGATATATTATTCTCATAAAAAATGACATTTTGCGTATAAATAAAAAAAACTTTAAATATTCCAAAATGGATGTGAGTGTATTGTGAAAGTCCCAACTAATTCATAATTCACGGGGAATGCATCAACCTTGATAATGGTTGACACGTCCTCGTGGTATAATTACATTGGAGATAATGCTACAATTTCAGGGTGATCAACAATCTTCTTTGAATAAGACACCTTAAGAGACAGATAGACAGATAACAAATAGCCATGCACGAAAAAGGTATCTGATGTGCACTCAAATTCTCTATACTTCTTTTGTAAGAATATGTTTATTAGTATGAAGATGTATACAAATCAAATGGACCAGACTAATTTAGAAGAATAAAGACAGGTGATCAGTTAAATGCCACTCCCTTTAGTGGCCAAAACCCAATATATATGTATATCCCTACAAATTAAATCCTAATTAGAATAAAAATTATATTGTTACTAAATATGTAGTAATATGAGAAATTAAACACATCAGTAGTGTCATGAATTGCAAAGTAACAAAAAGGATAAATGAGAAACAAACAAAAAAAAATGTAGGAGATACAATTGTCAATTAGCAAATACAGTATTCTATATGCAGGTAACCTTTGATCTATGACCGGCTGCATAAAGTATAATAAGTTTGCTAATTTGGAATTTTGTCTTTTTATATATTTTTTTGTTACATGGGCTTCAATTTAATAAGCTCCAAATATATCCATAGACTTTAAAGGGCCACTGTAGTCACCAGAAAAATTACAACTTAATGTAGTTTTTCTGGTGAGTATAATGTCCCTGCAGGCATTTTCATGCAAACATTGTCTTTTCAGAGAAAATGCAGTGTTTACATTAAAGCCTAGGAACACATCCAGTGGCCACATCTCAGATGGCCACTGGAGCTGCTTCCTGGGGCAGGAATCTCTGTGAGGAGATGCTGATTTGCCTGGCCGGCGTTTGGCCTCCTTGGCGATCTCAGCCAATACAATCCTTTACCTATGGGAAGCATTGGATTGGGTGAGATCCTCAATTCTGATAATGTCAGCCAAAGAGGCGGATCAGGGCCAGCGCCAGCAGACAAGTACAGCATTTGAAAAAATGTATGTTTTAACCATTTCTACGGAACTAATGGGGGGCAAGCAACCTAAATAGTGGTTTTAACCCTATAGTGTTCCTTTAATGGTGACTTCTGCAAACGCTTGAAAACTTTTCTAACAGTATTGAATTATTTGGAAAGTTTATTAAATTGAGGCCATAACAGTCTTGAGTCATCCTATCAAAATATTTCTATAATTTTCTTTTTTTTGCAGCAATGATTTGCATATATCTTGCCAAAGATACCTCCTTGATATATGCTGAAGAAAAATGTACAATTTCTCCCCTTTCCATATCTTCAGTAAATCTATACTTTCACTTTGTGAATTTTGGAGGGTTATTTGTGCTATATTTGGCAATTGCTTTTTTTTAGTCCATTTAATAGCTTTTTTGCAGGCATTATTTACTACCTTATATCTTATATAGTGTGCCTCTGATTTACCCTATTTAAATGCCATTTTCTTATTTTTGGTTTACCATCCTACTAAGCCACATTAGTTTCAGTTTGTTTCTTTTAGATTTATTCCCCAAATGGTATATACTGAGAAGTGTACCTCTCTCATATTTGCTCTAAGACACCATGTTGTGATCACTATTTATCAAATGCTCCCCTACTTGAATGTTTGACAAAAGCTCAACATTGTTCATTAAAACCAGATCAACACACACGCATATATTCTAGTTGATGTTATTACCATTTTTGATATGAAGGTGTAATTTGCCAATTACCCTAGCTGAACTACTAGTCGCTCTATTCCGATTTATGTCCAGTTAATTAAAATCTCCAATAATTAAAATGTTATCCAAATGTTCAGCTTTCCCATTTTGCTCTAACAGCTGTTCTTCCTGTACCTCATTATAAGTTTCTTATATAATATTTCTTTACTTTACCTTTTCATATAACAAAACTGGAGAGTTTAATTTCTCATGTCACTACATATAGAATTTAATTTTGATGTTTAATGTTTGCCTTTTTATATTTCTGGAGTGCTGCTGGAAGCGGTGGGGGGGGGATGGGAGGGGAGAGGGAAAAGTCTAAAAATACATATTTTGCAACTTGTGTATCTGTGTGTGTGTGGGAATGTGTATGAGAGTGTCAATGTGTATGTGTATCTGTGTGTTCGCTTGTAGCTGCATATATTCCAGCATTCATACACAAACATCAATAATACATACAAACACACTGTTACAATCAAACACAAATACTACACTCAAAACGCACCCCTGTATTAAAAATTTTAACATTGTATACAAACATACCCCTAAATCAAACAACAAAACTATACATAATTGGACCCCTTCATTCAAAATCAAAACCTCATGCACACACATGGGAAACGTACTGTAGTATTCATTAATGGACAAACTTACAGCAGTATTGTTTAATGGGTTCCTTGCTTGGCATATGTTTAATGGGCAAACAGACGGTGGCATGTTCTGAGGGGCAAAGCAACACTGTTCTGTGCATGCACTTTATTAGGTCTAATATATATATTTGCTAGTGCTGTGCTTGGTTGAGAAAAGGTTGAGGAGTACTTGTTTTAAGCACACCACCATTGGACTCTGAAGCAGTGAAAACTTGTTCTCTGGACTGATGAATCACACTTTACTATCTTGCAGTCTGAGGTAGGAATATGGGTGTGGTAGATGGCAGAAGCACAATTCCTACCAGAATGTATAGTGCCTACTGTAATGATTACATTTTTTTTTTATTTTTTTTTAGGAACCCTTTAGTTTTAATAAGGGTCATCTTAATGCTACATGATACAAAGATATAAACACATCTTTCTGTTCCAGCATGGCTGTGCCCCCGTACACAAAGTGAGGTCCATGAAGACATGGTTTGACAAATTTGGAAGTCCAAAAAGCTCGCATAAGTGTTAGATTCAAGTGTCCACACTCTTTTGGCCATATTGTGTAATAAAATATATAATAGACAAAGGCAGACACAACTAGGTCATTACTTACATTGAATGTGTGGATGCAGAAGCATCATTAAAAGAGCCCATCGTAATGTGTTGGATGTTGTTTCTGTTCCACCAATAAAAAGATCAGAAATTGTGCACATAAGGGAGAGATCGTTGAAGCTACTTTGGGAGTCATTTTTATTCTGAGGACACAGAAAACAAATACTATGTAGTCTCAGACTAATTCAGTTTTTTTTTTTTTAATTCTAAATATGGATGTATAAATTAGAATATCAGCTTGTAAACAATAAAGACTAAAACATACGCACACAGTCCAAGATAGCACTTCAAAACATTTGTATTAAATATTTTTAAAAGGGGTTCACAAATTGTGGAAATATGCAATAAATAAAATAAAAGTCTTAGAGTGGGAAAAAATCCATATATCCAGTTTACTTTATTTTAAAGGAGAACCAATACTTCTCTGCAAATATGTGGTCCATCGCTCTACTATAAACACACATCAACTGGCTGCTTGCCTATTCCCCACTCTTCCTCTTATTCCATTAGGTGGAATGCATTCCATTGTGTTTTAGGAAAGGGTCAATTGGGTTGTCCAGAGTGTGACGTAGAGCCATTAGATGGAAATTCTGGTCAGATGACTTTGTGATGGACCGCCATCACCAAGTACCATGCCCACTGCTTATTCGTGTGTTATTCCCCTTGTAGTATGTGTTCCCACTTGTATTTTGTGTATTGTGCCTGTTTCCCCATTCAGGAGCGTTCCTACGAATGGAACCCGTTCGTCTACCGAACGAGAACCACCCCGGTACCCCATTACAATGTTCACACCAAATCAACCAGAACGTTCGCACCTGCAATGTAAGTGTGTAACTGCAAGGGAAGGAATTAATGAGTGATCCCCTGGGTGGCCGCTATTTCATATAGATGAACGCCACCCAGGGGGAGCACTCATATCCCGAAAGGAGACACTTCCCTTGCGGGGTCTTTGCACCGAGATTCCATGGGGTACTGGCGGATCGGATGGCCCTACCTGCTCCTAATGGAGCTATAATCACTGTTCTCCCTACCCAAGCGCTACAAGGCCAGGCTCGTAGCTGCCCAGAGAGCACTCTCCCGGGGCTACTTAAGTGGAGATAGCCACCGGAGAGAAGCATGAGCCCCAGCGGAAACCCTAGAGCTGTGAGTCAGCTTCACAGCCGCAGAGTCCTGCTGGCCATCTGGAAATCCGTGCCGACCAATCGGAAAAGGAGCTCCTATTCAAACTAGGTTTGCGCGATTTTCCGGATTGGTCGGCACAAGTGAGCGCTGATTGGTTGTTGCAGGGCGGAGGTGTTCAATCAGGCACTGACCACTAAACAGGGTCCAATAGAAAATTGCAGCAACAATCTAGAAAAGAGAATAAAAAGAAGCCATAGTGCTCTCTGTATATTTTATTGAAATACTATTAAAGATTAAAAATACTCAAATATTCCCATCTGATATCAGGCACGTTGAAATAATGTATAAGCAAGTCCTTATTTGGTGTGAGCGAATTTCCCATTCTCTCCTCTACTCCCCGCCGGGCCTCTGATGAAGTGAAGGTGCCTTCACGAAACGCGTAAGGCCGTTTTGCATCTGCCGTAAAACAGATACCAAAGATTATGGCGCAGTGGAATGCAGGAGCAGCCCTATTGTGGAATGCATGCAGCGTTTTGATATGTACACACAGGCTCAACTTTTCTTATGGCCGGCGAGAGTAGAGGAGACGATGGGACGTCCGCTTACACCAAAGAAGGACTTGCTACGTGCCTGATATCAGATGGGAATCTGAGTGTTTTTTTTATCTTTTAATAGTATTTCAATAAAATATACAGAGAACACTATGGCTCCTTTTTATTCTCTTTTCTAGATTGTTGCTGCAATTTTCTATTGGACCCTTTTAAGTGGTCTAATAATCCATTCACTAAGAAGATATTTGTACCTATGTTATAAGATTGATACTACAGTGTACACACCTTACCTCCTTTATAGTTTTTATGTTTTCTTCTGAGTGTTTTATGCCTACTTATTTTTTATACTATAAGAGTACCTTTTTTCTCCTGGGCAACACTCCTGGTATAGAACGAGGATTAACTTCCTTGTAAAACTTGAGTTAGCTATTTTATTGCAGCTCAGGGTGGAGGCTTAAGATACCGGTAGAGTACAGTGCATAGGATCATTTTTTAAATTGATTAAGTTTTAATTATTTATTTATTTCCTTCTCATTACCACATAGTTTCCCTCTCCAACTTTTAGAATGAGGTATTCACTTTTCGGATACCTTTTTTTACATTTTACTGCTAATTTTGAATCAATATGGATTGCCAATTAATTTTTAAAATACTTAGCACATAAGATATATGTCCTTACTTTCTCCATTTCTTCAAAAAACGCATCAATGAAGTCTCTTCTTATGTTGGTGTCCCAGGTCTCTCTATGTCGGCTGATTATTTCATTTAGACATTCAATATAAGCTCTTTGCAGAGTGAATAGTTTTTGATGAGGACCAGGAATCTTTATGAGCCAGGGGAAGATTTTATACAACTAAAAAACACATAGGATACAACATATAAAAAATAAAAACCCACTATGGTACATGACATGAGTAAAATCACAATGTTAATAATATTTAGCCATATCACCTGGGGCATAACACCATTTGAACGTTCAAATGTTTCCCTTAACAGAGCAAGAATTTTCCGAAATGTTTTGTCACTGTAATCAAATCGTTCTCCGAAAATAACCGAACAGATAACATTGCTCACAGCATTATTAAGCAGCAGGAGAGGGTCAAACGCACATCCTGAGGAGCAAGTCAACAATATTGTTAATCATTTTGTAGACACATATTATATTCTTACAGAGATACAATAAGAAGAAAGAGAGAGAGAAAGCGAGACAGTAAAAAAGAGAGAGAGACAAAGAATTTTTTTTAAATTGTTGTGTATAAAATGCGTATCACTTTCTCAATTAAAAAAATAAAAAATGTTCAAGACCAGGATTATTCCTAGCTCATCTGATAGCTATACAAATATTTTTTATTTATTTTTTTAATACAATTTAAACTTAGATGTAACTATGTGTGTTATGCAACAAATTCTTCTCTCCTGTTCACTCTGGACATAGCTAAATGTCTGACCATTTCCTCCACAGTGACATATTTTTCTGAGATTCTGTGCATTCCTGATTAAAGCCATTTTGGCACCTTTGCTATATGTTTGTTTAACTGTAACTTCCTGTTTTCTCTTTAAGTGCACCCAGCTTTATTTATTTTTAAGGACAAAAAGGGCTTTCTTCTGATTCTCCATTTAAAAATGGTACAAAAAGGGACATTCTTGGGAACACGTCCTGGAGGAGTAACAGCTATAAACCAAGTTAAAAAGCTACATAAGGCCAGTAGTTAAATACCATAGTGTAATAGTATAAATAAGCTCCAGGCTGATTTAACATTTAATGACACTGGCCACATATCTGCCACACATGGTTGCCTTAGGGTCCTCAAGTAACCTCTAACAGACCAGGATTTAGGGATAACCCAGTTGTGTCTAATGTGTTTTTAGAATGAAAGAAAAAAATAAAATAAAAACCACTTTAGACACAACAGGGTAATCCCTAAAACCTGGACTGGTAGGGGGTACTTGAGGACTGGGTTGGGAACCCCTGCCTTAGGGCATAGGAGAGTTACAATATAGAGATCAATGATGATCCCTTATTAAAACAGCGGCACAATTCAGAGCCGAAATTCCATTGACCCGGCTTCCAGTATTTGACTCTCTCTCACTACAAATATTTCATCCCTAGAGGTATTACACATCTCAATTCCTACAATCAAACTTCCAGGGGAGAAAAAAGACAGATAGCTTGGAATTCTACAAGTCTTAGTTTTACATACACACACACGTATAATATATCTGCATATTCTAGTGTTTTATATTTCTATTTTGGTGAGGGATGTGATCATATAATTATATAATAATGTAAAAAAGGTTTTTGTTTATTTTTCTTTTTATTTAATTAGTCTTACCTTTCTCTGCACTGAAAGCAGAGCATAGAAAACCAGCTTCCTCTCTGACACGCTCTTCAACTGATTTCTTCCCCATCCCAAAATCTCTTAATGTACTAAGTGTAAATCGTCTTCGTTCTTTCCAGTGCTGGTTATAGTTACAAAAAACAACACCTAGACAGGAGTAACACTTTGGGAATGAGTCATATATTACACCATATTGGATAACTTCAGTACATCAGAAAAAAAAAAAAGGCTGATATCACCTTATTTAAAAAAAAAACAAAACAAAAAAAACACACACATATATATGCTGTATTCCAGCATATGTAGACCCCCTTATATCAATATGTAACATTGCTAAAGTAATTCTGTAAGTTCTGCCTTGCTACATTGAAGGTATAAGAAGACATTTTGTAATAATACATTTTCTTATTTAAATGAGTAATTCATCTGTAAATGGACATTAGATAAATATAATGAAAGGACATTTCTTATTCTTCTAGTTTAAGATTAATGTTATCATCTAAAGAGAAATATGTTATAATTAATATAGCCAGACTTTTGAAAGGATTTTATTTAATTTAGAGTAAGAATTGAGTTATGCCAGTAACAAGTAGGTTGTGGTGTGCTGAAACCAACGAGCGGGTAGGTCTAAAAAAACAGGGCCCATTAAATGAGCATAAAAAAAGGAAGAGTTGGGTGGGATTCCAAAATGTATGCCGAACATCGGGGGGAGGGGGGGAGAATTGGGAGGAGGGGGGTAGATATAGGCCGGCAAAAAAACCTTCCCAAAACTCCAGTTATAATGCCTTCACGTTGTGTACATATAAAACTTAATACAAAGCAAAATTAATTTCAAATAATCCTTTGCATAAAAACAAAAGAGCATGATTAATTTATCTTGTGCAGACCGGTCTACAAACACTAAAGTTTACACACTTTACATTCTCAATGAGACATTGAAAATGTTTAATAGGAGGTGACAACAGTGGAACCGGATCTACCTTGCATTGAACTGCCCTCTCACCAGCATTATAAGGAATACAGTGAGGGGAAAAAAGTATTTCATCCCCTGCTGATTTTGAATGTTTGTCCACTGACAAAGAAATGATCCGTTTATAATTTTAATGGTAGGTGTATTTTAACAGTGAGAGACATAATAACAAAACATAAAAAATCCAGAAAAACCCATTTTTAAAAAAGTTATAAATTGATTTGCATGTCAATGAGTGAAATATGTATTGATCCCCTATCAATCAGCAATATTTCTGGCTCCTAGGTGTCTTTTATACAGGTAACGAGCTGAGATTAGGAGCACTCTCTTAAAGGGAGTGCTCCTAATCTCAGCTCGTTACCTGTATAAAAGATGTCTGTCCACAGAAGCAAATCAATCAGATTCCAAACTCTCCACCATCCATGGTCAAGACCAAAGAGCTGTCTAAGGATGTCAGGGACATAATTATAGACCTACACAAGGCTGGAAAGTGCTACAAGACCATCGCCAAGCAAGTTGGTGAGAAGGTGAAACAGTTGGTGCTATTATTCGCAAATGGAAGAAACACAAAATAACTGTCAGTCTCTCTGTCACAGTTCTCACCGTGACATCCAGACAGCCAGGCGTGGTCGCCCTAGAAGTTCCCAACAGGGGATTTGAAACTTGGGTACTTTGCGGTCCTGGGCCTGGTTTACTTACTATAAGCCACAGCAGCTCCTATTCCTCTGATTATTTCTAGCCCTGTTCTATCTGACTGTGTCTCCAGCACTAGGGGGTTGGACTTTTCCTGTGACTGCTCCTGTCCATCTCAGTCCACCTGAAGCAGATGCCTAATTAGCTAGGTTTAAAACACTACCTCTCTCTGAGGGCAGCATCAGTTCATTGACTCTGGTTCCTATATTTGTGTTCTTGATCCAGTGTTCTCCAGACGGCTCCTGACCTTGGCTTATATTCATTTATCATGATCTCTGGCATCCTCTGACCCTGGCTTACCCGTGTTTATCCTGAACTCTGGCATCCTCTGACTTTGGCTTCTCCATTATAATCCTTCTGCTTATGTCCTTGCCTGTACTGCGACTTGGGGCTATATCCTGCACAACCCCATGGCTCAGTCTCACAGGCCGGGTGGCTTCTTATCTGCTTACCTTGGTCTGTGTTTATTTGCAAGGGTGAGCGTATATCTCTGCATGCTGGAGTCCACATCAGGTAAGATTCCTGACACTCCCTCGGTCTGGTGCTCCTTGCAAGATCTCACCTCGTGGAGTTTTAGTGATCATGAAAACGGTGAGGAATCAGCCCAGCCCTACACGGGGGCAGGGCCAGATTAAGACCCCAGTGGGCCTGGGCCTAATTACAGAATCTGATCAACCAAAAACACTGAAACAACCATACCTCTATGCTAATTTCTAATTTATGCTTTCATCTTTCAAGTAAATCCATACCCCCCAACAGCAGTGTCCAGTGAAGCAGGAAGTCAATGGGAAGGTAAAAGGGTGTGCTACTGACGCGAAGCACGTGACCAGACCTGCCAAAAGGGGTGAAAATGCCAAAAAAGGGGGCATGTTTGTCCAAAGAATTGGAAGGCCAGTCTGGTATGAATGCATGTCAGGCTGTCTGCCAATCATGCAGGCTGTCCAACTAAGGGCATACTATGCAGGCAGCACCCTGAACTTGACATAAATGCATCAAATGATGCTTCTACTCCACGCTTTCTAAGGACTGTCCCCATCACTCACATGTCCACTTGTCTCCTTGTCGTCTTACTAGCAATCAGAAGTTCCTGGTACCTAGTCTGGGACAGAGTAAAGGTGTATGTAGTGAGTGTAGTATATGTAGTGAGTGTATAAGAAAGGGGATATTCCACAGTGTTAGAGAAACCAAAGTCTGCATTACCTAAACTAATTTTATTGTCCAGTCCACACAGGTTTTGTTGCCATACATCCCTCTTAAGCTTCCAAACTTAAAGGGACACTATAGTCACCAGAACAACTACAGCTTATTGTATTTGTTCTGGTAAGTAGAATCATTCCCTTCAGGCTTTTTGCAGAAAACACTGTCTTTTCAGAGAAAGTAACTCCACTGGCCACTCCTTAGATGGCTGCTAGAGGTGCTTCCTGGGGCAATACTACCTAGTGTGCAACACTGCCAATAGGTATCGCCACCCTCTGCATGCAGACACTGAACTTTCCTCATAAAGATGCATTGATTAAATGAATCTTTATGAGGAGATGCTGATTGGCCAGGGCTATGTTTGACTTGTGCTGACTCTGCCCCTGATCTGCCTAGTTGACAGTTTCAGCCAATCTTATGGGGAAGCATTGTAATTTGCTCAGACCACTACTTCTGATTATGTCAGCAGACACAGTCAGTTGAGAGGCAGAGCCAGCAGCTGCAGACCTGAATACAATTAAGATTTTACTATATTTAGGGAGGCATGAGAGGGTCAGGGGGGCTAGAATGTGTTTTTTACATAATAGGGTTAGAAATACATGATTGTGTTCCTGGCCATATAGTGTTCCTTTAAACAAGAGTATGTGAAGAGTAGTTAGGGTTGCCAACTTTCTTGGAAAAAAATACCAGCCTTTGTATATTTAATTAGTTATGAGTGACATCACATAATGTAAATCACAAGGAGTGACATAAGAGAAAATTCTGTAAAATCCCCAACAAACTACTCACAGTTTGATTCTGCTGTATAGATGAATTGCTCCCAGTGTCTCAGTCTTGCAAGTCTGCCCATTTCTCCCAGTGTCCCCATGTATCACAGTGTCAGTGTCCCCATGTCACCCAGTCCCTTGTCTCCCAGTGTCCCAATTTCTCCCAGTGTCCCCATGTCTCAGTGTGTCCCCATGTCACTAGGATACTAAGGGACACAGTGACCCGGGAACACTGGGAGACATGGGGGCACTGAGATGCTTGGGGACACTGGGAGACATGGGGGCACTTGTGAATACAGACATGGGGACACTGGAAGACACGGAGGCACATTCACAGTACCTAATAACGGGTATACTACTCCCTCTTTTCTTTTTCGACATGGAGGCACTGGGAGACATGGGGACACTGAGATATTTGGGGACACTGGGAGAAATAGGGACACTGAGACACTAGGGACACAGAGACATGGGGACAAAGACACTGGGAGACATGAGGACACTGAAACATTTGGGGACACTAAGACACTAGGGACACTAAGAGACATGGGAACACAGACACTGGGAGACTAGGGGACACTGGAAGACTAGGGGACACTGGAAGACATGGGGACCCTGAGACACTAGGGACACTGGCTGGGAGACAGACACTTGGGGACACTGGGAGACATGGGGACACTTATGGACATAGACATGGGGACACTGGGAGACATGGGGACACAGACATTTGGGGACACTGGGAGACATGGGAACACAGACACTGGGAGACTTGGGGACACTGGGAGACATGGAGGCACTGAGGACACTGGCTGGGAGACATGGGGACACAGAGACATGGGGACACTGAGAGACATGGGGACACAGGCACTGGGAGACTAGGGGAAACTGGGAGCCATGTGGACACTGAGCCACTAGGGACCCTGCTGGGGGGACATGGGGACACAGGGAGACATGGGACAGTCTCACAGCATCCCCATGTCTCACAGTGTCCCCTAGTGTCTCAGTGTTCCCATGTTTTCCAGTGTCCCCAAGTGTCCCCTAGTGTCTCAGTGTCCCCATGTCTCCCTGCTGCCTTTCCCCCATCCCTCACTTACCTGAGCTGTAGAGCTGCTGTCTGGACTCTCTGTGCTGTGTAGCTGCTCCCCCACAGATCAGTGAGTAGCAGAGAGAGGAAGGGATATGTTGTAACTTCCTATCCCTGCCTCTGTCCACACACTGTGACCCCTACTGGCTGGTGTTGGTATTGCAGAGTAATCTCCGTTTATACTGAGAAAAATACCTGCATTTGTATTACTGCAATACCGGCACAGCCAGGCAGCCTCAAATACCAACGGTGCCAGTAAAATACCAGTCAGGTGGCAGAGTAGTGGAGTATGTGTAAAAAATAAAATAAAAAAATGGGCCTATTCCATGGGCCTGGGCCTGGGCCTGGGCCTGGAGCTGCAGCTCCATCAGCCCCTATGTTAATCCAGCCCTGCACGGGGGGGGGGGATCTTGTTAATGATTTCAAGGCAACTAGGACCATAGTCACCAAGAAAACAATTGGTAACACACTATGCCGGAAATGACTAAAATCCTGCAGTGTCTGCAAGGTCCCCCTGCTCAAGAAAGCACATGTACAGGCCACATCTGACGTTTTCCAGTTAACATCTGAATAGGGCTTGACTGGACCACAGGGATACTAGGAAATTTCCTGGTGGGCTGGCATACTACTGGGCCGGTGCGCGGACGCCTACTGCGCACCGGTCCGCAGGCCGCACAGCGCAATTTAAGGGTAACCGGCAGGAGGGGTTGTGCTCCTCTCCTGGTGGTCACAGAATTTAGTGTGGCTGAGCAGGCAGACTGCAGTAGAGGAGCTTCTGTTCCCCTACCCGGTCTGTCAGGAAGTGCTCACAGAGAGCACAGAACTGCTTCCCAGACCAGGTAGGGGAACAGAAGCTCCTCTACCCCAGTCTGCCTGCTCGGCCACGCTACAGTAAGGTATAGGGAGAGCGGGGGGGGAGGGACTAATGGGACTGGGAAGGTGGTATAAGGACATATGGAGGGCTGTGAGGGGGGTATAAGGACACATGGAGGGCTGGGAGAGGTATAAGGACACATGGAAGGCTGGGAGGGAGGGATAATATAACACATGGGGGGCTGGGGGGGTCATGGGACACATGGGGGGACTCATGGGACAAATGTGGGTGCTACTGAGACACCTGGGCTAATAAGACACATACAGGGCTGAGGGACACATGGGGGATGAGAGGGGGCTTTAGGAACACATGAAGCACTGGGAGGAAGGGCTAGTGGGACACATGGAGGTCTGAGGGGCTACAGACACACATGGGGGGGCTCATGGGACACGTGTGGGTACTAGTGAGGCACATGAGAGGGCTAATGAGGCACATATAGAGAGGGGTATAGGAATACATGGAGGTCTGGGAGAGGGGCTATAGAAACACATGGAAGGCTGGGAGAGGGGCTATAGAAACACATGGAGGGCTGGGAGAGGAGATGTTGAAACACATGGAGAGCTGGGAGGGTTATATGGACACATGGAGGGCTATATGGACACATGGAGGGCTGGGAGGGCTAATGGGACACACGTGTTGGCTACTAAGACACATGGAAGGCTGGAGAGGGTGGAATGAGATGCATGGAGGCGTGTGGGGAGAAAGAGACAGAGGCGTTGGGAAAGGGGAACAGGAGACACATACAGGTGCTAGAGCCTGGGAAAGAGACTCACAGAATGGCTGGGGAAGGGGAGAAAGAGACAAGGGGGCTGGGCAAAAGATACACATGAAGGTAGCTTGGGGGAGAAAGACACAAACAAAATGCAGCTTCATTTGTGTCTCCTGCTCTACCTGTAACTCAGAGTCGATCGGTGAGACAAAAACGTTGTATTAAAGGGATACTATAGTCACCAGAACTACTACAGTTTAATGTAGTGGTTCTGGTGTCTGTAGCCTGTCCCTGTAGGCTGAGCACTGTAAATGCTGCCACTAGAACTGCTTCCTAGTCCAGTGCTGCACAGTGTGCAGCACCTATGTTGAGTGTCTCCACGCTCTGCATGGAGGCACTGAGCGCTCCCCATGGAATTGCATTGATGCAATGCATCTCTATGAGGAAATGCTGATGAGTGGGGTGAAGCGCAGCATTTTGCCACACATTTTGCCAATTCTTTCTTATGAGATCATCCAGTTGTCAGCCAAAGTGAAGAGAACACTTATTACTTCAAAATAAACAATATAACATTTTTACTGCTGTGCAATAGTATACATTCACCATTTCAGTCCCATTTCCAAACTTTTCTTAATATATCAAGGTAGTTGGACTAAAACATTGATTATATGCAAATGCACGTCTGCTTACAATAAATCCGTTCTTTTGTTTATTTTGAAACCCTAAGAGTGCTTTATTTCACGTTTGAGTGACAGTTTTCCGTTCTAGGTTTTGTTTTTTCCGCCAGGACTGCTTTTCATTCCCAGTCCGGCCCTGCATATGAATGATTCAGAGGTGGACAGAGTGAAAATGTTGTGGTCAGATGAGACCAAAAACAAGCTCTTTGGCATGAACTCGCCTTGTTAGGAGGAGGAGGAATGCTGCCCATGACCCCAAGAACACCATTCCCACCATCAAACATAGAGGTGAAAACATTATGCTTTGAGGGTGTTTTTCTGCTAAGGGGACAGGACGACTGCACTGCATCAAATGGACGATGGATGGGGCCATATACCGTCAAAGATTGGGTGAGAACCACCTCCTCTCAGCCAGGGCATTGAAAACGGGTCGTGGATGGGTATTCCAACATGACAATGACCCAAAACACACAGCCAAGGCAACAAAGGAGTGGTTCAAGAAGAAGCAGATTAAGGTCCTGGAGTGGTCTAGCCAGTCTCCAGACCCTAATCTCATAGAAAATGTGTGGAGGGAGCTGAAGGTTCGAGTTGCCAAAAGTCAGCCTCGAAACCTTAATGAATTAGAGAAGATCTGCAAAGAGGAGTGGGACAAAATCCTTCCGGAGATGTGTGCAAACCTGGTGGCCAACTATAAGAAATGTCTGACCTCTGTGATTGCCAACAAGGGTTTTGCTACCAAGTCGAAGGGGTCAAATACTTATTTCACTCATTGACATGCAAATTAATTTATAACTTTTTTGACATGCGTTTTTCTGGAATTTTTTTTGGTTATTCTGTCTCTCACTGTTAAAATACACCTACCATTAAAATTATAGACTGATCATTTCTTTGTCAGTGGGCAAACATTAAAAATCAGCAGGGGTCGAATACTTTTTTCCCCCTCACTGTAGGTGTTTATGTTTGTATTATGATTATTTTGAATTTCAAGTATACTGTTTGAGATAGTTGATAGGATAAAAATGTTTTTTCCATAAAAAGGATAATCTATATTTTCTTATCTACGAAGGTAATCATGTATAAGCAAAGCTAACCGTGGTTTTACGTTCTGGAAACAAACTCATCTATGAGTTTATCATTTGGACTGCAGAGTTTTTGAAGATTCTTTCACCAAACTGTGAAATGACAAACATTTAATGTGGACTCATTTCTTGGTACTGCCAAATCAAAAACTATTCTTAGTAATCACAGCAAAGGAACTTACCATTATTAAATCCAAGATGATCAAAAATAGGTGTGGGGGGTCTGTCAGCGGTATCCTCTGATTTTGTGACAAGTGCTTCTTTTACAGCATCATAACCATTTAACACAATCATGTTCTCCGAAAACATCTGTAGACTGAATACATTCCCATATTTGTTCCTCATCTGAAATCACAAAACAATTTTCTTCTTACTAATTAACCAGATACATATCAATTCCATTACCTATGCTGTGTGCATTCGACATCTCGAAAGATCCATTACATTATGATTGTAAAATATACAATTCTCTTAAAGACACTTTATTTACTTTTTTTTTTTTTTTAAACACAGGCCAGTCTCTATGTAACATGTGATTAAATAAGAAGTTTCCCCACTAGGATATGCAACCATAGTAACAAGACTTGCACATGGTGAGAAAATTTGGGTAGGCTGCACCACTTTCCCACCAAATATAAACATTTTTAAATGTTAGTGTTTTTAGAGCTAAATACACTAATAAGGTGCTGCTACTTAGTATTGTATATTTTTATTTATTTTATTGTCGGCACCATTTATACTTGTAATTTTGTAGTGTATATGACTTCTATCTAAACTGGAATTAGGAATGCAATTAAAGTCTCCACCAATTATTGAGGTACCCTCAACAAGGTTTTCCATTCCAGAAATTAAATTATTTATAAATTTGAAAGGGGATGTATTAGAGTATGCAAAATATCATTTATTTTAACTAGTATGATTTGATATTGCACATTTATTTGACTTGGTTTTCTAGAGAATATTAACCCCTTAAGGACACATGACATGTGTGACATGTCATGATTCCCTTTTATTCCAGAAGTTTGGTCCTTAAGGGGTTAAAGCCACCGCTCTTTTTTTTTTTTAAGTTTGAAAAAAACAAGGGAATTTCGTGAATTTCCAGAATTTAGTAGGGTCTTCTTCTGACCAGTCTGATTTCTAAATAAATTTCACATCTACATTCTGGTCTCTCAGAAGGTTTTATAAACATCCTTTCTAAAAAATGTTTGCAGAAACAAGTTGGGAAAAAAACTGCATTCCAAACTAGTGACTATTTTGTTTTACATTTTGCAAATTCTGTTTTCAATACCTTTATACGGTTTAGTAAAAGTCTTTAAATATGCTACATCATTTAAACAATTTGAACATTCCACCATTGCACTTGCATTATTGCAAATTTACCTTCAACAATGTCTCTGGGAAATTGTTGAAATCCAAAGTGAACAGATTCCCAACAAAGGGCATTGGGTAAGGGCCAGGAGGGTAACTCTGTTTTCTTAATCTGTGCTTCACCACATCCAACACCAGGAAGAGTGCTAGCCCTATAAGAATAGCGTTCCAGAATGAAGGTAAAATCAATTGCATCGAAAGGATCTCCATGTTTAAACAGTCTTTCTTCTCTCCAGGAGTGTGGTTTAAATCTGAAAAGAGGTAGTTTAAAATCAAAGTCAAAACATTAATTGTCTTTTCCCTTCCTCTCAAATTAAATTATATATTGTATGTATATATATATATATATATATATATATATATATATATACTCACTTTCTATCTTCAGTGATTTTACTCTTTTAAAGATTCTTAAAGCCCTTCTTTTCTGCTTTAAGAAATGTTCTTTTCTGCTCTCCCACGTATGCCCAGCCCAATAGAGACGTCATGTACTGAAGCCAATAGTACAATGATTTTACTTTGGCCAAAATCCAGATAGTACAAAGTTTATTACCATTCTTCTAGGGCTCGTCTATTCAGAAACAGCAGTGTAGTTTAGGATTACAGTTGCAGTTATATATATATATTTATATATATATAAAAAAATATATATATATGCACACACACACGCATATATGTAATAATGTCCAGTGCTTAAGTTGGCAACAAAAGAAACCTGATATTATACTTTATTAAAACAAACAAAAAAAACACTGAGGTATTAAGAAGTACCCTTGGAATTTAAAGTTTGGGGACTTTCATTAACCCTTCCTAGAGTTAGAGTTACAGTTACACTAAGTCCATTTTATTTCTGCTTCTAATGTTCATCCTGAATGATCTATATGAACATCAGGTTTATGAAAAGCAGAGAGCACTAGGTCTTAAGGCTTATTTTTATGTAATCACAGATACACATAATAGATTAGATACACACATTGTAACATCACTTACCCGATCCGGGAGCCGGCCAGGGCCCTTCTCTCTAACCGCATGCGGCTCGAGCACTCCTGCATCCACACGAGCTGCTCGTAGCTCGATCACCTATCAATCACCCGAAGCGGCCTGCTTAATTTAATAAAGAGCATTGGGGAAAGGGTGTGGCTTTCTACCTGTATTATCCATCTCTGAGTTAATCCCATTTTGTTTTCTTTGGATTTTCCTAGGAATTTAGGTATATTTTAAATACCTCTTTGTTGAAACAATTTCATTGTAATCTGTTCACCAAGCCTGAATCTCCTCCTCCCAAGGACGGGGGGGGGCAGCAGGGTGGCAATTGCCCCCAGGCCGCCCTAAATCCAGGGCCGTCCGCATCCAGCAATAAAAAAAAAAAAAATCCGAATCCCCTGCCTCTGGCTGGGGACTCTGATTTTTCAACTTACCTCTCTCTCTACAGCCTGCAGTCAGTGGAGTCGGCCGACCTCTCCTGATGTCAGGAGGAGGAGGAGGCGTGACTTTCACTGCTCTTCTTCCAGGATCGCTGGGGAGTCTGGGAAAATAGCAGAGGAAGTCGCGCCCCCTCCTCCTGACATCAGGAAAGGCCGACTTCACTGGCTGCTGCTGCTTCTATTGCTGCTCCTGCCCACCCCTCCTGGCCTAAGGTAAGAATCAGGAAAGGGGGGCATACACTTTAATTTTGCATCCCCTTCCTCAGCCCCTGTCCCCCCCCCCCTCACCTTCTGTCCACCACCCGCCCCTCAACTCCTGTCCAACGCCCACCTCCTTCCCCCCCACACTCTCTCTCAGCTCTTGTCCCCCCCCACACACTCTCAGCTCCTGTCTCCTTCCCACTCTCTCTCTCTCTCAGCTCCTGCCCCCCACACACTCTCAGCTCCTGCCCCCCCACCACAGTCCCCATAACATCCTCACTGCTGCTCCTCTCACCTAATTGCAACCCATGTCACCCACACCACAGCCCCTTTCCCAAATTGTAGCCATCAACCTACTGCAGCCCCTATCTCCCACACTACATTTCCTAACACCCCAATTACAGCTCATACCTCCACTACAGCCCTAGGCCCCCCACTACAGCCCTGTCCCCTTACTCAGCCCCTATATACTGGCTTTTGTAAGGTGTGTGTATATGAGTATGTCTGTGTGTGTGTGTCAGCCGGTATGCCTGTAACAGTGTGTCTGTCTGTGTGTGTGCGCATGTGGCTGTCAGTGAGTGTGTGTGTCAGAATCCTATTTTATTGCTGCAATTCCTGTTTCTCGCCTCTAGTGGCCTCCCTAGCCACTAGTCAAGCCTCAGTTGCTCTCACCTGCCTCATATGATCTTCCAAGTCTGCTATAAAAGGCCACACCCAACTCTTCACATGGCCTTTACATTGAAGTCAGTGTTCTGACATTGAAATCAGTGTTCTGACAGAAAACATCCTGATCCTCTATGGAGACTCCGTGTGTCCCGTCGCCGGGATTCCTCCAGAAACTCTTATCTTCAACTTCTGCAACCTGTACCATATTATACTGGAATCTACTTACCTGTCTCAACTGCTGCAACGCTGCATAATCCTTTAAACAACTTGTACTATATTATACTGAAAGTACTTACCAGCTTTAACCATTTGTATCATCCTGTACCTGGCTGCATTGTGACATTCTACTTGGAAATAACTTCAAACCTACTTGTATATAAAAGACTTTATTAATTTACTTCAAGATATCCTGTTTGGGGCATATTGCCTTTATTCTGTTTTAACTCTCAAAGTATACTTTTTGTGGCCTTAATTATATATTGCCTTAATTCCTTCTTTCTAGTAAATTGTTATGTCTAAAAAGACAAATAAAGTTTCAACCAAGAACCCTGGCAATTGTCTCCTCTCTGACCTAATCCCGATGTACATGACAGTGTGTTTGTTAGTGTGTGTCAAATCAAGTCTGTGTGCCTGTTTAGGTGACTGCCCCCCTTTCATTCATATGGGAAAGGTGTTTTTAATCTCCTCTTGGTGCAATGGGCCACTTGACTTGGACTGGATTTGGCCACCAGGCCTAAGACCTCCCCCTGCCTCCTCCTGTCAATGTCGAGGGCCAGGAGAAATATGAGATGGCTGCTGTGCTTGATTCCCATCTCCTTAGGGGCCATTTCCAGTATTTGGGTCCATTGGAAGGGTATGGTCCGGAGGAGCACAAATGGGATGCCACACGTGATGTTCATGCTCCTTGCATTTTACGTGCGTTCCACTCCAGCTTTCCTGCCAAGCTTGGTCCGCCACCTATGGTGAGCTTCTCTTCGGGGGGGTACTGTAGCATTATTTACCTGATCCACAAGAAGCTGCCCTGGTTCCCTGCTTGAGCCGTGTATTGCTCAAGCACTTCTGCATCCACACGAGCAGGCCATGTGTGCTTATCCTGAAGAACCATTATGGGACCTGCCTCGTATAATTAAGAGTGCTGCTTGCATCGCGAGCATGCTCTTAAAGTGGCAGTTGAAGTCCCAGGTAGTTATAGGCTCGCATTGGTCCACGTCATTCCGGGCCCCAATGCACGCATGTTTTGGAGGCGCAGACATGACGTGGATCAATCAAAAGGGTATTTAAACCTTCCTAGCCCTGTACACTGTGAACTATGGTGGTTTCTGTCTCAGTACCCTTTAGTGCGTTCCTTGTTCTCTTGTATATTATTCTAGTATTGACTTTGGCTTTGTTACTGAATCTGCATTTATCTTTAACCCTTTCCTGTGTGGTTTGCCTGTCTGATTACCGTAAACCTGACTCTGCCTATTTCTTGTTTTCGTTGTCTGTTACCCTGACCTCGGCTCTTTACGGACAATGCTATTTCTCTGTCTACGTTGAGTCCGGCCATTCTAAGGTCCGGTTATACATTATTTCCGTGTTTTGTTCCTTGCTGTCCTGAACTCTGTTTTGGGGTATTACATTGTGGCACACACACATTCACACACATTCATACAGTATATCCACTTTAAATAATACTTAGAATTCCACTGATGAGATGGTGTGCCTCTGTTTTAAGCATGTTCAGTCTCTTACAACTCCCATGATGCTTTGCCTGCTTTTAGAATGACAAAGCATCATGGAAGCTGTAGTTCTAAAACATCTGGGTTTATTATACTAGAGCAGGGGTTCTCAACGTTAGTCCTCAGGACCCCCTACCAGTCCAGGGTTTAGGGATTACCTGGGTGTGTCTAAGGTGTTTAGAAAAAGAAAAAAAAAACACCTTAGAGTCAAAGGTTTTTTTTTCCCCCTTTTTCTAAACACCTTAGACACACCCAGGTAATCCCCAAATCCTGGACTGGTAGGGGGTCCCGAGGACTGGGTTGAGAACCCCTGCTTTAGAGAGTTCAGAGAAGGGCTACTAAACTGGTTCATGGATTGCTGGATAAAACTTACCAAGAAAGGTTAAATGATCTTAACATGTATAGCTTGGAGGAAAGACGAGACAGGGGGGATATGATAGAAACTTTTAAATACATAAAGTGAATCAACACCGTAAAGGAGACTATATTTAATAGAAGAAAAACTACCACAACAAGAGGACATAGTCTTAATTTCAGGAAGTATTACTTTACTGAGAGGGTAGTGGATGCATGGAATAGCCTTCCAGCTGAAGTGGTAGAGGTTAACACAGTAAAGGAGTTTAAAGGCCCACTCTAGGCACCCAGACCACTTCAGCTTAATGAAGTGGTCTGGGTGCCAGGTCCAGCTAGGGTTAACCCATTTTTTAATAAACATAGCAGTTTCAGAGAAACTGCTATGTTTATTAATAGGTTAAGCCTTCCCCCAAAGCCTCTAGTGGCTGTCTCATTGACAGCCACTAGAGGCGCTTGCGTGCTTCTCACTGTGATTTTCACAGTGAGAGCACGCCAGCGTCCATAGGAAAGCATTGTAAATTCTTTCCTATGCGACTGGCTGAATGCGCGCGCAGCCAGCCGACGGGGCGGAACGGAGGAGGAGAAGAGAAGGAGGAGAGCTCTCCGCCCAGCGCTGGAAAAAGGTAAGTTTAAACCCTTTCCCCTTTCCAGAGCCGGGCGGGAGGGGGACCCTGAGGGTGGAGGCACCCTCAGGGCACTATAGTGCCAGGAAAACGAGTATGTTTTCCTGGCACTATAGTGGTCCTTTAAGCATGCGTGGGATAGGCATAAGGCTATCCTAGACTTTAGATAAGGCCAGGGACTAACGAAAGTATTGAAATATTGGGCAGACTAGATGGGCCGAATGGTTCTTATTTGCCGTCACATTCTATGTTTCTGTAGTGGAACAGTGTATGCAAAACAATTGTGTAGGAGAAGCACTTTCAAGTATGGATGACAAATCCATTGTGCAGTCACAGTTGCATAACATACATAATATATTGCTGTTTATGTGCAGCATGTAAAATGTGTGAAGTGGAAAAAACAAACCAATAAAAAGTATGTTATACATGCGACCCATCACTAATAAGTAATAACATGTTTCAATTTAAATACAAAAGAAACCGCATTTTATTGTCAGAACTTGCCCTATGGTGCACCACAATCTGGACTGGCATCATGCCACAAGCTCACACAAAAACAAAATGGCTGAGTATTTAGGTGACGTTTAGCAGTGTACCACACAGTACTGCCGTGTGATCCTATAAATATGCTGAACTTCATGAGTGCCCTATCCTCTTGTTTTCTCATGAAACTGCGGTGGACATGCAGAGTATAGTTGTGAGTTTTGGTCAAAAGGTATGTACCAATCTACTAATTACTGAAAGCAAGTATACATTACAGGAAGGGTTTACCAAGGCAAAACAAGTGTTTATTTTGCGTGCAAAGTTCTAGATGTTTAGACAGTCTATTGGTTTCCATGGTGATTGGCCCTTATTTTGTTTTGTCCCAGAATAGAATGTTTTTGCCCTGGTATATCCTTTCCTAGATGTGCAGTGTCAACTTTTAGTTCCATGTGAATTTTATTTTTATTTCTCAGAACTTCATTTCATAAACTCCTTTTATCTTTATAGCTTGACATGAAGTGTGTGGTAGTTTTCATATTGACCACAGATTTATGATGTGGTTGACTTTCTTATATATATATTAGCTGTGTTTCTCCTTGGAATGTGGAGCATATATTTAATCTGCATCGCAGGTGAATAAAGGGGAGAGTTTGTTGAGTTGCTG